ATGTTTTGCTTGTTTCGGTATAATAAACAATTCATTGCATAAATATTAGGGAAACATGAGGACTTATTCATATTTCCCTCAATATCATGCAATAAATGTATAATATTTACAGGTATGGAGACATGCTATGCATTAAATGTACATAATAAAATAATTCCATATAAATTTCTCTTTTTTTCAGTTTAATTTTGGTTTAAATAGATTTTCAAAAAAAAAAACAAACGTTTTTTTCCTCTCTTACTTTGTAAAAAGAAAATATATAAAAATTTCCTTTGCAGCAGAATTCGAATTGTTCACTATATATGGCGTGTTTCGAATGGTCGGATCCTTTATCTTTTGCTTATTTACAGGAACACGGTCAGCTAATTAGGTTCCAGTGTGTCCTATATTGTAAGAAGCGTCACCTAGTTTAAAAGTTTCTCTTTGGTTGTTATTTAACAACATATAGTTCAAGTTCAGGTTCATTTTATTCTCCCCAACCAAAACGTTGGTACGTGGGGTACATAAATAATATAATTATACCGTAAATCTGGAAAATTTTACGTTGATTTTATTTTGCGAACCTGGGTCAAGATGCTGTTGATTAATTTCTACGTTTCAAAATTTTGCGAATGACCACTACTTTGTTTACATTTTCTTATTGTTGAATTATTTTTAAGAAAAATATTTTTGCGAATAGAATGAATTCGCAAATGTGCAAAAAATTAATCTACAGCAAAAAATTTTAGATTTACGGTATACATTGCAAACAAACTAGTCAGAGGTACAAAAACTATATACATATATATAAACAATACAAAATATGGGAAGACAGATAGGTCAGAAACTTTTAAAATAATCATACATAATTTTTTCAGGGTTTTTAAGTTCTGGGTTGACACAATTTCTATAAATTTAAGAACATTCGGTCTATTTGAATTATAATTACCTAGGTATTTTTATTTGCATTATCAAAACCTTTGCACTCTAGAATATGATGAAACTCATATGCAATTTGACCATTATTGCAAAGTGTACATAGTATCAAAGCCACATATTAGAATTATAACAATTGCGTATATTAGGACAAAATGTGGCCTTTTATGTCGACATGTTTTATGTCAATCAAATAAGGAAAGACTTTTTCTTGGGTAATATTACTTAATACTGTTCAGTTAATTAAGTTGTTTGAAAAAATGTCTTTGTGATTTTTTTTTATTCTCTTAATAAGTATTCTTCAAACTGACCGGTAGTGTGTCGTCGCAGTATATAATAACAATTTTGAATTACACAGGCTGCACTTCATTTACATGTAAAAACAAGTAAACCTGCCATGAGCTTTTGACTAATTGTTAAGCGGGTGCAAATTTATCACTTTGAAAAGATTGAAGATTTTGTGACAAAGACTTTACTGACATAGAATCTACCTTAATTGAAAAAAAAAATATTTTACAGAAGTTTAGATAAACCTTTTCTATATTTCAACATAACCATAATCCAATACAGCTATTAATGACATCTGTGAATTATCAAAGTACCCGTTATCGCCTGTGGCTGTGTGCTTGTTTATACTGTTACTGTAATAACGGTGACCTAATTACCTGGCACACAGCTGTAATCACATATCTTGGTCCTTTTTTAATGGAAATATTATTTTTTTTAACGAGCACCGTTTTAAAACGGTCTAATATAAAGAAAATAATATACGTCTATCGATCGTGACAAGTAAGCATGCCTCATTTCAGAAATATTTTTTATTTTAATCACGTTTTGCAAAGCCCTTACATATTGTCAACATTTTTAACATTTAGGGACCATATACTATCAGTATGTAGGTCTTAAGATTTAATTTCAGAGAAAAATACTTGGAACGAAGTGTGTTTGTGAAAGACTGACTCCCGAGAAAGGGGGCTAATGATAAAAGTTTAATTTTTTTAATGAAATATATGTATTCGAGCTCAAAGGTTCATTAAACATTATTAAATAGAAGCAGAGCAAACGCCGGCCTCCAAAACACCAGAGAAGGATGAGGTGCAATCAAATTAAAACATTAAGGTCAAAATATAAAATTCTTGTCACCCACAAAAATAATTAAAATGTCTCAATAAATAATTAACCGTTTATATATGGAGCGTTATTGTGTTCAAAATTCCAGACTCTAAAGCTTGTAGACGAACTCACTTTTGATCACAGTCTCACTTTTAGGAATAAGTAGTATATAGAAAAGAGAGACTGGAATCAAATATGAGCTCCTCTAAGTTTCATGGTCCCGGGCCAGGTCCGAAGGCAAGTACCAGTGTATACTATCCCAATTTCCGATTGTGTCCCCTCAATATTTTTGTCGGTAAATGCATAAGATAAGAAATCAAACTAATTTATTGTTATGTCCCCTTGACAGAAATGCCTTTTTTAGGAGGGGGGGGGGGATTGTTTGTTTTGTGGCAACTCCCACCTCCATCCTCTCCAAAACCCCTACACCCGGTGATATTGCTACCTACGGATCTGAAAGGTTGAGAAAATGCGCGATTATTATATCTTTTTGCTTTTAAAATAATTTTTTAAAAATCATCTTCTAAGATAGTATTTCAACGTTTTGTAGACTGTAAGATCTGCAAGATCACTGTGTACATGTACAAAAAAGGTGGTAGCGCCCCTTTTCCTTTCAATTTCATTTGGATTCCTTAGTTAACTCGGTTAGTCCTACTTTCTTATTCAAACATTCGATTCCTCTTATAGATGTAACCAAAGAATACTATAGTGAAAGTATTAGAAATATCACATAAAATAAAACTAGGAAAGGAAAAAAAATTGTCAAAGAAAAATAAAATAAAGAACAGACCCTATGAATCAATTTCAGTGGAAAGAAGGGGGGTCACAGCCGTTAATTTTCAGTCTCCCCGATAAAAAAACACCGCAAAACACTACAAGATATAAACAAGAATCGATGTAAGAACTAAAATAAGAAATATAAAATGAACTTTTTAGAAAAAAGTTTTAATATCAAAATAAAAATTCCTGAAAAAAAGTTTACAACATCAAAGATACACACATTCATAATTTGAACACATAGTCAACACAGTTGTATTTTCGGAACTACCTGCTTGGATGTCTGAATTACCTACTTACATACATGTGTGTGTAGAATATGAAACTGAAACGATTACAAGTCTAGATTTACAAACTAAAAAGATTGCATTCACAAATTTTCAAGTCTGGATTCTTTTTAACTTAAAAGCTAATGCCAAGGGTGATCATTTTGTGATTTTGAAAAGAAGATTCGGGCCCATTACATAAATATACTAGTACTTATATCTAGGAAAAGGACATGTCACTGCAAAAGTTAGTGTCCAGGTTAACAATTTTTTTTCAAAAGTGAATCATACCTATAGCCATAGATAGGCTCAACAAATTGGTCTTGTCACAAGGAATAGCCATATCAAATAAGAAAACCATTCTTTAAGGTTTCGTCAAAGGTCAACATGTCCAAAAATTTATTTTTACAATAGCCCCAAAACTATGTGAGGTATAAAGTTAAAACTTTTACAGTTTATAAATTTTTCATTGATTAACAGATAGAAAGTATCACTTGATAAAAAAAAAAAGTACTTGGAATAATATTAATTGAGGATAATTCCTCTTAAAAATGCATATATTTTCAAAAAATACACCTAATTAATTCCGTGCTCCTTGTGAAACCATCATTGCAGAAACAAAAAATGTTTATCAATGAGGGGCAAGTTGGACTTGGATAGCCTCTGGAAAGTTGTTTTCCCTGTTTATTTTGTCCAAATGTTAAAGACTTGAAAGTGAAAGTACAGTGCAAATGGCAGATTCTATAGGGGTCTTGTCTTTATACATGTGATGCGTTCAATAACAGCCTTTCAGAGACCATTCACATTCAACTTGCCCTTCCATAATAAACATATATTATCTTTACAATGTTGGTTTTCTCAAAAAGGACAGAATTAAGCAGGTGCATTTTTCTTAAATATGCACATTTTCTGATACAATTTTTCTCAAAAAATATCTTTTTCAAAATATCTGTTACCAAGTGATATTTTCTATCTATCAATCAATGATATGTTTATAAACTGTAAACGTTTTGACTTTATACCACACATAATTTTGGAGCTATTGTAAAAATAATTTTTTAGACATGTTGACCTTTGACGAAACCTTAATCAATTAAAGTTAGGCCTATAGTAAAGGATAAAGATTGCAAACAGATACACAGCTAGACAGACAGAGGGTCGGACAGGCAAAAACAATTTACTCCTGAAGATTTGATTATACGAGTATAGGCATCAAAATCGTTTTATACTTCAGGCGCATTAAACATTAAACAGTTAATGCATGCATATAAATTTTATCAGATGTTTTAATGGAGAAACCAATGAATTGTGTAATACCTTTTAGACGATTACTCAGCATTCATAATTTATTTAAAAGTAAAGAGTTCAATGAAAACTTTCTTGAAATTTAGCCCTATGATTCTAGATAAAAATGAATCTTTTTAATTCTGATTCATCCTAAATGTACCCATCCCATTTGTTTAATAATTTGTTTAAATATATGACAGCAATATTTTGAATATGTGTACCGTGTCAAGCTTCAGTTTCCCCTAATTGTCTCAAACAGAACAATAATTCAAATAAATGTATTTTGGATCCTTTGCATTACGATCAAACACATTCACATTTTGATAATTGTTCGAGATTTTACTCAATTTCACGTATGAACCCACGTAAATAGGAATTCATTATAAAAAAAGATCATCATATAATAACTAGCAGCAGGACTTCATTTCATTCGTCATTGTTAATTACTTCAGCTAAACGAATAAAATTTTGTTTAAAACTTTTTCGACACATTACTAAAATATCCCAAATTACATGTTCATCTGTGACTTTGTGTGTAATTTTATTATGTATCTGACACATTATTGCATTAGATTTCTCTATGAAAAGGAATATTGAACCGGAGAACAGTTTATCATCGATACAATTTTCAAAAAGTCAATAATGGCGGGTTCTCCGACGCTTGTTTTCCTTCTGGTCGTCTGCTTCGCTGCTGCAGATGACCACCTGCATCCCAATAGTAATGTGGCGTATGGAAAGTCTGCGGTTTAAAGTTCCAAATATAATTCTGAAAAATATCCAGCATCGAATGCTATCAATGGCCTCCTTACAGACTTCTCTCATACCAGCAAAGAAAGATTCTCATGGCCTAGGATTGATCTAGGAAAAAACTATGACGTTCACGAAATAGAGGTCTTCACCAGACAGGATTGCTGCGGTAAATAATCAAAAATTTATATATAAAACTCTCTAATTCTTAATTAATGATAATTTTGAAAACATTTTAATCAAGAAATCTAATGTACAAAAGACGAGGATGATAGAAAAGTCATAAATATGAAATTCTGATTGTCGTTGGAGTCTACTGCTCTATGCTTAAAATTTTCATAATTTTTATTTTTATCTTATTATCATAACATTACACCAAATCAACTTCATTCGCCACGATTTTTTTCGCGATTTACCAGGGGGTAAACTAATTCGCGAATCTTAATTTTCGCATCTGTTGTAAAAAGACACAGAATCTTTAAGGACCGTTTCACCGAGAGAAATATTCCCGATGAACGGGCTAACCTGGCGAATATATCTCACACGCGAATAAAAGGTTTTTACAGCAAGTGAGATATACTGCATGACAGTGAGACATAATTCTAGACAAGACATTGAAACAACGAGCTTGACAGTTCCTTTTCGCCACGATAATTTCATGACCTATATAAGTAATGTGTACATTAAAACCGAACACACCTACTACGTATACGTACGATTTAACACATTAGAATTGTTTAACTAACCATATACATGCAACCGATATATTTGATAGTAATCTATGAAAACTTTAAATAATAAAATGTACCACCTATTGAAAGCAGTAAAATTTGGTAAAGCCCTACCATTTCTTAAACATCATTTTAAAAATAGAAAATATTTATCTATATTTAGGGAATAACTAGTATCTTCTAATTTGGTATTTCCGACGGTTAATGCTGATTTAACGGTCGAAAACTGCGTAAGCGGAGCCGGTAAAACGGATGTTTGCGACCGTTAAATCAGCATTAACGGTCGCAAATACCATATTAGAAGATTAGTTATTCCCATTCTAATGCAATCCATGCATTTTGTTTATTGGTTACGTCTTATTTTGTTGAATTTTGTTACATGAAGTACGTCACGGAGCATTGTGTTTTTGCATCGCTCTATTATGAAGTCACAACAAAAAAGCTTTCACGCTCGTTAGTGCTTGTTTTACTGCTTCAAACATCAGTGCATTAGCCAATCAAAAAGTGTTTAACAAAACAATTGCATTAGAATTTGATTTTGAAATCTATTCTAGTCCATTTAAAATTCAAATAGCATTTCTTCCAATTTTTGTATCTAAAATATTAATTCAAGGAAACTTACAGTGAAATACGAATTTATGAGATGGTTTCCCCTTCAACCTTGTTTTTTCATTCTATCAACGTATTGTACTTTTTTCCTTATAAAACATAGATGGACGACTTCGAAGCATAGACGTCAAAGTGGGCAAAGAACCGTGTTCTGACTCGATGGTCTTTTGTGGTCATTTCTGTGGATCTGCAAACGTTGGAGAAAAGTTTTCTGTATGGTGCCCTTCTAATACAACTGGCCGATATGTACATATACAGGTCGTCTAAGGATCGAAGACATATACTTAGACCCGGCAGAGGTGGCTGTTTGGGGACATTTGTAATGATCAAAGAAAAATCAATAAACTAATTTTGCATGAAATATACAACTCTTTCATTAATTTGTTTTACAATGAAACATGTGGATGAATTTTGATGTTAAAATGAATTTGAAAGCAAAAAAAAATTAGGAGATTTTTATGTATTATTACCACGCTTTTTTTCTCTTGTACACTTTACATTTTGAATTAATGTCGTCCAAGTTGCATTTATTTAAGTAAATATTATGCATACTATGCATGCTACCTTGTGCTCCAGAACACCAGGTGTAAAACTGAAGAGAATCTGACTCAGGAGATGGTGGAATATTGTACGGAAACAAAGAGATGATTTCTCAGAAGAGCAGAAATGATATAATTGTTATCACTGACAGCTGCTTTAATTTTTCAAAAAAAAAAATATTTAAAGGTATAAAATATTACGTATATGTATTTATTGAATCTTTTTTTTTAATGTTTTATTTTGAAGCTTTTAACCATATGCATATATATAAACACATGGCAAACAATTTTCATTGAATCTTATGAAGTCATACACGTAAAAATAAAAAAAAAAACAAAGTATAAAATCTGAAAGGGAAATTAAATTTCTTATTGGTTGGCAATTTTTGCTACGGTCTCTACACCACAGAGAGCCTTCACATTTACACTCTGTATGTTTCAATTTGATCCATCTTTTAAAAATGCACATTTCTATATAACTGAGGTTTATATTATGTTTTTAAATATGCTGGAGTGGTCTTAATTTTTCCGTTTAAAAAAATGAAATCAAATTCTTAAAATAATAATTAATGACAATAAGCAGAAAATTTATAAATATAAACACATACGAGGGCTGCTCGATAAATAATGTCCTCGATGCTCGGAAAGAAGCAAAGGACGCTTTTCAATGATTTTGTCTTCATTATTTTACATATTAATCTCTTTTAATTACAACACATGTCCGTAACCTTTTTTATCCAATTTCTGATTGATTTTAGAACTCATTTTTGGGTATGACCCTTGGTATACTGGAAAATGGCATATCCAGTGATTTCCTGGAATTGTTTCTTCCTTATCAAATTTGTTTTTTTTTTCAAGTTTGGAAATAGAAATAAGTCAAAAGGTCAAAGATCTGGCGAATATTGTTAATGTAAAAAAATATTAACTATCTGTGTATCCCGAAAACCCCTTTACTCTTTAGGGCGTGCGGGTTTGGACGCTGTCATGAAGAAATTTAATGTAGTGGATTCCTGATTCTGGGTCCTTCCTCTAATAAACCTTTTGATTTTTTTGCAAAAAATTTGTTTTCTAGCCTCATCCAGAAATTAAACTGTCTCCCCGAATACGAATTTGAACAACAATACCACTAATATTTAAGAACATTGCATATAAATCTGTCTTTGTGCTCTTGTAATTCTTTGCTCTCGCCAGACCTTCCCTGTTTTTGTCAAGTACATCTTATGGTAAATTTTGTTTTGAGGATTTTAGCCAATAGATTCAAGTTCCATTATCTGTTTGAATATCCAAAAAAACGAGGATAACTCCAATTACTGATACCGTATAAGCAGAATCTTTAGCGAGGATTTAACTTTGGCATTATTAGCGAGGTTTCTGAGATCGCTAAAATTGAATATCGCTAAAAATTAATTGTTGTTTAGTTGTAATAGTTTTTAGTGGGCATTTCAATATCACTAATATTACTTCTCGCTAAAATTAAAATACCCAATTTTAAGGACAAATCGCTAAATTTGAGTCTCGCTAAAATTTCCACTTATACGGTATTTTAAAATAATTGTTAAGACATTCGTACACGCTGTCGTTTTCACTCATTTTTCAAAATATAGGATGACCTTTGAGTACTAAGCTTTTTTACCGTCAAACATTTCTTAAAAACAGTACTGTAAACTACCCCCAATGTGATGTCTATCAAATTTGCTATTTGTCTTAAAGTCAATCCTACATCATCAAGTATTTTTTGTTGAAATTTGGCAAACAGTACATAAGTGTAATAATTTTTTGTTGGCAAGGACGGTACCCATTTTTGATGCCCATTATATAATTTTTTATCATTGAAATCCACCTGCTCATTTGTCTATAAAACAGGTATTGGTTACTGTAAATGTCACGTATTTCAGTGAATATTTCTTTGGGATTTTTATCAAGATTTACAGCAGCTTTGTTTAAGCTTTTATTTTCACTCTAGTGTACAGATTCTTTACCACTCATTTATAATGCGGTGTCTCGAATAGCCCTTGTTTCCCAGCTTCTCACAATGAAACTATGTGATGAAAAGTGGTCACATGACTGTTATAAATTCATTAAAGATTCAATTATGAGAGAAAGCCAATTTTAATGTCATTTGATATCTGTATTGTATGTCATATAGTTCAGGACATTATTTATTGAACAGCCCTCGTAATTAAAATTCTGAAAAACATTTTGTTTTCTTTGATACCTACCCCTTTAACGTAGATCCCGAAAACTTTTATGATTGATATTTTTCTATGAATAACTAACCTGACTTTTGATTTCAACTATCCTCTTATTTCTAACTGGGTGCAAGAAGCTGACACAAAGGGTTTAATATTGATATAAAGTTTACAAAATTTCGCTTTACTCTTTCTTGTACACATAGCACAGTTTTGTTTTCTTCGTTAAATTATATCAATATATTATTCAACTTAAGTTCTACCAGATAAGTATCATTCAAGTTGTGTCATATGACTCTTAACACCTTACTGAACGGTTATGCAACATACACTTAATGTTCACGGCATTGTAATATAACGTTACCTTTTCCCCACATGCACTTTATAGCACGGTAAAAGTTTCTCTAAAGTTTAGCGTTAATAATATCATGACGAATATTTTTCAAGGAAAATAACTTTTCTTATTTTATGAGACTTTAGCAAGACTAGTATAGAAAAGAGGGAAATTGACATTAAATTAAAGATTAAATATACTTTTTAATCTGTGTGAGAAATGTGTACGTGATTGCGGGGAAACGGTATATGCTTGATTATGCGTTAGAAATAGGAAATGGTATATATACGTTAAAACTCTTGACTGCGGGAAACAGGTTTAAATGGTTTAATTTCTAAAGCAGTTAAAAATATCACTTTTAGACACTGGAACGTTGTTTCCATGATTACATTTAACAAAAGTAGTTACACTGTAATCCCCATTTTCCATATATGTTGTTGTAGCTGCAAGGTCCTAAGGATGTACATTTGCCAGTCTCTAATTTCATGTTTTCCCCAATACAAAAGCTTTAACCCAATCTTAGTTACTGATTTGTATACTTGGTTTCACTGTATTGCCATGGCAGGCATGCATGTTATTTTTGAAATCCATTCGAAGAGAGTATCAAGGTGTTTTTTTTTTCATATTTGAAACATCTTCTTCTATACAATTTGCATTTTTAAAAAAAAAACATACCACTAAATTGCTTAATTCGAGATGAAAATATCCATCTGATACTGTAAAAAGTTGAAGGTTAATTTTCCCTGTTTTTTAAGGTATGAAGAGACCCACGAATTCATGTCCACCACGAAATGTAAAATGTTATATACTGTTTATATTATACACAATTATTACACAATTTAAAAAGTACTATATTTACACATGACACGGACGTAGCATCAATTTTTAAGGAGGGGGGGGGGGGGAGTAGATAGAGAATCAAGATAACGTACATTTAAAAACAACTTGACAAGCGAAAAATAACCCCGAAAATTTTGTATCTCGCAAATTCACAGGCACCTGACGTAACTTTATTTTTGTTTAAATAAAAAAATATAACCTCTACCTAAAAATAATTTATTTTTAGGTATGGGTATATTTTTTATTAAAAGAAAAATAAGTAACATCAGGTGTCTGTGCGAAAATCTTATTTCGTGCTGGGGAGTAGGGGGGCTAGGTTCCAACTTCTTTCAGTGCCAAATTTTACTCAAACACTACTACATTACCCTTATTTTACTATACAACACAAAAAGGGGAAAGGGGCGATCTTTCAATGAACATTTTCAATGCTGCAATATAAATAATATGTTTAGACCTCCCTTCCCCCATGTTAAATTACGTGCCTGTATGCATCTACTTTTCAAGAATACCCATGGTTATTGGTTAGAATACTTATGACATTAAGTGCCTCACGCAGATGCCAACATACATAGTAAGAATATATAACCTGTTAACAGAATAAAAACATCACTTAACCTGAGAAAGTCGCGGAGTAAGGAGTTGATCCTTACGTCTCAGTCGTGTTCGAATCCCACTGTGGTACATGGAGACCGGTCCTTCGGATGAGACCGTATAAACCGAGGCCCCGTGTCGCAGTTAGTGGTGACACAAAAAAAGATACCTCACTGCTTAATGGCCCTAAGTGTCGAGAATAGGACAAAATTTGTAGCGCTCCACCGGCAAGTGGTGGCGTCTCCATATGAGTGAAAGATTCTCGAGAGGGACGTTGAATAATATACAATCAATCAATATTAACCTATGAAAGAGAGAAAGTGAGAGTTTTTTCTCTGTCATAATGATTCCAGACGTCTTAACTTAGAAAAAATCGAGAGAGAGAGAGAGAGAGAGTTTAATTAAATGGGTTTTCCGGGTTACCTCACAGGTGTTGATACATGTACTGCCCTCTATGACAGAGACTGGAGTATAACCAATTATTCCCAAAATTTTTTCTTGCGAATGATTTAGTCTTGGGGGGGGGGGGGGGGCTCCTTCAGTCTTGCCTACTTTCTTCCGATTTTGCTCTGCATTCCGTTTCACTCATATAAATTGGCGCACTTTTCATCGTTCAAGAATTCTGAATGATCAAATGGCACTCAATTTGATTTTAAATGTTACCAATTTTACAGTATATCGTCTATTTTAGATGATTAATATTTGAAAATATATAATTTATATCTATAAACTTTATAAAAAAAACCTCAAATTCTTTTTTTTTTTTAATTTTCACTCTTTTAAATATTTTCACTATGATGACATAACGTGTAGCATTATATATAGCTAAAAAATACAAGTTTATGATCCCTGACAATGGTTAAAAGCTTGGAGTATTTCTATGTCTTAACTGAAAAGTGTAGCATTATATAGCAAAAATGACACCTCTTTGGCTCCTAGGAATGGTTTAAACTTTGTGCATTTTTATGTCATAAAGATTTAAGACGTCTTAACTTAGGATAATCATAAGATAGCTTTGAAAAACACCTTAAGATAATTTTACGATGATCCTAAGATTTTCTTAAGATACGTCTTAGGAAATTTCTTATGAACAATCTTAGGAAAGTTTCGTAAACATGCCTGCAGGCCTTCCAACAATTTATTGGAATGCCCATGGGTAGCATTTGCGCCCCGTTATTAGCAGACCTACTTTTGTATTTATATCAAGCAGAATTTGTGCAAAATCTTATGCGTGTAAAGAAGACCACTCTCTCATAAACTTTTCGATTTTTTGCAACAATTTGCTACCTAGACTTCTCCAGAAATTGAACTGCCTCTCCGAATAAGAATTTGAACAACAAGACCACTAATATTCGATTTTTGTTAAATGATTGTTTAGATAGTCTGATGCACTGTCTTTTTCACTGATTTTTCAAAACATGGGGTGACCTTTGAGTACTACGCTTTTAAATATCAAATGTTTCTTTTAAAAAAGTATAAACTACCCCAAAATTGATGCCTATCAGTTTTCCTTTGTGTCTTTAAATCAATCAAACATCGTTAGCGATAATTTAATGAATTTTGTCAAACAGTATACTGGTTGTTGTAAATCTTTGTCGCCAAGGATCTTCATGGTACCCATTTTTGATGCCCATTATATCATTTTGGTTCATTGAAATCCACGTGCGCATGTGTCTATAAAACAATCATTGATCATGTTGATTGTTGTAAATTTCACATATTTCAGTGAATATGTCTTTGGGATATTTACGAGTTTTACAACAGCTTTAATGAAGCGTGTAATGTCATTCTAGTTTACTGATTCTTTACTATTCATTTTTAATGCAGATTCTCAAATGCCCCTTGTTTTCCAGCTTCTCACAATGAAACTATATGATGAAAAGTGGTCACTTAAGCTGTATTTATAACTATTCAATCATGAGAGGAAGTCAGGTTTTATGTCATATGATTTCTATGCTGTATATCATAGAGTTCAGGACATTATTTATTGAAAGGCCTTCGGATTTTATCGTATTTAATCTATAGTATGTGTAATCTTCTGCAGAATTCAAAATAATTATATCAATGATGCTTGGTTGAACGATTTGGGTCCTTAAGATTCGTTTCTTTTATGATAAGTAAATCGAAGTTCTTACATTTGTATTATTAATTATATCTACGTGCAGAAACGACGTGTCTAGCAGAACTATCGTGAAGTTGTAGGGTGAAGAAGAACATGAAGACGTTGGATGATTATCAGTATCTAGACACTGCATTTCTATAATTGTTAAACTTATGGAAACATTGGTCGATGTTTACATGCATATGAAAGAAATTAAAGGTAAACTTCAACTTGATGTATGGTGGAATACAATTAAGACAATTGACCCTTTAGTAATTAAGACTATTTCTTATACAGGCACATGTATTAACTGCGTCAATACTTTCGTTCATATTTGTTAGCATGTTGTAGTTTAAGGAAGAAATGATATTTTCTTCCAAAAAATGTGGCCGTTAAAGCAGCCTTTGATTTGCAATGAAAATAAAAATAGACCCAGATCAGTGCTCTGGTGTCAAGGAATTCAAATGTGTACTTTCCTTGACTTTTATAGATAGACTTTTCAAAACTTTCTAAGAGATATAGTAAAGTTTGGTGCATAGTTATGAAGTCCTAACTGCCTATTTACATATGGCTATTACGTCGATCATCTATAATAGTTTTATTTTAAGACTGACGTATATAACTACCCTTACGTTTCTGTGAATTTTAAAAGTCCTAACAGAGTGGAATTGGAAATAAGCGAAACATAGATTTAAATGGCTTGAGAAGTAGGTCACCTTTCAGTCAAAGTTTGGACAGAGGCTTAATTCTATAAAAAGGTTCTTTCACAAAAATATTCCTCTTGAAATTTAAATGCAGTACTAGAGACAGTACTGGAGTCAACAACAGTAAAGATACCATATGTGAAACCTAGGGATAAAGTGTTTTTGTTATTTAATCTGAAAATTTGGAAATGCTAACGAAAGGAAATCATAAGGTATTTATGACATCGATTTAGGAATGAAAATTAAAATATTCGTACTTGAAATCGGTCCTTAAAAATAGGATTATACATGTACTTATACGTGCGGGCATGTTAACGTTTCCTACAAGTAATCTTTGTTTATATCGGTCAACCTTCTAAGTCAATATTAATTTTAGCTATTTAATTTTAAAAAAAAAAAGATCAATACAACGTTACATTAAATATAATAATATTTTATGTAATGTTATATAATATTTTTGAATCGGTATACACGAAAAAATATGTTTTTAACTTTGAGAAAAATATTTCAAATAATTAATTATTATTTATTATTATAACAAGTAGTTTATGTATAGTTTATGTTTGTGTAAATTTATGTATAGTTTATGTATAGTTTATATTCAACATAAGGTTCGGTTTTCAAAAAAATATTCAAAAAACAAAGAACACTTACTGGTTCTTCAAACTCGCTGCTGTTTACTTACATTCAGAAACTATACTTCAACACGTATGTTATGTATAACTTTATCTTGGTCCAAATTAAGTTATTGAATAATACTGCTAATTGTATATTTCATTTATTCACATGCATCAAAGAACAGCTTGATCAGGCAAACTATACAGAACTACCACGGAATGAGAAATCTCTGAATGGTAGTTTGTGAAGCTTGTTTAACCGTCACTTGATTTATTTTTCAGATTAGTCCAGATTCCCCGGATCATGGTGCTGGTGAGGCTAGCCTGGGTGCTGCTACTAGCGGTTTGTTTTACATAACTTTTACCTACTCTGTAAAACTATGTTTATCATAAATAGGGAGATAACAAAGAGTATTTAAGCTCAAAATACCCATCAGCATTTGACTGAAATGATCATTGTATTTACTGACAATGTTATTGCAAAATGCAAGATGACTTTAAAATAGACTGTTATTTTGTTTCGTCAGCTTGTTTGTCAATAACTTCCTTATTTCTATATATTTACTAGCCTGGACAATAAAATAATAATCGATTGGAAAATCCCCTTAGGGTTCAAATTTCCAATTATAATTCTAACCACCTTGTGTCAACAGAATTTTGTAAGTGATTCATACGTGTGAATAAAATAAGATATTTTCCTCTTATAGAAATGGATATTGAGCACGATCGACCTGTAAACCACATAGAGAAACCCCAGTCTGCTCCTCAAAACACCATTACACCAGGTCCTCATATGGCAATTGAAAACGGAGATTTCGAGTGGACTAAGCTATTTCTGGAAAAATCCCCAAACAGAGTAAATGATTCAGATGATCGTGGATGGTGCGCTTTACATGTTGCGGCGCAGAAAGGAGATGTCCGCATTTTCCAGCTCCTCATAGAGAAAGGAGCTAATCCTTCGTGTATTACCAATGCCAAACTAACAATACTACATATTGCTTGTGTGAATGCTAAATATGACATGTGTCAGTATATTCTACTAAATTTTCCTTTTTTATTAAACAGTGTAGATGATCGACTATGGAATGCTGCACATTTTGCAGCACAAGGAGGAGATATTCGTATTTTACAGCTCCTTGCTGAAAAGGGGCTCTCCATTAACAAAATCGCTAAAAACAAAGTATCCATTCTTCATATTGAATGTAGTCAAGCAAATTATGAGATGCCCCAATATATATTGTCAAAGCATCCTGATATGATAGATAGTCTCAATGAATTTGGATGGAGGCCTGTGCATTATGCTGTAAAAGGCGGGAATGTTCACGTTTTACAACTTCTGAAAAACAAAGGTGTCTCTCTCAATGTAACCACAAAGAAAAAAGAAACGTTACTACAAATTGCATGTCTGTGTGGTAGATACGAGATTTGTCAATATCTACTGTCGATATGCCCTGACAACCTCAAAGACGTAGATGAACAAGGATGGAATGCTGCACATTATGCCGCACAAGGAGGGGATATTCGCATTCTACAACTTCTATCAGACCACATGCTTTCACTTAAAGAGACCACACAGGAAAAATGTACTATTCTCCATATTTCGTGCAGGAATGCCAAATACGATATGTGCAGACACATACTTAATGTGTGTCCTAAAATCCTACATGATGTCAATGAGTTTGGATGGAATGCTGCACATTATGCTTCACAAGGAGGTGATGTTCGAATTTTACAGCTTCTAGCTGAAAAGGGGATCTCCGTTAAGGCGACCACTGAAGATAAATGTACCATTCTTCATATTTCTTGTAGTAATGGGAATTACGAAATGTCCAAATATATACTGTCGAGGTATCCTGAAATGATTGACAGTGTCAACGACTTTGGTTGGAGGACTGCGCATTATGCTGCAAGAGGAGGAAACATGAAGATATTACAACTTCTGATAGACAAAGGCACCTCTCTAGGTGTAACCACAGGCAGCAATGAGACATTACTACATATTGCATGTCTGTACGGTAGATACGAGATTTGCCAATATCTGCTGTCAGTATACCCGGACAATCTACAAAACGTGGATGAGCGTGGATGGAACGCGACACATTTTGCTGCAAAAGGAGGAGACGTTCGCATTCTTCAAATCCTTGCAGACAACACGTTATCTCTAAGAGAAAAAACACATGAAGGATGTACTATACTTCATATATCATGTAGTAATGCTAAATACGATATGTGCAAACACATACTACAAGTTCTTCCTGAAATCTTACACGATGTCAACGAACAGGGATGGAATGCTGCACATTATGTTGCAGACGATGGAAACACGCAAATATTAGATTTACTCTTTGAAAGGGGACTTAAAATCTGACATGAGATTGTTTTTATACCCCGAGTATGAGTATATATAGTCTTTGCTCTGTTCTTCCGTTTGTCTGTCTTAATTTCTGCATAAATTTTAACCTTGGACATAACTTGATTGGTTAGAGAAGTCAGCTAAGAGTTCTTTTTTTTTTTACTTTGAACTTTTGACAACGATAGTGGACTTTTTCCCACGTTTGAAAAAAACCTTAGAAATAACGTTTAAATGGCCGAAATAGTGCAAGGGTTTTCTTAAGGTCAAGATCTAGTAAATCGAACTTAAGATGCCTACAGATTTATCAAATTTGAGAAATAAGTTCCTTTTATGATTTTTTATAACTTTAGCTTGATCAAATAAGGTGTTTCTAGTCATTATTTGTAGGAAACCAAGATGAAAAACCACATTTTAAACTGTCATTTTCAATAAAATATCAAGAAAACCACTTATGAAATTGGGTGTTTTTTCATATTCTACAAAGGAAATGTATCCAGACTGCCTACAGTCTTTCAGAAAAAGGTCATTTGTATGTTCATGACCTCATCTTTAAATATCAAATTAAAATAGGTTTCCGGATTATTTTTCATACAATTTCAAATTGAATTCAATAAAAATACTCAATTTTCTATGTTATTCTATTAAAACTGTAAAATACGTGAAAAAACAAGAAGTTTCTGTCGAGACTGTAGCTCTACTGGCTTGTACGTATAAGAAAGGAAGAGAAAAGAATCCATTGCCATCAGACCAAATCTGTAGGAGGAGTAATGTTTTAAAGGAATATCACAGAAATTTTTATTTATAATAACCATGGCAACAACATTTATCGAAATCAAAAACCGATGCACTAAATTATGCATCTTAGTGTAGTCTACTTGTGTGCAAGTTATATTGAAATCAGACTAAAACTGTAGGAAGAGTAGCATTTTGGAAAATTGTTTATAGACAGACGGACAGCTAGACATCTAGACGGTCGACGGACACCTTACTACCGCATTAGCTCTTCCAATCTCCGACCATTACAGCTAAAAAGACGAAATTATGATGTCATAATGGATATAGCACTAAATAATTAGTCTCGAGTCATTAAATAGATCTCGACCTGAATTCACGGGTGTTTTCCTTATATCAAGGCCTTTCTATGGGTACGAACAACTTTTTACAGTTTGACCTTGATCTTCAAGGTTGACTTGCATTTTTAGAAACATTAGTTGCCTTACAGGAGCATCTATGTTTTGTTCTGTGTGCTTGAGAGATGTCAATTACATTGGTATGTCAATAAAGATTTCATTTCGTGGTCAGCTATCTTTCATAAAATAGATTAAAAAAAATATCAATTATCACGCCAGGCAATTGTTTGATCATTTTAATATGAAACCAAGAAATTGGACAGATATTCCTTACATTATATGTTCTTAATTCCCTAAATTCACAAGCTACATGTACAAGCTCTGCTTCTGCCTTGATTTGTCACGCCCCGCCTATCTATGATCCTGGTAGATTTATGTAGAAATAAAGTATTTTTACTATTTGTAATTTTATCTCGGACAAAGACATTGGAAATGTAAATATTAGAAAATACATATCTGTTACAGACCATATAATGGAAAAAAATTAAAATGATTAATCAAATTAATAATCAATTTTCATCAATTTATTATCGGCTACCTGAGAGCTCTGAAATGGTTAATTCAAAGTTATATTCAGAAATTTGAAAGAAAATTGACATTAAGATTTCAGATTTTACACAAAAACAAATTGGGTTAGCACATGGAATTCATAATTATCAGGAAACTGAATTATAAGCCTTGTCTTCAATAAAATTTGAATTTGCATTAACTTCTCATATTTATTACTAGTATCTATTTGTAACTTAATATTAACCTTTTATGTAGATCTGTAATGATATCTTGAGAAATGTTCTTGAAAAGATTTTACGTTAAAACAATCTTGTAAAAAAAAGTTTGTATGATTTATCCAATATTTTTCTTATAAAAATTGTAAATGTGTCACCCTCTTCCCCCTTCCAAAGAAACTGAAATTTTCATGGGTATTTTTATTTATTTTCTTAAATTAATATCAGTGACTTTTTATTATCAACCAAGCATTTCTTTCTTCACAATATTTTATTTGGCAATAAATCACACAACAGACTTTATAAGCAATTCAATTTCAATTGACAAATTACTATTAAAAAAAATTCCTTTCATAACTTAGAAAATCCTTTACACAGTCAAATGTAATAACAATGCTCAAAAATTTTACAATCATGTAATTGATAAAATACTTAAGTGTCATGTAATCCAAAAAATTCTTCTAAGACATATTCATATAGCTTGATTACTGTAGAAGTACTTTTTTTCTGCGTGGTATGAATTTACGCTATTACATGGTCACAAATTTTCCGCGGAAATTTGTCCAAGCGTACTTAATATAAATTTAAGGAATATAGTGCAATCTAGAAAATCTTCTATCCGCGAATTAAACTGAAATTTAGATTCCGCGGAATTGTAATTCAGTGGAAAAAAGTATGTCTACAGTATAACTGCAATTAATTCTTAATTTCAACGGAATGTTACGTTACAAAAAGTATAAAAACATGTGATTGAGTTCTCTATTCATTGACGGTGATAATTCTCTATTCGTTGACATTGACGGTGATCGTTTTGCCCTTGGGGTCATCAAACCTGTCCTGGGTGGTGACGGAGGTCAACATGGAGAAGCCGTGGAGGAGAATAAGAAGAAGGACCGCGGTGGAAATGATCCCCATCCAGATCACCTCCGTGAAGAACGGGACACAGTCCCAGCCGTCCGAGAATTGATAGTTCACCACGCCAAAAGGCTGCAGCTGTAAACAGTTAAATATTGTAACATTAATCCTGACACCAGATAACTCACTAATCATAACTGGAAATTCACAGCAGTTGTAAACATTTCAATAATTGTAATTTGAATCTGTTCAAACTGTGTTTGCATGTTTCATTTCATCTCTGCACCATAAATGGATCAATCTGCATAACCTTCCATTTCAATTCTGAACAATGTGCAGTCAATCTCAAGTGTAAACTTTTTTTATTTTTTACAAAACTCAAAAAAGTTTAAATTTTGGAAATACAAATCAGTGAAATTTTTTTTTTTTCTTAAGCCACCTTTAACTCAGCCTACATGGCTTTATTTAAAAAAAATAATAATAAAATTTCACATTGTGCATAGATTTATAGAAGTTTCTGCCTTTTAAAAACTCTTCTTTGTGCTGTGTAAAGATAACACTATATTTTAAGTGACTTAATAAAGTCCCCCGTAAAAACCTTCCCTTCAGGTCCTGCTCCCTTACCTGGAATCCATCAAAGGACACGGTGATGTTGGCCCCCGTGCTGTTGCCGGCTTTCCCTAGGCTGGAGCAGTGGTAGGAGAACCCCTTTGGGGCTGACACACTGTCCAGGGAGATGTTATTAGTTTGGCCGTTAAGGGTCAGTGTGGCTTCTACAACACTCCAGTATCCTGAGACATTGCCTACGGCCATGTTCATGCTGTAAAGTACAAACATAAGACATGATTAACAAAAAAAAGCAAGTGAAATAACATTGTACAAAACCTGGTAGTGTACAAATACAAAGCAAGCTAAACCTCTTAATGGTAAAAAGGAAATGTAGTTTAACATTCATGCACAATGAAAACTGTTTATTCCAACACTGGTGCCATCCTGTGAATACTACTACTACTACTAAATTAAACTAATACTAAATTCTTGTTAATCATTCTGACAAAAAAAACGTAGATTTCAGGTTAGCCAGGTTTCACTGTATTCAGGTGAAGTATTTTCTCATTCACAAAAAAAAAAGATTTCATTCTGACAACCAGATATAAAAGTAGTCACTTATACATGTAGACTTAAAACTTGATAATAATAATCAGGCCTGGGGGTAATAATCACTACTTCAAAAACATGTAATTCAATACTTGATTCTTTCAGAAAATGTTAAATGCATACATGTACATGTTAAATCTTATTTATTACACACTTAGTAATAAATACAGGTTTTTTGCATATGCGATATGGCTGACGTCACAATAGCCGTATCAACCCTGCAGGGCTGATATAGATTTGCAGGGCTGATATCCGTATCAGCCCTGCAAATCCATATCAGCCCTGCAGGGCTGATATGGCTATTGTGACGTCAATATCACACCCTTAGTAAATTAAACCACAATAACAATACTTGTGATCATACACAATTTTTGGTGGGTTCATATTCTCTTAATTTTAACTTTTTGAAAATAAGGTTAATCTTAATTTACAAATACATGTAATACTATAGAATATTTTCAAATTACGGATCAAATGCATTGAAATAGAAGTAGAAACAAACCCAAATCTTAAGAGACATTAGACTATGTACATGTATGTAAGAAGTCCATGCATGATTATTTACTTATTTTCTTCTCAACTGAATGTGTTCTGTATTTTATTACTAAGTATGTAATAAATATAATAAAACATACCCTTTTCCGCATCACATCCTGTATCAGCCCTGGACCAATGTCAGCCCTCGGGCCTTCGGCCCTCTGGCTGATATTGGTGTCTCGGGCTGATACAGGATGTGATATGGAAAAGGGTATGTATTATTCTCTATATCTTTACCTTCACTTTAAGAAATATATGCTACACAAATGATCTGTTTCTTTAATAAACTGATATATTGAAGAATTGAATATCTTTCCTAAAAACATATTCCAAAAATTTTTAATTGATTGAAATTTATTAAAATATATATCTTGCTTAGATAGAAATTTACCTTAAAGACATTTGGTTCCCTGTGTCAGCCTTGAAATCAAACATCAAGCTATAAAATAAACACAAATATGCTACTACAGTAAAACTCGGTCATAATGAAGTCACTGGGACCTATGAAATTACTTTATCATACCCGTAAGTTGTTATTTCTGTATAACGAATTATTCAATTTCTATAATTAGAGATCCAAGATAACTTCGATATATCCGTAAATTCGCCATATCTATGTTCGCACTAAATGAGTTTTGCTGTACTACTATTACGCATACAGTTAACTGATTTTCAGTTAGACCTTAGGAAAAAAACATTTTATATACTAGCATATTATTTGTCAATGAAAAAAAAACATAAATATTTGAAGTGTTAGAAAAGGGAACAATATTTGAATTTTTTTTTACATCATTAAAAGAGTGTATTCAAAAGAAATAGAGTTAAATGCTTTGAGATTTGAAATTTGGAGACTGTCTACAGTATCTTACGTGGCTGTGTCGTTGGAACAAGTTACATTGACTGAAGAGATATCCTCCGTTTTGTTACTGACGTAAGTTTGATTCTGGGCCACCACGGTAATGGATCGCATGTACATCAGGAGACATGAGGAGTTGATTAGCGTTCCGTTCGCTACGTTTATAACAGTAGGTGTAACTGCCTCCTCCTGTGTACTCAGGAGTTTTCTCTTCATTTCCATACCACTACTTCCCGCCTGTAAACAAAATTATTTTCTCATACTTCCATATACTTTGACATCAAGGAATGTACTTAAATTAATATTGTATCTTTTCAATTATTTTTATTTTCAAATGTAATAAATTAAATTTTCATTTTGTTTTCTTTCTTTTTTTTTTGGTAAAAAAAAACATAACTAAACCTATATGATGCAAAAGAAAACAATTAATTAAAGTATTTCACTAAAAGCTTTTTCTAGCATCTGAATCACCATGATTACAATGTAAAAAATACAAAATGTACTCAAACTGTTCATTATGGCAGAGTTATATAAACAAAAACAAAATAGCAGGTTTATTTTTTTTCAAATTGTTCAGCTTATATTCTGACAACAATAAGCTGTGGTATCTGTAAATAAGACTTTTGTCTATAAACACTTACGGCTTGTGAGGTCTTGGCTGTATAGAGAGCAGTGTACTTCACGCCTCGCTTTGTCAGCTGTCTCATCACCTTAGCTATGGCTTCATCTGCAAGGACAATTACTATCATGGGATGCATGTAACAAATACTGAGGCTACTGCACTACTGATGTCGCATTTGAAAATCTAAGATCCAGGTAATATTTTATTCAAAGAGTAAATTAAACTTTGGGAAATGGAAAACTTTCACCTTTAAACTGCTGTGTAATACACATGTAATGGACATCAACGAATTTTAAAGTAAACATTAAGCATGATTGTAAGTTCACATAAATATAAGGATTCTAAAAAAAATTTAGATTTAAATTATTTAGAAATGGGATCTTTTCTACAATCATATGAAAAAATCATATAAAATAAAATGCATTGCTTCTAGACATCATAGTTTGTCTTTTCATAATAACTGTGGGCTGCAAATCTATATAGTATTAGCTGCAGAACTGTAGGTCTACGAGAAGGAAAAATTTGGATAAACATACTCTTTTATGTGCATCTGATTTTTCTTTACCAGGGAGCTTTAGTACTACATCTATGTGCTAAAAGCCTAAAAGTATACCATTCTTCTGGAATCCTTCTGCTTCACTGGGACTGTCAGAAATGGAGTTCAAGGTCACAATGATCAAATTGGGAACAGCGGTGTCAAGGTCAATCTTGGTCATGTCCTGACCCTTGACTTGGTGAACTTTTCCTTTGAATTTCTTGATTGTTTCATCCACTGCCAGACCAGGGAGATGAACGGATGGGAGACTTAAGGAAGACAGGTCATCCATGAAGCTCTATTAAACCAAAGAAATTGTTTTTTGAAATATGAAAAGTTGTAATATTTGTTATTATGCTGAATTCATACCTACATAATACTTTTGTTTCTTTGTCCTGTCAGGTACAGTGTTATTAAACACAAAGATATTTTCCAATCATTTCTATTAAAGTTGAATTTTGGAACCTCTAACACAAATATTTTGAATTCCTAGAGGTAATTTGCAAGTCTCAACTACTTATTATTTACATATTTTACTCTAACTTGATAATATCTTGAAGATTTTATCAGTCCCATAGATGTTTGAGATAACTTGGATGTGACAACTCTTGATTAATAATACCTTAATGTTCTTGAAGACTCCGCCATCACTGTCTGGATTGTAAACATCGGCATGCTGGGTGAAGTCCTGAAGACTTAGCTTTAAAAAAAAAATTACAAAGTAGACCAAAGTGAGGACTCTCTGAGTTATCTAATAAAATAGGGTAGGGGTTAAAGCAGGCCTTTATGATCATGATGATCAAACAGTATCAGGTTGAATCTTTTTTTCTCAAATTTAAATAACTGTGTTAAATCATCCTTTCAACTTTATTTTTTTTTATTTTACAGAACTGTAAGCACGAATCAGAGTCCATGGATTTTTATGACTGCACATTTCATTGACTGGAGACAACTTAAAAAGGAGATGCTATAAAGAAGGCTGCCCTAAAACAAAGATAAAATCATCTTTTCCAAAGTTTAGAAATACAGTGAGTTAAGGTATTAGATGTATAACAAGCATTAATTGTTGAAGAATGAAATTTTACTTTATATTTCCTCATCTTTAGTGTTTGGAGGCTTTAATTCCAAAGTTACATAAAGTTTTGTCCAGACATATTTGAAAAAAGTAGGATTTTCAAATCATACCCCCGCTGTTGGAAAAAGTGAAGGATGTGTAATACCAGAAGAAGAATAAAATGAATGAAATAAATGAAATAAACTCACTTTCAGACTGTAATTTTACTTTAGATGAACAAGAATAACATAGACAATTTATAATAAAAGAATTTTTTTTCAAAAGTTACAATCAACTAGTTAAATTTCCAGATTAAAATACGTAACTCAACATGCTCAATGTTAAGTGTGTATTTCTTACAAAAACAATTAATTCTAATTTTTTTAATTAAAAAAATGAAAAGAGTGGGCTAAAAATTACTTTGATAGAAATTGACTTTAATCAATATTGTACAAATATAAAATACATAAAATATTTTTTACCCGGATATTTTGGAATAATTAAGCATTTACTACCCCTACCCCTAATTTTAATATCCGTTTGCTGATACACAAATATAACTTTTTACTCTCAATACCATTAGTATGATTATGCCATGCTTATATATTGATAAGAGTATAAAGCAACATAAATGAATAAGCCTTATGACATTTTTAACAATGTCGTTGACCTTTTAACCTTGAAAAAAAACCTGTATTATACAAGAACAATTCTGGGAGATAAATAAAATGTACATGTAATTTTGTAATTATTTTAGCTGAAATAGAATGGTATTTTTTCTCGTCATATGTTCAGGGAATTGCAGAAAAACATGATAATAAAATAGATTTTAATATAAATATTTATTATGATAACCCCCCCCTCCCCATCTAATTTTTCTCTATGAAATAAATGCCTAGATTCAAAAACCAAATGAGTTTTCCCTATTTTTATTTTTAAAAAAAAAACCTAATAGTAGAAATGATTTAGTCCTTAACATTTTATTCTTTTTTTTTAAATTAATTTCTTCTCTGTTACTATTCTATGAACCTTTAATTTAGAACCATGAAGATATTTTTTTTTCATTTTGGAATCTCAACCTTTGAACACAGTTATGTAGTTATGCAACAAGAAACGTGTTATGTCCATGGTTTCACACAGAAACATATTTTTTTCATCAGAGAAAACTTGGGAATTTTCTGAATTGCAGGGAACTTTTTTTTTATGTAAACGATTGTACCGATCTATAGCTGTCACCGCGGTCTAGTTTAGCGAATTAACATTATTATAGATGTGAACTTCTACATGTTTCTTAACTATGTTAACTGAAAAATGACTAGAAATACCAGAAATCTGTTAATAAATTACAAAGTTTAAAGAAATAAAAACTTACCTCATTTTCTTTACATATCGAAAGATGTGTGCTATTTTTAGAACTTGGAAAAACCCAAGTATGTATTTTACTTTGAAAAGAATGTTTATGCAGCAATTTGTCTAAGAAACTACTGTATCTTGGTGTTCTATCAATTTAAGATTTGTTCTTTCCTTTGTTAAGTTATTTTCCTCTGCTCTGGTGACATGTATAATGCCAGCGTCTATCAAGTTGTATTGATGAAGAGCCATGCTTGTTTACGACGGTCGATAACTCTTCAGATATTAACAGTGTTACGACATTGGCAATCATCGGCAAATGCCGTCATTTTTACCGGAAGTGCCCTGTTATACATCTAAATCCTTAAAGGAACTTACTCAACATATTTATTGTACAAGCTGTAAAAAATACCTTATCCTGCATAAAAACAACCAGGTTGCCATCTTTTCCAGTTGTCAATGGCTTCAGGTATCGCTGGGAAAAATCTGTAGACAGGACGGTTTTTCCTGCATTACTCTGTGGCAAGTCAGCAAAAGATCTGATAGAGGAAAGAAAATAAATTACAACTGCAGTACTAAGTAAGAAAGAAAATTAATTAACAAATTTATGCAGTAAGAAGTTAAAAAAATAAATTCTATAAGATTTCAGAGAGGAATAAAATACTAAGAAGGAAAATATCACCCTGATTACCATCCAAATTTTCTCTTTTAACATATTTAAAACTACATATTCAACACAGGGTTCAAAATTAAGTTATTAGTGGAATACCTTTTTGCATGTTGTGTGACCATCAATATACCAATATTTTAGTGAATGTGTTAATTTTTTTTCACGATCTTTTTCAATAACTATTTTGATACATTTACCTGCATTCCAACCAGGTTTGTCGTTTCAACTGAAGGTGTTTTGTTTAAAAAAAAAACCACTGAAGTTATCCACAAATACATTTGAATTTTAATATATTTTAATTTTGAACCCTGTGTTTTATTCCTGTTACAGATTTGGTGCCGTTGACCACCCCTGGAATATATACTGCAGGTGAAAGTCTTGCCAGGGGCAATAAGAACTTTGGTTGTGTCTTCGAGGGCAAAGACCTTTAAAGGAGGGGGAAATGTAATGGTAAGGGCCGTGGATATCAGCCTGGATAGCTCAGTCGGTAGAGCACCTGACTAGAGATGTAGGGGTCCTGGGTTCGATTTTCAGTCCAGCCATACATCTTCTCCTTTCCTGTTACACTTTACAGTCCATTCTGATTAAATTTAAAATCAGATTTTTGTTACGCTCCGAAATTCTGACCATTAGAATTTCGGAGCGTAAAAACATCTGATTTTAATCCAGTCTAACTGTGGTTTGAATGTGTCTCTTTAACTGTTCAAACTACAACTCTGTAGTAGAATTCCTGCGTTTCTAAGATGCCCTGGGAGGGTCACATCAAAATAACACATGAGAACTGAAAGAGATATCTAAAATAACGATTTAAGAGAGTGGTTTATTTACACCATTATTACCTGGAAGAAGACCACAATAAAACCGGTACTTTAGCAGAAAATGCAAAGGAAAAACACCCCAAAATAATCAGTAACTTCCCTCTGGACTCCATGATTGATTCAGCAAATACCACGTGACTGGAAATCATGTGACTGATTGACATATAATTTCGGAACCAAAAGGAAGAATATGAATTTCCGGTAATCTTGCGTTAATAAAAAAAAAAAAAGTTTTCTAAATATCATATGAGTCAATATTTATTACTAACCTTTTTATAATAACAATTGAGAAAAATAAACCAAATTACATAGTCGCCAAACACGTCGCTTAGACTAGTACTAAAATCTCGCGATTTTTTTTTTTGCTCTCGCGATAACTCACGAGATCTTTCTTTTCCTTTAGTCGCCATTATGGGTATGTTGTGTTTTGCACGTGGTTTACATTTTGCTGTAATTTCGGAGTAAAATTTAGAAGAAAACTCACCAGGTTTTGATTGAAAACCATTGTTATAAACTAGATTTGTCATATTTATATGCGGATAAGCATTACAAGCACCTAGTCTTGAGCAATTAAACACATAGCAGGGCTTACTATAACACTCTCACCCCCTGCAAAACTTCAAAAGGAACCTATCCTAATTGAAATTTACCTTTTTAAAAAAAAAAATGTAGGTATACAAATTCCAAAATGACAAGCTTAGTAAATTTTCATAGCTTTTCATATAATGAAAAAAAGGACTAATTTTGTGAAAATTTTAACAACTCGAGGAGATGAGGATATTGTACAACCCTTCTGACAATCTAACACTGTATTCAATTACAAAACTTAATTTAAAACACAAATATTTCAAAATTTTGCCTTTTCTTTTTTTTTTTTAAATTTCTCAAGGTCCGAAAAGGGCTAATATGAGCCACACCACACAAGTCAATACTTTTGACACAGAGTTTTGAAAACTGATGAGAATATAATATGGTAAATAGTAGGTAAAGGTACTTTGCATCTTCTTTATTTGACAGGTAAACCCAGGGGTTTAAGAACCGCCAGAAAACAGGTGAACCACAGACGTGACCAGAAATGGCACGATAACGACTATAAGAAGGCCCATTTACCCTCAAGATGGGTCAAGCCCTTCCAGGGGTCCTCTCACGCCAAGGGAATCGTCCTGGAAAAAGTGTAAGTTATATATCTCATATGTTGGATTTCGTAGATTGCATTGCTTTTAAAAGTAGAAATATGTTAAGGGTGGTCACAAACTTTAATACACTGTCTTTAAATATTTTTGGTTCATATGAATGGAAATCACTTTTCTATTTATTTATTCAATGCTAAAAATCTGTGTTTTCTTTTTCGTAGTGGAGTTGAAGCCAAACAGCCAAACTCTGCTATTAGGAAATGCGTAAGAGTCCAGCTTATTAAGAACGGAAAGAAAATCACAGCTTTTGTACCCAACGACGGCTGTCTTAACTATGTAGAGGTGAAGAATGTTTTGTTATGATTTAAGTTTCTTACAAAAGATAAATTATTTCTTTACATGAAACCCGTGAATAGCTAATATTATTGGTTTCTTAATGGTTATAAACACATCTTGTAAAATAAAATTTAGACCTCTTTAAAAAGGCTATACGGGAGGACAGGAAGAAGATTATCGACGAAAACTTTATCCGGACTGTAAAGAACGTGATTGAGAGTCACCAATATCACACTATATCTCGTAAATACCATCTTCGCTAGCCAAGGGTTTCTGATACGCTACTCTCCTCATAAACCCTTGGCCTACGGTGATCATAGAAATCGGGCTTTTTTCCCCGAGTTCTGATTGGATTTCAGTACACCCAGGTCGACCAATCAGCAATTGTTTTTTGTAAATGACAATATTTGCGTTCGGGATTCTTCTTGACTCTTTAATCTCGGAAATCAAAAACTATTAAATTCTATGAATAGCCATGGTGTCATCCAGTATCTTCTAAATGTGTGATTAAAAATCTATATTGAAGCTTCCGATTTGTTCTATAAATTATGAATAAACATAACTCAATTATTGCTTCTTAATTATCCTTGAAAAAACTTTGATTTAATTTTTTTTAACGTGTCTTTACTTCTGGCGATGACGTAATCTGTGCATACCTGTTAGATTCGAGATCATGTGACGGAAAACAATCCCGTCTAAGACTTTGACTTCACCGTAGGCCAAGGGTTTATGAGGAGAGTAGCGTATCAGAAACCCTTGGCTAGCGAAGATGCATAAATACTTGCAGTTCTTGTTTTTAAAACAAAAAAAGAATATTCTTTACTTGTTTAATATATTTTAATCTTGACAAGAAATGGTGTTTGGATGCTGAGTAGATAAGGTAACTCAAACTGTATAGGTACTCTTGGGAAAATGTTGAGAAAATGAAAGCTCAATATCATGTTTTTTTATAATGCCTGTGACGTCAGGCCTTTGCTACTCCTTGATTTAATGATATGTCCTGAAAAATCACTCAAAATTGATACCAATTTACAACATTTTGATATGAAATTTTGAAGACCATTGGTTTATAGTAAAGATTCTCTTATATTATGTTTGACATTTTTCCCGATTACAATATGCCTTCAAATATTTTTTCTGTGCAACAAGTCCGCATAATTTTTTAATGGTCTTCGTATTTGTCAACAAAAATTGTGTAGTCTGAAATATCTGACATTTTCCTGCCTTTTTTACGATTTTGATATTTTATACTTTTTCAAAAAAAAAAAATTGTTGACCTTTGCTGTTTAATCAGCATAGTTATAAGTCAAGTATTGCTTCCTGATTCAAAAAAGAATGAGGTATATTGATACTGATTAAGGTATGTTGTCAATTAAAAGCGATATTGATGTATATGCATTTGAAGACTAAAGGTATGAAAAAATTAGACATACATTGTAAAAAATGTGAAAAAGATATTATGCCTAGCTTTGGAGTTATACAGTGATGATCTCTTGTTACAGGAAAACGACGAAGTTTTGGTCGCTGGATTCGGTAGAAAAGGTCACGCCGTAGGAGATATTCCCGGAGTCCGATTTAAGATCGTCAAAGTGGCTAACGTTTCACTGCTCGCTCTGTTCAAGGGGAAGAAAGAACGACCAAGGTCATAAGATGTAATTAATGTAATAAAGACTTTCGAGGGAAATGTTGTTTTGTTTTTTGAGAGAAGGAAGAATTGCAAAGTTTTAATGTTGTTCAAGGAATGTTTTTTATCTAAGACATATCTAAATTCCTAACAACGTTTCAAATTCCCTATTTCTTTTAAATTCACAAGGCCTGCAATTCCTGACATTTTGGTCTGAACTGCAAGTTGAAATCATGAGAAAACATTTTCTAGGCAAACTAAGAGGTAATGATTAAAAAAAATGAATTGTTTTAGGAAAGTATGTTTCATGCATATATTTGAAAAGAACCTGATTTAAACTTAAATATGATAACCAGTATTGTAATAAATGCATGAGACTACAAGATGGCAATAATTTGCAGACCAGGTTGATTTTGTAAAAGGGCACATCTTTGTTTAGTGACTTGGAAGGGAGGGTATAAATATTATAAGTTGGACTATAAAAAAAAACAATAGCTTTAAAAGCTCTCATACCGACTTGTTTATCAACTTGTTGGACCGCTTACCCCACACAATTGGAGGAGGGTTATCTGAAGAATTGATGGGATTTCAATGGGAGGGGGGTGTATCTGAAAATCTGTGAAAGGGATTTCAAACTTCTACTTTAAACTCCTGATTTCCATTCTTATGAAGATGCGATATATCCTAGCTGGTATTAGCTTGTGATAAAAGATACCACGGAGTCTGATACATCTGTTTCATATTTGGATATTTTACTTGAAAAAGACCTTAACGGTATTCTAACAACCAAGCTCTACGATAAAGGCGATGACTTGAATTTTCATATCGTAAACTCCCATTACTTATGCAGCAATATACCTTCATCACTTGCATAAGGAGTTTACATGTATGTATCTCAGTTGATTCGATACGTAAGACCATGCTCTTCGTATGAACAATCTATAAAACGAGGTAAAATATTGTCAGACAAGTTTATGAAACAAAAATATCAGTAGTCTCGTTTAGAGTCATCATTTCGGAAGTTTTATGGTCGAAACAATGACCTTGTCAGCAAATACTATTTATCATTGAGTCAAATGCTGACTGACGGTTTTCAATATTAGTCCATTATTTATTCACTGAATTTACGACTGATTTTTCCGTTCATGGATTAAGGAGCTCGTGTACGGAGTGTTTGACCGGTCGACAAGGGATGCTTACTCCTCCATGGCAGCTGATCCCACCTCTGATGTTTTGGAGGTCCGTGCGTTGCTCTGCTTCTGTTTTGTATTAATTATTTTATGTATGGACTTTTGATCTTGAATACTGTCGTTATGTCCATATGTTTCATTCTGTGGGGGGAAATCCCATATGATACCTTTTCTCTCAAAGGATAATGGTGGGTTATTGGTTAGAAGAAGAAATCCCACCTGTATCCCATAGGGTTTCCTGTTTGTAGGTATAGTTAACACTAATCTTTTTTTACCTCGAAGATAATCAAGATAATCGGCGCGAGATTTTCTGTTGGGGAGATTTTTTCTACTTTCCAGTTTCCAGCACTGGTAAATCATCTGCATGTACATCTCATCCCTTATTTCAAGACCAATTTCATATTCAACCTGTATAAGTTATCCATCTCCCAACCCCTTATCATGCTTATAATCGTCTTTAGAGGCGGATAAACATGCTTAAATTGTTCTGAATTTTGTGCCACCCGGCTATAAAGCGTTAAAGGGGGGAAAGGTATAGATGATTGACCAAATGCTGGAAAGTATTACATTGGCGTCGGAAGCAAATTAAAAGTTGGGGGGAGGGGGGCTAAGTGTAAGAAAATTTTTTTTAGACCTCCCAAAAAACCTGACAAGCAAAAAAAAAAAAAGGAAATGTTCATTGTTCAAACACGAAAATCCTATTTCGTGTTGGGGGTGTATAGGTTCGAATATCATTTTTTTTCCGAACAGCAACACCTTCCCAATTTTAAAACTATAACGTCACTGTGCAACGTGTCTGTGGAAAGTGGGGGGGGGAGGTAAACCTACGCAGCAATGTTTAATGTCTATACTAAGTCTATCTTTGGTAAAGTTCCGACGCCTATGTATATTATTTTTCCCTTCTCCCAGTACTACGTTCCTGTAGAATACAGATACCCATTGACATTTCCGGAATAATAGTGTTTATCGTATATAGTTTAGATTTATGGACGTTAATGTAATTTCCGATGCAGTTTTTGAGGAAAACAAACAATGAACCATCGATTGTATGTTTTGTCAAAGTTTGAACCAAATTTAAACTGTCATAGTTTTACATAACAATTTACTTAAATTTAACATCGATAACGATTGTGTTCAATATTTTTCTAATCTTTAAATGATACTGTTGTGAACCTCAGACGATTTTAACAACAGGTGAATTTTAATCAGGTCCAGTGCAATTAGTGCATTAGCTACGCAGTTAAAACTTCTTAATGAAAGTAAACAGACTTAAAAAACCTTCTTGATAAAGAAGCATGTGATTAAGATATTTGCAATAATTGTATTTAACCTAAGTCAAGCTAGCGGCCAATAACGAAATACATTTATAAATTTTATGTTTATCGACTAGAAAAATGTGTTTCTCGAACCCGACGCAATAACTATGATTAATTAATTAAAACGTAGCACCAAAACTAGGAATTGTGTCACTTAGGGGAGCCCGAGATACTAGGGCTCGAAGGCGCCCCTCTTGATTTCCGGTCTCAAAAGGAACCCAATTTACACCGTTTCTGGGCGCCAGGACGCCAAATCCAACCCTATTCTCGGATACATATATGTCCTTTGGGGGTCTAGAGATGGCGCCATGGCGCCCTCTCTAGACCCCTATAGTACATATATGTATCCGAGAGTAGGGTTGGAGTTGGCACCCTGGCGCAAGAATCGGTGTAAATTGGGTCCCTTTTGAGAACTGAAATCAGCAGAAGCGCGTTCGAGCCCTAGTGTCCTGGGCCTCCCCTGGGTGGCATAATTTCTAGTTTGGGCGCCGGGCACCGTCTCTAGACCCTTATTATTATAGTACATATATGTATCCGAGAATAGGGTTGGATTTGGCGCTCTGGCGCCCAGAATCGGTGTAAATTGGGTCCCTTTTGAGAACTGAAATCAGCAGAAGCGCGTTCGAGCCCTAGTGTCTTGGGCCTCCCCTGGGTGGCACAATTGCTAGTTTGGGCGCCAGGCGCCATCTCTAGACCCTTATAGTACATATATGTATCTGAGAATAGGGTTGGATTTGGCGCTCTGGCGCCCAGAAACAGTGTAAATTGGGTCCCTTTTGAGATTGGAAATCAACAAGGGCGCCTTGTGTCTAGTGTCGTGGGCTCCCCTAAGTGGCACAATTCTTAGTTTGAGTGACAGACATTTATTAATAAATCTGTGTTTTTTACATCGGGTTCGATAAACACTTAAATATAGTCGATGTACATTTTTAGTTATTGGCCGCTAGCTTATTGGCCGCTAGCTTGACTTTAATTTTGAGGAAAACAAACAATGAACCATCGATTGTATGTTTTATCAAAGTTTGAACCAAATTTAAACTGTCATAGTTTTACATAACAATTTACTTAAATTTAACATCGATAACGATTGTGTTCAATATTTTTCTAATTTCTTTAAATGATACTGTTGTGAACCTCAGACGATTTTAACAACAGGTGAATTTTAATCAGGTCCAGTGCAATTAGTGCATTAGCTACGCAGTTAAAACTTTTTAATGAAAGTAAAGAGACTTAAAAAACCTTCTTGATAAAGAAGCATGTGATTAAGATATTTGCAATAATTGTATTTATGTACATGTATTTTACTTTGAATATTTATATTCAGTGTAATTTTTTCTTATCCATTAGAAATGCATGACTTTCAAATCTCTGTCGACAAATAACACAGGCGAACCTTGTCAACATGAGTTAGAATACACAGTAGGAACTAAATGCATTTTTCAAAACCAAAATGTACAATGATTTGACTCTATCTGATAAATAAAAAATAACTATGATATCTTTGTTAAATTAACATAAAATGCAACAAATGTGCATTTAAAATTAATTTGTCACTTTTTCCTCGAAATATGTTTGCTTTGTTTTGTAATGTTAGAAACGGCTTTTACATTTAATAAGCTCACTAGTTTTGAAGGGCACTAAATTCACATTAAATATAAACGAAATAAACAAATTTTATGAAGAGGGAAAATTAGATAAAAAATATTTTTGGATGTTGGCAATCTTACGTTTTAACACACCTAGCCATGCCAACAAATTATGATCATACTGAGCTAACACGTGGTATTTAATATGTCGGCATGGACAGGTGTGTTATAAAAGAAATGAAATCCAGAAATATGAATTCAATGCTTAAAGAACAATTATTTTATCAATAAGAGAAATAGCTCACACTAGCATTTTTCTCTTTAGAAAAGTACAGGCTTTCACCTACATCCATGGTTTGTTATGAATCAGAGAAAAGGATGAAAATGATTTATTTGAATTCCATGATAAATGTTTTTTTTTTTTTTACTTGTCTTACATGAAGAAGCATGATAAGAGGAACTGATATTTTTTTTTTTTTTTTTTACAGCATCATGTTTTTAAGTAAGTTTTCAGCTACCGGTATTTTGCTTTAAATAGTTATCATGACTGTAAGCCAACATGGTAATGTCAATAAAGTGATTGGAATATTGAATTTAATATATTTCAAGTGATGGTTTCAAGGTGAAGGAGAATGATGGGGGAGTTAGTATATCGTGTGAAAAGTACGGAAATAAGTTTCAGCGAGAATTCCATCGAATGTGGAAGGAGCAAATACTGTGTGATGCCACAATTACAGTAAGATTGTAAAAAAAAATTCACCAGAACACTGAATTTTTCGCTCTTGATTTTTATTCGGGTGCGGGAGGTGTCAGGTTTGTTTCAGAAATTTAAATATCTAATGATGTTTCTCTTACTGCTATCATGACTATGTAACTATGAATATATATAAATTCATATACCCACAAGAAAAAAATTATCTTGAGAGGACTTAAGATGTTAAAAGAAAGATATAATAATATACAATTATTTTGATAATACAAATGTATTCTGTAACTTGCTTAAAGTGCTTGAGATTAAAATATGGATTATTTAGTTTGGTACATACATGATATTTTTATCTGGTCATAAAAATCTTTATAATGTCAATTCTGGAGTGCTGATTATTCTTTTATGATACACTATTAAAAAAGGTGAAATGTAAAGATGCTAGAATATACTTTTTTTCACTGCAGACAGAGACAGGAGAGGAAATCCCCGTACACAGGTCGGTCCTATCTATGCACAGCGACTACTTCATGGCCATGTTTACCTCTGGTCTACAAGAGGCTTGTGTCGCCAACCCCAAAATAAGTCTGACAGAGCACCCAGCCGATATTGTTAAAGGCCTCCTCAAGTTTATGTATACCGGTACTCTTACAGGTAAAAATGTTGTTTTAAGCTTAACTTGAGTATCTGAAACATCAATATACTAAAGAAATTTGCGAGTCACGACAATTTATTATTTATTTCATCCTGCTAAAAGCCATATACTTGGATATGTAAAAAAAAAAATGAATGTTTCTTTGTCCCAGCAAGTTTGAGATACATGTAATAAGGTTTAACTTGATATGATTGTATATATATATATATTGCAACTGTATTGTGCAATGTTGCTACAAAGGCTTGAGATTAAACCAGAAATTGTTCCATTTATTACATGGTTTTCTATTTGTAAGAATTTGAATAATGACTAATTTCAATACATGTGTACAGCCTACTGATATAACTATAGTGGTTAAGTTGATTTTTTCTGCAGACTTGAACAGGGAGACAATCCAGGATTACATTATGTTGATGGACCAGCTACAGATGTTGTCACTGAAGAATGCCTGCTGTCCTTACATGGAGGACAACATTGACACCAACAACTGTCTAGGTAACCAGAAAATAAATTATAGATTCATTAAAAGAGCATGGCTATGAAGTTAATGACTATCTCAATCACGAACAACTTTCTAGCCAACCAGCCCTATTTTTTTTCATTCTTGATTTTGATTTTTTCCCCAGATGTCTGGCTTTTGATCAGATATTTTTTTTTAATTCTTTTTTTTTTTTCAGATGTCTGGATATTTGCACAGAGATTTTCCTGTGAGGACATGCAGAGGAAATCCTTGTCTCACATAAAGCACCAGTTCAGCTTTGTATCCTGCCAGGAAAACTTCCAGCACTTGGAAACTGACGCTTTGTTGTTTTTACTGCATTTAGATGATCTTAACATGAGTGAGTGTATTTCTGAAACATTTTTAAAAAGTTACTTGAAATATGCATGAAACAAAGTGATGCAATCAGATGTAATGAATGAAATATATGGAGATAACAAACAGTACATTAGACAAAAAAAAAAAAAATAGGAGCAAAGCAAATACAGACCTCCAAAACATCAGAGGTGGAAATAAGTGCCATGGAAGATTGGGCAGCCAATGCCAACTGGTCACATTCGTGAATGATTTAATATCATCAGAAGTCAAATTTTTTATAATCTTTGTTAAGGAGAAAATTCAACTCAGATGATTTGTTAATTTCAATCCCAATAATTAAATTCACTTTATTAGCTCACCTGAGCCGAAGGCTCAAGTGAGCTTTTCTGATCACATTTTGTCCGGCGTCCGTCTGTCCGTCTGTCTGTCTGTCTGTCTGTCTGTCCGTCTGTCTGTCTGTCTGTCCGTAAACTTTTCACATTTTCGACTTCTTCTCAAGAACCGCTGGGCCAATTTCAACCAAACTTGCCACAAAGCATCCTTGGGTGAAGGGGATTCAAGTTTGTTCAAATAAAGGGCCATCCCTTATTCAAGGGGAGATAATTGAGAATTAGTGAAAATTTGGTGGTATGTTTTAAAAATCTTCTTCTTAAGAACCACTGTGCCAGGAAAGTTGAAACTTATGGGGAAACATCCTCAGATAGTGTAGATTTAAGTTTGTTCAAATCATGTCCCCCAGGGGTAGGGCGGGGCCACAATGGCCGACCAAAGTTTTATATAGAAATATATAGGAAAATTCTTTAAAAATCTTCTTCTCAAGAACAGCAGAGCCATAATTGCTCATATTTATATAGAAGCATCCCCAGGTAGTGTAGATTCAAGTTTGTTCAAATCATGACCCCCAGGGGTAGGGCGGGGCCACAATGGCCGACCAAAGTTTTACATAGAAATATATAGGAAAATTCTTTAAAAATCTTCTTCTCAAGAACAGCAAAGCCCTAATTGCTCATATTTGTATGGAAGCATCCCCAGGTAGTGTAGATTCAAATTTGTTAAAGTCATGACCCCCGGGGGTAGGGCGGGGCCACAATGGCCGACCAAAGTTTTATATAGAAATATATAGGAAAATTCTTTAAAAATCTTCTTCTTAAGAACAGCAAAGCCAGAATTGCTCATATTTATATGGAAGCATCCCCAGGTAGAGTAGATTCAAATTTGTTCAAATCGTGACCCCCGGGGATAGGGCGGGGCCACAATGGCCGACCAAAGTTTTATATAGAAATATATATGAAAATTCTTTAAAAATCTTCTTCTCAAGAACAGCAAAGTCATAATTTCTCATATTTATGTGGAAGCATCCTCAGGTAGTGTTGATTCAAGTTTGTTCAAATCATGACCCCCAGGAGTAGGGCGGGGCCACAATGGCCGACCAAAGTTTTATATAGAAATATATAGGAAAATTCTTTAAAAATCTTCTCAAGAACAGCAAAGCCATAATTGCTCATATTTATATGGAAGCATCCCCAGGTAGTGTAGATTCAAGTTTGTTCAAATCATGACCCCCGGCGGTAGGGCGGGGCCACAATGGCCGACCAAAGTTTTATATAGAAATATATAGGAAAATTCTTTAAAAATCTTCTTCTCAAGAATAGCAAAGCCATAATTGCTCATATTTATATGGAAGCATCCTCAAGTGTAGATTCAAGTTTGTTCAAATCATGACCCCCGGGGGTAGGGTGGGGCCAAACTTTTGGATTCAAACTTTTCAATAGTAAACCAATTACTACTTTTTCCTAGCCACAATGCTCCGGTGAGCGATGTGGCCCATGGGCCTCTTGTTGACAATTACCATGTCGGCATACAGTCATGAACATGAATAACATAACATAAATTAACACAATTAATACAAGCATATACAAAGTGAGAAATGTGAGGTGAACAAAATTGTGTATTTCTCAATATTAATATTCATTTTTGACTTTCTTTTCTGATGTCAAAGCACTTTTTCCAGAAACAACATATCCTTCTAGCAGTTGAAATATTTGTAGGATTGACAATTTTTCTAATGGGGTTATCACTAGTATATGTGTTTACATTAAATATATCATTATAATTGCATCTATATTGATCATACTTTGGACAATAAAGAACAAAATGTTTTTCGTCTTCAACAAACAATTTACATGAATAACATAGACGTTTTTCTCTAGGAATAAGGGGTTTACAGTATCTACCCGTTTCAATATACAGTGGGTGGGCACTGATCCTTAATTTTGTTAATAAAGGTCTACAAATAAAGCTTAGGGAAGAAACACGCACGCTAACTCTCGATTCCCGCCTACATTTTGGAACCAATTAATTCAATATGAATAGCAATTCGGCCATAAAATCTTTGTTTAATACAAAGAACAGTTCAATGGTAATTGATAAATCGTCCTAATACCAGCGCTAAACAGTAAATTATCAATAATTCCAGCTCTTGAAAAAAGGGGGGTAGACGATATTTTCCATTGAAATCGGAGTTTCAAGCATCACTGTATTTTGAAATAGTCTTGGATATGATTAAATGTTCCTTATATCTTTTCTTATGTTTTAGGCAAATAAATAAAACATAAATATTTCAATAAAATATAATGTTTCAGCTGTATATCGCTTTGAAATTGGTGGAAAATAAGCATTTTTATCGTTTTTTGTCAATAAACATATGTTCCCCCCCGTGTCACACAAAAAGCTTTGGTATGAATTTGTGAAATACCATTCCATATTACCTGTAAAAAGGAATTTTTGTGACACGGGGGGGGGGGGGGAAAGATGTTTTAAAAATATTTTCCATTTTTCATTGATTTCTATAGTGAAAAACACAAGTCTTACCAAAATTTTAGAGTTATCTCTCTTTGTTTTCCCAAATAAGTAATGTTTTATGAAAATCCATATAATTATCTATAAAAAATATAAAAAATTCATCGAATATGTTAGCTTCTGAAAATTGAATTGGAGGTAGGCGGGAGAACAATACTATCGTTCGCAGTTCTTTGTTTACTTTAAAAATCTTTAAATTTTAATTTCATTTTATTGTAATTTTCTTTCACAGACAGTGAGAAAGTGATTCTGGACTGTATACAGAGGTGGTTAGAGAATCACAGAGGGATAAGTATGGAGACCCTCTGGGACATTATCAGGTGTATAAGATTTAATCAGCTGACTCAACATGACATTTCTATCTTCTCAGAGCAATTCTCAGAAAGCAATCCCAGCCAAACCCAAGGTAATCTGTTATAATGAGTGGGAGAAATATGCAATAATCTTCTCGAACATAATTACATGTATTTAAAATCAAATTCTTTTTAATGAAAATTTTTTGTATGTGATTTGACAGCTTGAAATTCATTTATGAATCTAAATTGTCAAGACTCAAGAAGCAATTTGGATTAATACAGAAATAGATAAATTATCATTATGATTTAGACATGTAAAAAATAATCCAAAGTGGATAAAAGTTTATAAAAATAAATTGGAGTCTTAAATAATAAATTTCAGCATTTTAAATTTGCTTAAGATATGTTTTGAAGTATAATTGTGCTTTTAAAAAAAATCATAAATCTTTCTTGGAAAGATCTTACGGTAGGTACAAAATGTTATTTTTATTGTTTTCAGAAATAGAAAACTACATACAACAGTATAAAACATGTGTGAAAGATCGACCAAGAAATGAAAGAAAACACATCTATGCTATTGGGGGATACTTCCAATCTCGGACTGGGTAAGTCTCGGAAATGTTAATTAGTTTCAATAATAATTATATCAAAATGATATGATCTGTAGTTCTTAAGATACAAAAATAGGTCATTAGTCCATTAGTCTCTCAAATTACTGTGAAATCACAAATTTTTGTGGGGGTTTAATTTTCTTTGTTTTCAAGGTATGAAGAGACCCATGAATTTATGACCACCACAAAATGTAAAATGTTACTGATACATACATAACTACTTACCAATTCCTCATCCATGAAATCAAATCCCCATGAACCAAGAGTTTTTCCTTAAACCACGAAAATTCGACCCCACGAAAATATGTGATTTTACAGTATACTGGCTTGAATTGAGCAGTCTCTGACATCATAAAAATAAAATTTTACAAAAACTCTGCTTATGTCTTTTTTGTAGTCCATGTTCTCCTCGCCTTCAGACCGTAGAACAATATGACGCCATAGAAGACACGTGGAAATCCATGACCCAATTCCCTGTCCTGGCCTCAGCCATCTACGCCGTGGAAATATTTGGAAAACTGATCTGTTTTACTTCCTACTCCACTGTGTTCCTAGCTGCTTTTGAATTTGATCCCATTCAGCTGAAATGGAAAGACTGTTCATCACAGTTCCAAGAAAACTGTCTAAAGAACATGAAGGAATGTTTTAAAGTTACCGGTGCCATTACATATTGTTGTGAATCAAATACACTGTTTGTGTTGTGTGACAATAACACGCATGCCTACAGAATGATGCTGTCTGATAACGGAGACTTACAAATTGGTGCCACACAGAGTTGGAGATATCCCATGAACCCTTCTCTGGCCTCGTTTGCAGCTGTGACACTGAACAAAGATCTATACGTCTTGGGCGGGGAGGAGAGACTCTCCGTTAGGGACGTGACCCAGATTCGTGACGTCATGAAATGTAACATCCAGCGGAATGATTGGGAGAAAATGACACCTATGCTAGAGGCTAGAGCCAGCTTTGATGCTGTTCAGTTTGGTATGCTATTAAATTCCTCAAATAGTCCATGTATTTCATTTTAGCAAGATATGTTTGACATTTGATAAAATTTGAATTGCGATTAATATTTTTTGGTTTTATTCATTTATGTAATGTATTTCATCCCTCTTATCATCATGACAATTTAATGAAAAATCTTATTTTTATAATTTTTATAGGTATGTGTGATTACCTGTTTTGCCATTATATTACTACAGCCCAATTAGGCAATAGATTTAAGAAGTAGAGTCAGACTTTGAATTCAGGGTTTCCTATGTTTATCAATGCAGTGCTTGTCAGCTGAATACACAGATGTTTCTGCAGCGTACTATGACCTTTTATCTTTTCTACATTGACACAGATGGCAGGATTTATGTAGTGGGTGGTTTTAACAACAGGAGACTACGTACAGCTGAAATGTACTCACCGGTGACTGACCAATGGACCTTTATATGTAGCATGAACAAAGAGAGGAGCCACCTTAAAGCAGCCGTGCTGTCAAACAAGCTGTATGTGATAGGAGGTAAGAAATGTAATCATGTAATGTAAACACTGTAATATGTAACAGATATTAATGTAATAATCAAACAATGATATGTAATAAGAGGTATGTAATGTACACGGAATCATGTAAACTAAAGCAGTCATGCTGTCAAACAGAGTATATGTGGTAGGAGGTAAGAAGTGTATGTTAATCTTAGTTGTAAACTGAAGCAGCTCTCAAACAAGATGTTTGTTTGTTGAACGAGGATAATAACAAACTTAAGTAATCTAAATCAAATGAGATATAAAGCAGCTTTACTGTCAACCAAATTATTTGTTGTAAGAGGTTAACTAAATGTAATGTTATCATGTAATCTTAAACAGTGATATGTGATAGGAGGTATGTAATGTAATTATGTACACTGTACTCTAGAGCAACTGTATTGTCAAAGAAAATGATCTGTAGTTTCTATTTTATACAGCTGAAGACAAGGGGATATTGTTTGCAATTTATCATTTTTCATTCTTTGAAATGTTTTTTCTGAAATAAAGTTTTTTTAAAACTACTTTAAATTAATAGTATATTAACTCTTGTTTCGGGATATTATTTTCTATAAGGACCTACATTTTACTGGTCTCTTATAAGTTAGTTGTTAGATTCTTTGCCATGTTACTCTCATTTTGTAATGGCTAACTGTAATACGTTTTTATTTTTATACAATAACATGAGCGTATTTCTTCCCTTTGAACAGGTAAATCCTACTCCAGATTTGAGGGTGGGGCCAGGAAAGTGTTGAGTTCTGTGGAGGTCTATGATTCCTACACAGATACCTGGAGCTTTGTACAGCCCATGCAGCAGAGCAGATGTATGTTTGGAGCTGTTGTTCACTAGTCATGTCATTCAAAGTTATTTTATAATAAACTTTAATGTTTCTCTGAAACAGGTGTCCATTTCAGTATTTCATGCTTTATAAAGATTTGATGTAACGACTGTAATGTAACAAATTTGATTTTAATGCCACAGAACAGGTTAAATAGTTTATCTAACAAAGTACTATAAAATTCAGTAAATCAAATAATGTTTGAATTCGACTACATACTTTTATTTCTCAAGTCTTTTCATGTCTGTAATTTAGTTAGAAATATATGAGGCAACCAAAACATTTTAATACCCCACGCAACAAGTTGCGTGAGGTATAATGTTTTTGACCCGTCCCTCAGAGTGTCAGTCAGTCAGTCCTGTTTTTTTTTTTTGTTAGCGCAACTCCTCATAAGCTGCTGCACAGAATTTCGTCAAACTTTGCAGATATTTAGGACACAATGTGTAGATGTGCATATTACCAGGAAATTTTTATTCCTTAATTTTTTCCGGGAATTTCTGCACTTTTTAACTTAGGTGTTTGGCCATACCTTGAATATAGAGATGAACAGTTTGTCAGTGCAACTCCTCATAAACTGCTGCACAGAATTTCGTCAAACTTTGCAGATATTTAGGACACAATATGTAGATGTGCATATTACTAGGAAATTTCGATTCCTTTATTTTTTCCGGGAATTTCCACACTTTTCATCTTAGGTTCATCTTAGGTTTTTGGCCATACCTTGAATATAGAGATGAACAGTTTGTCGCACTTTGCACAGAATTTCAAACTTTGCAGATATTTAGGACACAATATGTAGATGTGCATATTACTAGGAAATTCCGATTCCTTTATTTTTTCCGGGAATTTCCACACATTTCAACTTAGGTTTTTGGCCATTTTTATCTTAGGACTTTTTAACTTAGGTGTTTGGCCATTTTTTGAATATAGAGATGAACAGTGTGTCAGCGCCACTCCTCTTAAACCGTTGCACAGAATTTCGTCAAACTTTGCAGATATTTAGGACAAAATATGTAGATGTGCATATTACCAGAAAATTCCGATTCCTTTAATTTTCCGGGAATTTCCACACATTTCAACTTAGGTTTTTGGCCATACCTTGAATATAGAGATGAACAGTTTTTTAGCGCAACTCCTCTTAAACTGCTGCACAGAATTTCGTCAAACTAAGGAGGTATTTAGGATACAATGTGTAGATGTGCATATTACCAGGAAATTCTGGTTCCTTTATTTTTTCCGAGAATTTCCGCACTAAAAACTTAGGTTTTTGGCCATACCTTGAATATAGAGATGAACAGTTTGTCAGCGCAACTTTTAATTTTCATCAAACTTTGCAGATATTTAGGAAACAATGTGTAGATATGCATATTACCAGGAAATTCCGATTCCTTTATTTTTTCCGTGAATTTTTCAACTTAGATTTTTGGCCATACCTTGAATAAAGAGATGAACAGTTTGTCAGCGCAGTCCTCTTAAACCGCTGCACAGAATTTTGTCAAACCTTAAAGATATTTAGGACGTAGTGTGTAGATGTGCGTATTACTAGGAAATTCCGATTCCTTTATTATTCTGGGAATTTCCGCACTTTTCAACTTAAAGTTTTGGGGGATATCTTGAATATAGCGATGAACAGTTTATCAGCGCAACTCCTCATAAACCGCTGCATAGAATTTCAGCAAACTTTGCAGATATTTAGGACACAATGTGTGGATGTGCAAATTACCGGGAAATTCCAATTCCTTTATTTTTTCCAGGATTTTCACTTTTAATTAAATGTGCTTTCTCTTTGTTGTAAAAATAGTGCTTTGGTATCAAATAATTAAAAAAAAAGTGAATCAGATATTATTTCACTACAAATAATTTTTGTTTTAAATGTATCTGCATTTTGACTTCCTTGGGACCAGGTTTTTATGTTTAAGGCCATTGTATCTGATGTATTCTATCTTTTTTATCTATTCTGCATAAAATTTTGATAAAGGCATTCATAAGTGGCATTATAAGTGTCATGATATAAAAAATATATACATTTATGTGCTGACCATTGTCTGATATTGTAATCATCTGTTTTGTCAGTGTATTTACTTTAAGGCCTTGTGATATGTTATTGCCAAGTCTCTTATTCTTTTGTCCAGCTAACTCTGTATTCAAAGAAGCCTTGGCAAAATATACACTAGTAAAACCAACTTATAGCAAACACACCTATGATCAATTGTCATTTACAATGAACGGATTTCAATTCTCAGTGGCTTTAAAATGGATAAAATGGAAGCAAAATCATGAACACCAGAATTATCTGTTCAATTTACACTATACAGGTATTTAGGTCGGGCATTCATCTAATTTGGGTATATTTTTTATTTATAAAAACATGTATACATTTGCTGCAGGCAGCCAACTTGTCTAATTCAGAGTATAATCGTTTTTACTTTTTTTTGTTTACTGCTGCATTTATATATGCAATCATGAATTAAAGAAATAAACAGTACTGTATCAACTTTACGTAGTTCATGTTCTGTATGAATTAATGTGTGGCATTGCTTTTTGCTGGAATATTCTCAATATCACCATAGCTTCAAACTTAACTGCAAACATAATACGAGGGGTGATCAAAAAGTTCGCGAACAAATTGAATAACTTCCATAAAAGAAACAATATTTGGTTTCAGTGTTGATTATATTTTAAATTAATCCTCTCCGATTTTAATGCACATCAACCACCGTTCTGCGCATGCGCGAATCACGTGATATTGGAGGTCACGTGACCCCCTCCGTAGCGTTCTGTCACAAAAGTTGAAAGATTTTTCTAAGTTTTATATTTCTTTCCATGTGAGTTAATTTTTATAACAAGAACAGTTCATTTGTCAGAAATGGTCAAATCTTGGCAACAGAATGGGTGGATAAGAATATCCTTTTAAGCATGGCGACCATTAAAACACAAATCTTCTGTCTCGGGAGAGACCTTTATTCAAGGTGGATAGAGAATGAGTGCCTCCTTTTTCTCATATCTAATATGTTTTAAAACTAAAGTAAACGATATCTTAGGTATTTAATAATTATATTATTGTTCAAATATTAAACTATTTTTCAAAGTGTAAATTGGAGGTCTTTGATAGCAAATTGCTTATTTAAAAACACATATCTTTTCAAACTTGCTTTTACTGGGCAAGATGACAAGTATCATTTTTAACCATCTGCCTTCCTTCACTAAAACGATCAATCCAATCATTAATTGAATTTATAGGAACTCGTTTATCTTATTAAGCTGTGTACAAATTATTATATGATACTGCATGGGGATTTCTAAGATATACAATAAATTATACAGTCGTTTGTTGAACGAGTTCGACTGAGACAACCATTTTTCGCCACAAGTGACTTACATAGTGACGTCATATTCACATTGTGACGTCACAAGCAAGGAGAAAAACTTTATTCAGCATATGCTATTTATAGACCTTGTGTATGGCTATGTGTGTACCGAATTTCATTCTAATCTGAATTGTTGTTTTGTAGATATAGAGATAGTTCGCGAACTTTTTGATCACCCCTCGTACTGTATCAAGGTTTTTTTTTGCCCTGTGTTATTTTCGCCCTTTTGCACTCGCTATCAATTTTGTCCCATTTTAAATTCGCCCAGTCACAGTTCTGTTTAAGAATTCTTACTGTGTTCTGTGAATTCGCCTAGTTTGAAATTCGCCTACTTGTGACAAGGGCGAAAGGGGCGAAATTAAAACGGGGGCGAAAATTTTCCTGTATACAGTAATCTGATAATTCTGCATCTTTTCTTTCTTTATTTTCATTTTTTTTTTTTTTGCTATTAATGTTCAGAGATTTTATGGTGACTTTGGAAAAAATACATGTATATCATATTGTTAATGTTATAATAAATAAAGACATTTGTTTCACAAAAAGAAACACTGAGGGCAAATAAATATCACACATCAGCATCTCTTGGCGATTGAGATGTACAGAATCACTGAAGAAAATGCCTCTCAACCTTTCCATGGTTTATTTCACGGAGTCACTATTTATTTTTTCTTCCTATCCACTGAATGTCACTCTTCCTATCCATTGAATGTCACTGGCGTTTGCTTGTTATGACAACGATTTTTAGGAAACTCAATGCTGAATTTATGTTTAAATACAGCTGCAATATCAATGTTTGATGTGAACACTTTGCATACCAGCTTTACACATGGTTATGACTGATGCCATGGTTATGACTGATGCCAGCTTTACACATGGTTATGACTGATGCCGTGGGAGTATGTTATGATATCACACAATTTTGTTTGTCACGGACTGACTGATCCCTTCTTTTATTGACAACATTTCTTTTGTACGATTCCAGCAGAGATAAGATTTCCATATTTCCATTATCCTCGGCAATAGCGTACGGCGTCTTACCTGCCTGCAAAAAGGGAAAAACCAGCTTACTTGTTATGTAAAGGCAATCAAAATGCATGTAGATGATCAGTATTTTTCTATGACCTTAATTGTTAGTCTTTCGTTGTTTGTTATAATTTGTTTTTTTTATTGTAAAAACAATTTGTTAGCATCACTTCCGTTGTTTATTGTACATGTATACAGTTTGTTGTTATACCCCCCGCTTGAAAAGCGGGAGGGTATATAGTAATCGGTATTTCCGTACGTCTGTCCGTCCGTCCGTCCGTCTGTCAGTCCGTCCTTCCGTCTGTCTGTCCGTCCGTCTGTTCCGCTTTGGGGTACCCATCTCTTATCCGCAACTCCTCTCATACCGCTGAATGAAATTTGATGCAACTTTCACAGAATCTTTATTACATATTGCCATTGTGCACCTCCTATTTTACTTTTTGATCCAACACATATTTTGGGTTTCCCGGTATACAGGAAAACACAGACTTTTTCACCAGTTATAACCATATGGGAGGCGGGGGGTATCATTTAGTGAGCTCATCGCTCACAGTACCTCTAGTTTTCTATTGTAATAGGTGTTTGCTTGTTAGAATCACTATTGTAATGTTTTATGTGTTAGTATTACTTTTTGTATTTTTTTTAAAAATACTTATATTGTTTGGGACAGTGAGGGTATAGGTATATAAGACAAGAAGAGCTTTGTCTCTCTTGTAATACTTACGTTGTTTGGGACAGTGAGGGTATAGGTATATAAGAAAAGAAGAGCTTTGTCTCTCTTGTAATACTTGCGTTGTTTGGGACAGTGAGGGCATAGGTATATAAGAAGAAGAAGAGCTTTGTCTCTCTTGTAATACTTACGTTGTTTAGGACAGTGAGGGTATAGGTATATAAGACAAGAAGAGCTTTGTCTCTCTTGTAATACTTACGTTGTTTGGGACAGTGAGGGTATAGGTATATAAGAAGAAGAAGAGCTTTGTCTCTCTAGTAATACTTACGTTGTGTGGGACAGTGAGGGTATAGGTATATAAGACAAGAAGAGCTTTGTCTCTCTTGTAATACTTACGTTGTTTGGGACAGTGAGGGTTGGCATATAAGACAGGAGGAGCCTGGTCGTCCCGAGTTGATTCCGTGTGACGGCCAGATGCAATGGCGTGTTCCCACTCTGTATAAATATTTACATATATTTACATTTACAATGTCTTCATACGAGATAAAATCAAAAATAAAATAACATAGCTTTATTAACGTACAGTTGTTTTCTCAGCACTTCACAGAACTGCATGCTTGATAACTAATGCTTACTCGAAAACTTTTTGCGATGCTAGGGTTTCTTATTATTGAATAAAGTATACTGTCTTGAATGTAGGTCTTAATCAGTTTGTTTGCACGAGGCTGAATAAGGTCATAACTGCCAAAAAAGTTGATAACACAACAATATTTACAGCTTCATTGAGTCACATTTGCAAATTGGTCAACGCAGTATCGTTTTCAGCAAATACAGTCGATTGTTAAGTGAATGTTGACGGATGCGTCTTGTCCGTACGGGAAGCTTCCTTATTCGTGACACCTTATCAATCATGTTATATTTTCGGACGTCCTTCTTTGCTGTAATTCAAATTTATATTGTTTCCATAAACTTCAGCTTAATTACTGTTCGATAGCTATATATTTCACTATCAATACCTAAAATATTTAACACATAAATTTAACACACTTTAAATGTAGTTGAAATTCAGTGTCTAAACAAAAATAACACTTCATGTTCCAAACGCAGGCAGGTTTTTAGTTTGACTCATATTGTCACGTGAATATATCATATACATGTACATGATGTGAGAAGCGAGAGGGGTTTGATTGGGGTGAGGAATACAGTATTTTACTTTTCCTTCTGACAAAACCCGCGCGTTTCCTTTGAGTTCCCTTATTCCCTAGAGCATCTTTATAACCTCTTTTGACATCATTTAGAGAAAGTTTTTATAGGGTTACATGTTACCTTCAGTGCTCGGCCATTAACTTCCGCGCCTTTTCGGATCAGAGCTTCTACCAGTTGATTTCTTTCTACGGGGTCGTTCCGCATTATAGCTTGGTGTAGTGGGTACAACCCATTCTTCAATAAAGATAGAAAAGTCAGCGTTTGAATTGTTATTTGTCTAGTGTTTTAAGAGATCTGCAGATATCTTCATTCAATTCAATTAAATGTTGTTAATATATTTTGTACTTGGTTACTTGAGACCAGAATTTTAGCATGATAAAAGAATGGATACGGTGTTCAACTTGTGATAGTTATTAGTACTTAATTTGGTTTCATATTAACATAATTATATACAGGTACATAATGTATAAATGTATGATCTCCATTAAATGATAAGTAAAAAAAGTTAGTTGGTGTTAAATTATAATCAGAAGTAAACTTGATTTGTATAGCTAAAAGTACTCACTGCGTTTCTGATATTAACATTGGCATCCGGGTCTTTGATGAGTTCGTCTAACCCGTCATGTTCCTTTCTACGGTCTTTCACCGAGGCCTTAGTATTAGAAATATTGGAGTGGGTTTAATGATAATTAATGTTATTTAACTATATTTTAATTGTACTCCCTGATAGACACTTTCAGTGACTAAATAAGTATAAATTTAAAACAGAACTCCCTATTCGTTTGAATGATTACTGCGCGTGCTTTTTAAAAAGCATAAACTCAACATTCACGGAAAATATCTGTATAAACCTTGCTCATAATAATATGAAAACATACACTTTTAAACTTATAAACCTAACCTTTAACTACCAGAAATTTTACATTTTCCTTCAAAAATGGCCAAAAAAAAAAAAACAAAAAACAAAAAATTCATATAGAAATTTAGAATGTTCGAGTTTGCTCTACTCCTTTTTATATTGTTTCACCGACTTTTGAGCTTGAATACTATTCTTTATCTCAATATATTTCCATGTAAAAAATATCCTTTGACCACCACTTTAAATATGTTAATGAATAAGACTTCTTACATACCTCATCAAAGGATTGCGTCCTTCCTCGTTCATCTATTCCTCTTGGTTCCTTTAAAGATTAAAAATAAAATATGTATAATTGCAGAGCTCAAGGTTTATTCTTCATTGTGTTTGAGGGATAATGTGAGGTTAAAATAAAAAAAAAATAATAAGTTAAAGTAACTTGAACAAAATGAAATGTAAAATTACAAAGGCATTCCTAACCATGCAGCTTTAGCAACCAAAAACAAATTTTTCCCTTTTGTATTTTAAGATCGATTTTCTTTCAAATAAGAAAGAAATATTATTGTACACATATAAAAAAAAAATTAATTTTAGAACAAACCTCTTTTCTGGCGGTCAGAGGGGTTTTCTTTTCTGGTTTCTTGTAACGACGAATAAAATGTTAATCATACAAATCCATTCAACATTGGGGAAAAATGAATATCTTTGATAATGAATTATTACATCTTATTCTTATTCTCCTTGCACAAAATCTGTCTATTATCACAATGTTAAAAAGAATAATTGGCAAATTTTTATAATATTCTTTCAATAATGATTAATATTCATTTTATTAAACATCCTCTTAATTTGTGTTAGTCGTGTTTAAATGAATAATTCAACGTGTTCAAGACTGAATTAAAAAAAAAACATCAAAGGGACATGGTTTTATTACAATTAATGATTATTTGAAAAGAAAAATGCTCGTGTTGCGTTATGATTTATAAATCCATACAGTGTAATCCTAAAATTTTGAGTAATAAACACACTTGTGAAATGATTGAACTTGCATTGTAATATCGTTGCATGTAAATCAGACATGGGGGCATTATGTTAATGGAACAGTGGATTTGACACACGGTGTGAAATGTGTATATACAATTACCGTTTTCTTCTTTTCTACAAAATACAACTTGATATTAAAAGAATGACAAATAAAAAAAATCTGATTTAACTAAAGTGCATTTTTAGATTTGACTTCGTTGAAAACAGCATACCTGGTATATGGTTCCTTTTTTTAAATAAACGATTATTCATTTTTATCCCCCGCTTTCAGTGGAAGAAGAGGACTTAAAACTAAATCTGCTTGTCCGTCTATTTGTCAATCTGTCTCTGTTAAACACATTTTCCGAATGACCCCCCCCCCCCTAGGTTTGCAATTAAATTGCATTTCCTATTAAGGACAGATGATACAAACATTTTTTTTTCGTCGGAGAATTAATATAATGTCATAAGCTTAGAAAAGTGGATAATTCTTTGATTTTTTCTCTCTTAGGACTTGGAAAATGAAATAGACTTGGAAAAGTATAACATAAACTTTAGAAAAATATACCAAGCCAGATCAATTTTTATGGGGAAAAGTAAAATGGTAAAAATCAGCCTATGTGATTTCTTTCTGATTTTTATCATTTTGTTTTCCCCATAAAATTCACCTGGCGTGGTATATTTTTCTAAAGTTTATCATGTTTATACTACACTTTTAGATCCAAGCTAACACATTCTGAAATTTGTTTTCATCTGTAAACTTTTACTGAGTGTGATTTGTCCATATTTGTTATTATTTTTTTTTTTAGATATTAATAATATTTTCCAAGTCTAATTCATTTTCCATAAGTAAGGAGAAAAAAATTCTAAAAATTGTCCACTTTTTTAAGCCTGTGACAAGATATTAAATCTCCTCCGAAGAAAAAATGTGTTTGTATATCATCCGTCCTTGGTTTAAGTTTAGTTTAGTTTAAGAAGTATTTCATTCATAATATACAAAGAAGTATACAATATAAATTGAACAGCAGGCCAAGGATCTATATTTATAGTTCTCCCCATCTTCTCTCCTTTACCCCTTGCATGGCATATACGCATTTCCACGCGGAATTTTTTTATCATTAGAATGAGGGAACAATTGCTTAAAAAACAATTTTTGCTAAAAAAAAATATTTGCCATGAAGGGGTAAAAAGACCTCTATCGATTTGAAGGCCAACTTGTATATCCAATGCCAAGGTGAGGAATCCATACATTGCTTGTATAGTTTGCACATGACATACATAAGTTTTCTTTCAGCATTTACTGTGAACAAGAAAACCCCCATTTGACTTTCAGTCTTCGATATTTCCCCTTCACTTTTATTATTTTTTTTATTTACGTCTTCCTTGCTACTTGACATATTGTACTATCACATGATTTTTACGTTTGTCCAATCATGACAAAGAGCACCCGGCAGGTGTGACCGTTCGACAAGGGATGATTACTATAGGCGTCGGAACCGGGGGGCTAGAGGGAGCTTAGCCCCCCACCCCCTCCCCCGCCCTCACTTTTTTTTTGCAAATATAGACATTTTATAGGCATTGAAAATTGGGGTTTACCTTTTTCTGTTGGTTTAGCCCCCCACTTTCAATTAGACCCCCACTTTTAATTTGCTTCCGACGCCCATGATTACTCTTACATGTCACCTGAACCAGTCTCTTACGAATTCAGAGGTCCGTGATTGCTCTGCTCTAACGTTGTTTTGTTTAAATGAACTACATGCACGGAGTTTGCTTTGTGGTTGTTATCTTCATCATATCCACATTTCACTTCAATGACGTAGAACTATATAAGAAGTTGTGTTTTCGAAAACTTGCTTATTTTATGTTTTAATGAAACTAGGTAGTTGTGAAATCTTATCCTGACATATCAAGGATTGTTTGTTGGTGTTTTATTTTTTTTTCAAAAACCATTGAAATCAATACCCACATTAAAAAATAAACTGTATACATTGTATAGTGTTTCTGAAATACATTTTCTGGGTTAAAAAAGTGACTTGTTGATTTACTTTCAGCTTGTAACTATGGGGTCAATAAAAGTCTGTCTATCGGATTTTAACGCCAAACTTACATAAACTTATTTATAAAGTAGATTGATATTGAACTTTCCCTTTTAAGGTATAGAAGAAATTGTTAGGATTCGGGACAAATCAATAATTTGATATTATGGACTGATTTCAAAAGAAGACGAAAAAATACACTTTTTGAAAGTTTTATTCTTGAAAATGTTTGAAGAAAAAATATACATTCTCAGCTACAATGACTGAAAAACTATCGTATTCATAAGAAAAATGGTATAACACTGACATTGCTTCATGAAATAAAATTACAATTTAGTCAATCTTTTATGCTTAACTTTAACGTGATTATGGAAAGCTACGGATACAGATAAATGTTAAATACATAAGAAAATTTGAGAGATATGAATTATAAACATCCTGCTATTCTTCTTTCTCTAAAATGTCACCATCTGTCTTTCCTACGGGTGTTAGGGAAGGCAGCTCGAGACTCTTGACCTTGAATAAAAGTACGAAATCAAGGTCAAAAGATTTTAACAATTACTATCTTATAGTAATTTTTATATCTAAATGATAAAACTTAAAATTGTAAGAACTCCCTAAACGGCGCTATTTTTTCAACAATCTTTGAATCAGATTATTAAAGTGTCATTTTAGCAAATGTATGAATTTATAATTTAAAAAACGAAATATGGCGTTAAAATCCAACAGAAATAAACTGTTTCCTTACATCTATTAGTCATTCGCAGTAAATGAGAAAAAAAAAATGATTTCCTATTGTAAAATATACATGTACAAGTTTTTGTTTTCAGTACGTTGTGTGAAATTCATGATAGCTCTAGCTAGGAATGGTTATTTTGTACGAGATGTATGAGATGAAGATATCTAACCTTTGTCTTCGCCTCTGTACTCCTTCAATATCGTCATCATCTTCTCATCATTGTTATTCTTGGCATAATCGTACGGCGTCATCATATCCTGTATACAACACATTCAGTGTACTGAACATGATGAAACATCATAAAAACTAATACTGCAATGTAGCATAAATCGATAAATTTGACGAATGTAGCATCCTTTTTTCCATTGAAATCTAAAATGTAACTTTATTTGAAAACATGACAACTTTTGGTTTAATCAAACATGTAACATGTTTAAGCTATCACATTTTGTAAGTTTTCATTACGAGTAGAATAATTACTTTAAATATACACTAAATTTGATGTGAAACATGCTTTTTTCCCCCAGAAATTTGGCCTTTTTGTGGTATTAAAAATCCAGTTTTCTTTCTCTTAGACGCGCAGTAAAATCTTATACTTACATCGTTTTGAGGCCGCCGTTCGGCTTTATGGTTTAGCAGGATCTTTGCGATTTTATGTTGTTTTCGTATAGATGCCATATGTAAAGGAGTATTTCCTGCCTGTAAGAAATAGTGTTGATATTGATGTATACATACAGGTTATATCACTCTATCATCGAAAATAAAAGTCCGTCCTTAAGTTTAAAGCAAAACCTTTTGACCAAACGTACCTTGAGCAGAAGCTTTCCTTGCATTCTCTGAAATGAACAATATTTTTTAAATCTTCAAAAAAAAAATCTAAGAATTAAACTTATCAGGCATTTTGATTGGATAGACTTCTTGCCACACATATGCATGATCCCTAGAAAATTTACTTTATTTGCCTAAAAGTATATTTCTGAGGTATAAATTACGTTGAAAAATCCATAGACAATTTAAATTCACATGTTTCCTTAATATGATTCTTAAAGATTATTTTGCTTCACTCTTCCATTTTCTTACTGGAATGGCTCTGGCGTTGATATCAGCACCTCGACTAATCAGACGTTTTACAAGCGTCTCCCGAATTAATGGATCGTCCTTCATGATTGCCATGTGAAGGGGAAACAAGCCACTCTAGAAATAGCAAATTAAATACATGCATGCATGCATTATGAAATTTTACTGTATCTAGTTTGTAGTATTATAATGTGAATGAATGTGTAATTTCATAGTTAAGGAATAGGCATTGAAACTATACCACAAAAAATTAGTTATTTATTGAGAATTAGAAAAATAATATATATACGGCTTCCAGTTTAAAAAAATGAAGGGAATCCAAACGGCACAAGAATTGTGACAAATATTTTATTTATTGTGCATGCACAAATTACTAGTTTTTGTTCTGGAAGTAATAATGAAAGAATTACCGAGTTTTGAACATTAACATTGGCCTCTGGATCTCTCAAAATCTCATCTAGCTCGTCTATCGGTCCGATCTGTAAATAAAATGTAAAAATTGTCTTTCTCAATCATGTAGTAGATACACTTTAAAACAGTTGTGTCTGAGATTCTGTTTTTATACTTATAGTTTGAGGATGGAATATTTCTTCTATTGATAATACATACGGTTAACAGCGGGCGTGACGTGTCAATAGGGAATGGTAGCCCTTTCTAAGCACCTGATTCCACACCTGACATCTCTTTTGATTAGAGAAATTTTTAGATCGATCTCTATGTTATTTTTAAAAATTTGTTTGATACATTTGGACAATGCTTACTGAACAGTTTCAGTTCTTACAACAATGTATAGAAAACCAATCTAAATTTGAAATATAACTTGACTTGTGCATAAAATGTAAAAGTATGAAAATATACTCAAAGAGCTATGTTTACTTTAAAAAGGCCATGTTCTTAAATCAATTATTTGACTAACACCCTATTTCCAATATCATATATCAAAATCGAGTAGTGCATCCATTTCCAGCAAAATATTATTTCGAGAATCCAGGTATTCGAAAACAGGCTTTGAGAAAAATACAATGTTCTTGAAATTTGCAGTCCACAGTGTAATAATGTTAATGTGATAGGACTTTTTAACCATACACAGAGACGTAAGCGTAGTCATGGGCATCGGTCGTACAATAAACCTGCAATACACGACGTCTCTTTTGATTCATTACTACGTTATGTAAATCAACAGTTACGTCTACATCATATTCACACGAAACTTTACTCTGTCCCTTCGAAACTTTTAAATAGTCCTCTTGAAAAGGCCAAGGAAAGTCCAATTTTTGATTCCTCTGCATCAGAATATAAACTCGGATCTGTGATTATGGATATTGCATGTCATAGGCTTTTTAAACCCGTACGTTTTGCGGAAGAAAATGCAGCTATATATAACAGTCCATCATTTCCTTAAACTTCATTATGCCAATAAAGGAATTGACGCGGTTAATATAAGTAATATTCTTAATCACAAAAGGGTCCAATCTTGTATTCCACCATATTTCAAGTTAAAGACTACACCTTGTATTTCCTACAAATACACATCGACTTTTCAATTAAAAAAAACTTTACATGGCCTGGATACAGAGCATCTGAAACATAATCCTCAATCGTGTTCATGTTCTTCTTCACCCTATAACTATAGTCCTGCTGGACACATTATTACATGTGACGTAAATATAGTTAACAATAAGGACCTTAGATCACTTATTTTAAAAGGTCCTGAATATAAGGAACCCCGGTCTTTCAACTGGCGTCAGAATTTCATTAATATTATGGATTCTGTTGAAAATTACGCCAGACGATGGACCAGATATGAAAAAGAAGACGTTGACACCTTGTCAGAATGGATTAAATGTATCAGATCCATGTTAAAGTCACGTATTAAAAGATTGAGGGGCAATATGAAAACCATCTATCCTTCTGTGTTCAATAAACCAGAAGTGAAAAAGGAATTAGATAGATTACATGATCTTTACGTACTGGTCCCTGCCGACAAAGCAGGTAACAACATTGTCTTCGTTTGTAAGTATTCTAGAAGAACTTGGATTTAATTCTACAAGTGGTAATCCTATTTATACTCATACTTCCCTTTCTAAGGAAGAAATTCTTCAAAATCATATGTCAGTTTTGTATACTTTTTAATATACTATAGAGCTGAAATGAATTTGAACTACCTTATATATATATTGAATTCCAATTCTTCATAAGAATCCTTACAAACAAAGATACATTGCGGTTTCGTTACTCCTCACTAAGATATTGACAGTAGCGTAGGAAGAACTTCAAGAGTACTGTGCAACGATATATTCTAGAAGTGTTGTGAATCAGATGTGGATGCTAAAAAACTCCAAAGAACTTTTGGACAATTTGAAATCACAAAATTTTACCAAAATCAACAGCTTAAAAACTTACGACTTTTCAACTTTATACACAACCATTCCCCACGATAAATTAAAATCCAGGCTTTGTGACATCATTGACAGCTGCTTCTTCAATAGAAATGGAACTCGTAAATTTACTTACCTGGTCATTGGTCATTTGCAAAATTATTTTGTGAAAAAAGATTCTGATTGCACACACAAGTACTTTGAAGTTGACATCAAGAAGATGCTTGAGTTTCTCATTGACAATATCTACGTGGTTTTTGGAGACCAGGTTTTCCAACAATCTCTTGGAATTCCCATGGGAACCAATTGCGCTCCGTTATTAGCAGACCAATTTTTGTATTCATATGAAGCAGAATTTATGCAAAATCTTACGCGTGAAAAGAAGAAAACACTTGCTGTGGCCTTCAACTCGACCTTCAGATATATCGACGACGTATTAACAATTAACAATGGTAATTTCCATTCCTACGTCGATACGATATATCCAGGAGAGCTCGAGATAAAAGATACGACAGAGTCTGACACATCTGTTTCATGCTTGGATATTTTACTTGAAAGAGACGTTAATGTTAATCTAAATTCCAAGTTATTTGATAAACGTGATGACTTTAACTTTTCTATCGTCAACTTCCCTTACTTATGCAGTAATATACCTTCATCACCCGCCATTTTGTTTAAAGTCATGATTTCTGTAGGTCTCTTGTCGATACAATGACCTTGTCAGTATGTTAGTATGAAAGAACATAGCAGTATGACGAAAGTAGACAAGATGTTCCCACCCTGTCTCAGGAAGAAGGATAATACTAAGTAGTAAAGCTATAACAATTTTTGCGGCACTTTTAACTAATTCTTTTCAGCTTTTTAGATTACTGCATAACTGAGTTTTACAAAGATTTTCAAGTTTATTAATAATTATTGTTAAGCAGACTTTTGACTGTCTTTTAATTTGTCGCACAAAAAGGCATGAACTTGCCTAAATATTTTAAGTGCTTGATTTGGATCAATTTAAAAAAAAAAGATTTTTAAAGATATTTATCAATACCTCTTCGTGTTAAATGCCAAAAGTATGTCTGCTATTTCATTACATATATTATTATTATTTACTTGTCTACAAACTTACTACTGCTGTTCAATAAAAAATGTCCTGAACTGGATGACATACAATACAGATATCATATGACATCAATCTTGACTTTTTCGCATTATTGAATCTTTAATGAATTTCTAACAGTTTATGTGACCACTTTTCATCACATAGTTTTATTGTGAGAAGCTGGAAAACAAGGACTGTTCGAGACACTGCCTTAAAATGAATGGTAAAGAATCAGTAAACTAGAGTGAACTTAAATGCTTCATTATAACTGCTGTAAAACTCGTTAAGAATTCCAACGAAAGATATATATATTCACTGAAATATGTAAAATATACGGCATCCAATGTATGTATTATAGGCAAATGAGCAGGTTGTCTTCAATGATAAAATTATTTAATGGGCATAAAAAATGGGTACCGGCCTTGCCAACGAAAATTATAACAACTAATGTACTGTTTGCCAAATTTAGACAAATAATTACTGATGTTATATGATTGACTTTAAACACAGAGAAATTCGATACACATCATTTCGGTAGTAGTTCACAAAGTTTTAAAGAAACGTTCGACAGTAAAAAAGCTTAGTATTCAAAATCACCCTTTGTTTTGAAAAATGAGTGAAAACGACAGCGTGAATGAATAATCTAAACAAATATTTTAAAATATCAGTAATTGTAGTTATCCAAGTTTTTTTTAAAATACAAACAAATAATGAAACTTGAATCTATTGTTTAAAACCCTCGAAACAAAAATTACAGTAAGATGTACTTAACAAAAACAGCCAAGGTCTGAGAAGAGCAAAGAATTGCTAGGCACAAAGACAGATTTATATGCATTTTTCAATTTTCTTAAATATAAGTGGTCTTGTTATTCAAACTCGTATTCGGGAGGGGGGGGGGCAGTATAATTTCTGGAAGAGTCTAGAAAGCAATTTTTTGCAAAAGGTCAATGAGAGGAAGAAACCAGATTCAGGAATCCACTACATTAAATTTTTTAATGACATCGTCCAAACCCGCACGCCCTGAAAAGTAAAGGAGTTTTTGGGATAAACAGAAAGTTAATTTTTTTTCACATTAACAATATTCGCCAGATCTTTCGCCTTTTGACTTGTTTCATTTTCCAAACGTCAAAAAACACCTTTAAGAAGGAAGAGACGAGTCCGGAAAATCATAAGATTTACCATTTACCAGTATACTAAGGGTCAAAACAATCAGAAATTGGATAAAAAAAATTTACGGACATGTGTTAAAATTAAAAGAGAATATTAAGTTAAATAATTGAAAAGCGTCTTCTGCTTCTTTCCGAGCACTGAGGACATAATTTATTGAACAGCCCTCGTACATACTTCATACATGTACTCTAGTCGGATAACTTTGATTAAATACTGCTATAAGATTTAAACCTTTTCAAACAATTTAACAATAAAACGTTCACTTAATTTGAAATATTAGATTTCTATCAACTCAGAAAATAAATATTTCTTTCGAAAAAATAAATTTTAACATTGATGTTATATTCATAATAGAAATAAATGATTAGTGCTGCAAGTATTGTCAAAACTATATTCTCGTCGAATCTTATCCAAGAGTCTTAAAGAAACTTTTATATTAATAAATTGACAAAAATAACTTTGCTTTTACATGTATATTATAACATATTTTTATATAAGTATATGTGGCCATTTTTCCTTCCTCAAATGAAAACGATGCAATATATATATATATATATATATATATATATATATATATATATATATATATATATATATATATATATATATATATATATATATATATATATATATATGTTTACTGAAATCCATTCATTTGATACCTTGAGCTCACACAAAGAAGGTTAAAATGGATCAGGAGGTTTGGAAAATAAACCAGTTTTGGGAAATATGATAAAACATACATATGCACACAGGTAGGATGGAATTTAATCAGAAAGGCTTATTTGAACCTCCGATATAGATTAGCGATGCAGTAGAGTATTTAATCAATTCTTGTAAGAGCAAGGAAGAGTACTTAGGGAAAGATAGGTACTCATTTACAGTTTTATGGATATTAAATAAAACAATCCAAGCACAATCTTACCTCAATAATCTTTAGAGAAGTTGAAAACAAAAAAGATATTTATTTCCTTATTTATTTCCTTTCCTTTCCTGATATTAGGTAGTGCACATGTTTCTCAAAGAAAATCGCTCACTTTGCTGTCTCGTTTTTTTTTTTTTTTCATTTTAAAAAGTGTACTTAAGAATGTAAAAAAGTGTGATTAGATACAACACCACACAAAATATATATACCTGGTAGGGGTCATCTCCTGATGAAAAACCAAATGTAGAATATGAAAATAATTTATTGCAATATATCACAGACATTTCAATAGTTTAACAAGAATACATTCAATTATATACTAGAAGAATTGAAAGACAAAATAACCTTTCTACAGGACTTGTACAACCGTTAGACAAGACAATGGTGGTGCCAAAAGCCATAAACAATAAGTGTAAAACAACACATTTAGATTTTTAGATATTAAACAAGACGTAAAATACAAACACATATATGGTGTGCTAACCAAAGATCTCATTCTGTTAAAAAGGAAAATATTTAAGAAACATGTATCTTAAAGAGTACATCACAATAGGAAGAGTTTTTAAAAGAACACATGTGGAAATAACGAAGAGGTAAGAATTGATTGTGACGTCACAAAGAAGGTCACACATGTGTAGATTGCCTCTGTCATAAGATGTTACACTTAAAGGATTTGTTAATGGAAATCGATTGTGACCTCACAGAGAAGGTCACGCAGGTGCAGACTGTCTCTGTTATAAGATGACACACGTGGAGGATTTGTCCTTACTCCGCTGTACACGTTGTTCCTGGTCCTTCAGAAGCCTCATCATTTCAGCGTTACCATTCTCTTCAGCGAAATTGTAAGGTGTCTGACCCTCCTTAATAACAAAAACAACAGATAGAAAAAATACTAATCTTCCTCAAAGTTTTTTTTCAAGAAGTGTTATGAAACCTTTGTTTAGTTCATTTTTCTCCTTTAACTCTTTAGTTTATTTTCCTCCTTTAACTCTAAATTTCAAACCTGCTCAACTTTCTCAAAGGCTAAAAAAAAAATGATTTCTTGGGGTCATCAGTTAAATTAAAGGTATCAATAACAGACTTTTGTAAAGCGACTTTAATTCGTATTTTATTTGTAGATTCTTGCCTACGACGTAAAAATTAATAGTCGTCGAGAAATTCAAAACAACAATTGCGAATAAAAGAAGTTGCATATAAAGGTTGATTTGCAGGATTGTCCATCTTATATATTTACTTCTAAATTCAGTACATACATCATTAGTTGGGGATATCGCTGGATTATACGACAATAAGATTCGGACTGTGTCTAGTTGATCCCTGGCTACTGACATATGGAGAGGAGTGTTTCCAGCCTGTAAACAGCGTGAGTACAATAAAACTCAAAATTAAAATGTACACAGATTCAAATCGAAAATGTAGAGGAAATCATAAACGTCCAGAAATGATATTTATCTTCATTTAAAGACTCACAATTAAATGTGCATGATGTAATTGTTAAATACATGCATATTATGTAAAGCTTCTATATAGATATATAAGAAAAAAACATCTGAATATTAATTGCAAGGACGTTCTCATATTAGTACACAACACCCCAAAAACATCACTTAATGAAAATTAGATAAATTATACAAAATTTATTTATTGATTTGTACTTACTTAATTGATAAATCTTAATATTTCCTTCTTTCCAAATGGAATGATAAGAAAATATTTAAAAAATTGCAATAAAAAAGCTAGTATATCGTAAGGAATATTTGGAAGATTTCGAGGCTATATCGCATTTTGTCAACTATTTTGATACAGCTTTTAAGAGAGAAAAGGACTTTGCATACAAATGAAATTATACGAACGCTTTCTAGTTTGTTAAGAGGAGTTAAAGAAAAGAAAAGTGACTAATTCATTGGTACTCAGAATGTCATGAAACAATAAAATATTCGTGTCATATGATTGGATGAAGATTTATTTTGTAAAGTTTGTGCACTGTTTTTCAAGGACATACCCACAAAGTTAAGTTTATCATATCAAATCGTGAATTATAATCCCAGGCGAATATATATCATCTGTGGGTTAAACAATGTGCATGGTTTATATGTTTTTTACGACAATCACATTACCTTTAACAGAGATTTGCCCTGCGCCCGCTAATTTTTGAAACATCAATACACATTACAGAAATTTCATCAAGTTAAAACAATCATACTACGAGAAACAACTTTTGATTTCATGCAGTGTTACATGTCGTTAGTTTCCTACTGACAGACAGCGGTATAAATTATATAAACTATAAAGGAATTGAAGCAAAGAAGACGATTTTAAACTCAGCTTTATACCTCATTATGATCTTCATTCTAAGTAACAAAAAATGAATCTTTTTCATGAAGCATAAAAGTTTTTTTTTTCTTTATGTTTTCGTATTTAATTAAGTACATAGCTAAATTGTGTACCTTCTTAATTTTAAGAAAAACAAATTCAATGAGATCATTTAATGATCAAACATGTTTTAATTATATCCAGTGCTACATATTCTTTATAGCTTAAAACAAATATATTTCACATGGCAACAATCCTCAATTATACTTAGAGGCATATATATCAAACATTATAAACGTCAGAGGCAGACTTACAGGCATAGCTTTAACGTTTATGTCGGCGCCTTTGTTTAGTATTCGTTGTACCATATTGTTCCTACTGGCGGGGTTATTTCTCAATATTGCAACATGTAATGGAAATAACCCCATCTGCGAGGATAAAAAATCATTCCAGAACAATTAATTGTTTTTAAATATTGTGACAGTGCAATAATAATATCTTGGGTACTTTCCCTATATTATAACTCAAATTTGATATAATTCATGGGCATATATTTAGATATTGTATTTAAAATTTTTAATGGTATAGATGACTTGAACCGATACACTACCGAGTTAGAAATGTTTAGGTTGGCGTCTGGATCCGCCAGATACATTACCGAGTTAGGAATGTTAAGGTTGGCGTCTGGATCCGCCAACAGTTCATCCAGGTCATCTGGATTGTCCTCCTCTATAGCGGAAGTGATGGATTCCTGTCAAAAAGAATCCTCAAAACCTCAACTGTTTGATAAGGCCATTATTCTTTTACCATCAGCAAATCAAACTTACTTTAAAATTTTGTTTTATTTAAACTTTATACATAATTTAAGAAATAAATTGTGACTAGGTTAAGATAATTTTTACATATTACTTATATTCTCATTTTGACAATAAAAATATTTTAATGTGTAAATGGATTAGTATCAGACAGTTAAAAAATTACTAAAAGCAAATATGTTAACTATCATTACATATCATTACTGTTAAATCAAATACTTTCTTGAAGACAATTTTTAAGGGTTTATCGAAAAGAATCGTTAGAATTTTATTCTGTTAATGAAAAAATATGACGTTGTTATAAATACAGATTTTAACTTTTCGCTTAAGACATGTTCGCTAACCAAGGGCCTCCGATCTGAAATCTACTCTACAGCATTATGGAGCAGATTTCAGATCAGAGAGCCTTGGCTAGCGAAGATGTGTCGTTCTTTTTCAGTAAGAGCAAAGAAAATTATTTAATAAGCTTCCAAGATAATTACTGATTACATAGTATTTTGATTAGAAAACTAAAAATTAACTACGATTATAAGATCACCATAAAATAAGAGGAAACTTGTAATGGCTTTATATAGTAATATTCCTGGGAAGTTACATCTGCGACCAACGTAAAGCAGGTATGATTATAATATGCAACTATCAACAAAACATTTAGATTACTAGCAGTGTGAATACAAAACTAAATGTAAGTATAAAAATATTTTCAAAAATCTGGTTAACAAAAAGGACGGAGACATTTATTTACATGTTTAAGAAAAATAAAACGGTGCATGATTACAAAAATGCTTCTGTAATAAAATGATTAATAAGAAAATCTAGAATTAGTTGTCGCTTCTCACCGCTGGACTCTGGGGTCTTGGATGACTTGGAGGGGGGATAGGCTAAAACAACGGTCAATAAATGTTATATCTCACTTGTTTACTCAGATGATACAACTTTTGAATTAACTGATATAGTATGAATGTAACGGAAAAAAAAAATGAAGGCATCGACTTAGAAAAAAACAATTCGTGCAGTAAATAAATGTTATATCTCACATGTTTACTCAGGCGATACAACTTTTAAATTAACTAATATCGTATGAATGTAAAGGAAAATGAAGGTTTCTGCTAAAAACAATAGGAAATAAATGTTATATCTCACTTTTTTTTTTACAAAGGCTTTTGAATTAACTACATGTAATATTATATAAATGTAAAGATGAATGAAGGCATCAACTGAAACAATGGTGAATAATTGTTATATCTCATGACCACTTGTTTACTCTGGCATAACATATGAATAGAAACATGATATGGTCTTAATCCTATGGTGAAGAAATGCATGTTTTATTCACTAGAAAACTTTAATTAACATCATATTAATTTAAAGAAACATGAATATATCGGCTAAAGCAACGGTGAATATATGTTGTATCGATGTATTTACTTGAAAACTAACTTGTTTTGACATTTGAAATATTTAAATAGCTAGGTTTGTGTCACATTCCAAATTTAGGATGTTTACGTTAAAATAATGACTTCATATATAAATTATCTATTGCATTTATGAACTAGAATGCACAGTTATAGAAAATATAAAATCTCATTTTATAAATCGCTAAAGTACATGTACTTGATTTTCTACAATGATAATTATTTTTTATTTGTCTTTGAAAAAGCTTTAAAATCCTGATATCTAAAGGTAACCTTATGTCCGTGTTAGTGTATTTTTTTAAAACAGTAATAAATCATTTAAAATAGCTTCATTTACTTTTTCTTTTAATTTTTTCTCATGAAATACCGTGCATTCCGCTATCAAATGGCACTTCATGGACTTACTAATAGAGTTCATTCTTCATAATTAAAGTTAAGTGTCTTTACACATTTTTGGTGTATGATTGAGGGAGGGAAATTCAAACAATGAATTGAATGGAAATTAAGGAAAATTTGTTTAAAAAGATATCCAGATATTTTCATCTACTGATTTATTACTTAATTATTTAATTCAATAGTGAACAATATGCAACATATGGTTTCTGCATTTTTCCTTAGATGAGTAATTTGTATCAAGCTTTGTATATTTTTTTTTCAATTTTTTTTATCTTTATAAATATTATTGTAAAAACAATATTTATTCATTCATGAATTAAATGTAACTTGTGGCATATTTTTGTTGTCATTTTGCGCCCAGTGAAAGCAAAATTGTAACTTTTCCCAAACACTAATAGGAACTCTGTGATATTGTCTCAGAAAAAATGATTTTGTGAAAGCAAATCATGAACATATATAGACAGCTAGTATATTGTTATGAATTTTACACGGCTAAATATTGCATTGATCAACAAAGGATTGTTTCTGATACAGATTTGTAAGTAAACATGCATAAGAACAACAAAAAATATAACAAAATGTGTCAAACGGACATTTTGTTATTAGACACTGAATATGCTTAAAGGTATATTAATACAGAAGTGCATCAATTGTAATACATCTGCGTTGTTTATTTTCTACAATAATGCCTTAAAAAAAAAAGAATTATTAAGTGAAAGGACGGAGTGCTTGATAAAATTGAACATTTCTTTGAGTAAAAATGTGGTAATCACAAAATGATTTAAAGAAAATATTGCGAAGAAGTGTGTCTTAGGAAGAAAATATATGAAGTGATAACCGAATACATGTACTGATTATTTATAAAGTTCTGAGATGTGAATTGAAATTTCAGAAACAGGAAAGTACAAGGTCAGGGCAATAATAAGCTTACTGTATCTTCTTCAATAGCCAGTGTTTCCTAGAAATATACAAGGTTTTATTTTTTTTTAATTGTATGATTATTCCTGGCTTTCAACAGGGGTGAATTCTATATGATCATTTGAAAATAGACTGACGAAAATTGTTACATTTAAGGCATTGTTTAAAAATTCTAATTCCTTCACTGAGAAAGTATGCTGAAAGAAAAGTTAAACAATAATTTAATTTATTTCCTCTTTTTTTCTTCCTGATTTGTCAAATACTAGTAAGTATACTTAATAATTTAGAAGTAACAAATGTAGATTGAATTTTATATATAAATAGGCTTAAAGAGAAGAAAGTGAAATACTGATTTCTGCTAATAATTTTTGTTCAATAAAATGTCTTTCTATTTAGAAAATGCATGTAATTGATTTAACGTTCAGAGTCCATTAATGATATCAATGTACAGATAAAAACACAACAGGAAAGACATATGATTTGGGTACAAAAAAAAAAATACCACAACCCATTGTTAGTAACAAAAAAAACATTATTAGGTCAATTTCAATTTTACACCTTTTCCAAACAGAAAAGTCCAGACAAAGCTTAAAATTAGAAGTTGCATGCAAAACAATAATCGAAAGGTTTTGGACGGGCATGCAACAAACCTCATGTTCGGGTTCAAGATTCCGATTTTGATCTGGCAATGGAATTGGAGTTGGTCGCAGAGGTCTATTAGGGGAAACTCGTAGATGTTCGGGCTCGAGATTCCGATTTTGTTCTGGTGATGGAGATGGAGTTGGTCGCAGAACTCTATTAGGGGCAACTCGTGGAAGTTCGGGCTGGAGATTCTGATTTTGTTCTGGTGATGGAGATGGAGTTGGTCGCAGAGGTCTATTAGGGGAAACTCGTGGCAGTGTGGAGGAGTCAGACGATACCGGAGACTACACGGATTGTAATAAAACCATCAGAAAGGAACGTGATCTCTTTGTGAAATCATTCAGAATGTACCAGAGAAGCAATATTAATAATTATAATGGGTTTATTCAAACATGTGATTTTTCACAAATTAGTTTTTGCATGCAAGCATTAAGAGTATCCAGTGTTAGGAATTTGCATGCAACAAACCTGGTGATTTCGTTCGGGGCCCCGGTTTCTCCTGGGTGTTGGCGATGGTCGGAGAGCTCTAGTTGGAGATAGAGGCGGCAGCGTGGAGGATTCGGAAGGAGTAGGAGACTATATATACAGGAAATAAGACTGTGAGTACGAGACGGAGTTCTTTTAAAGGTCTATTTTATATGAGTGTTTTTCGTACATGTACATGTATATGAAAAAGATATACAATCAACTTTTATTTATAGTATTGCTACTGAGATAGGATTTCAGATATGAAAGGAAATTCTCTGAGAATCAAGATATGCCAAAACATTCCATTTTCATTCAGAACGTGATTCCTTTAAATAAATTTAATTCTAAATTGATATTTATATTTACAAATATTCATTTTTCGAGTGTATTTTTGTCAATGCATAAGAATAAGAATAAATGCATAAGTAATATTATTAGGAATGTTAATTAAAAATACAATGTATAGGATGTTTACTCCTCCATGGCACCTGATCCCACCTCTGAGGTTTTGGTGGTCCGTGTTTGCTCTTACTTGTTTTGTACTGTTTTATGGACTTTGACATTGATTACTGTTCGTTATCTTCATATCCTTCATTATAAAAATTGAAAACAAAAAAAAAATCGAGCTTTACGAAAATGAAATGAGGAGAAGATATTCATCTGATAAATGGTTTTTCCAATAAAAAAAGGTTAATCTTACATTTCTCAATATGTATGCATGCAGGGAAGGGAAATGTATTTCATTAATAATTCTGGGCAGTTAATATATAACAGGTGATTCAAATTTTGTACCTTTGATATTCGACCAGTTTGGGATGCCGGAGACATGGGCTTTAATTGGGATGACGTCATCGATTCCCAAGGTACAGCGATTGGTGAAGGCTTATATGGGGATAGATGAACACATTACTTCCTTTTTCGAATGTGTCTCATTTTTGGGGTTAATGTGTATATTCCCAATTTGGAATAACATGATGGTTTTGTATAAGGAGAGGAGTTTAGATGTAAATTAAATCGACATTCTCCAATGTAGATTTCCATCTCGTGACCAACTAATCTTTAGGTTTGATTACAAGTATGCATATTTCTGTTTTCACAATTACTTCAAATAAAATGTTTTTCTTTCTAAAAGTCGACCTTACAGCATCTCTTTACCTATTTGATCAATTTTCTAAAATATTTACCACGCCTACTGACGTCATGACAAACAATTCAAGCAGACCACTTTAAAAACAAGCACATTTTGAAGATATTACTCAAGATTTAAAGATTTTTATTTTATTGATGGAGTCCATTCATTAAATTACGCCTGTTCCTTTTTTACTAAATTGAAGTTGGATATCAGTTCTATTGTAAGAGTAGTTTGATAGAGAAATGTGAAAAGAATAATAATGATCTTATGATTTTATGCTCATTATGGAAGATGTGAAAAGTTTTGTAATACCGTACCTGTCGAGTGGGTATGGCAGTGATTGGAGGGGGAGGCTACAAACCACAAACACACAGCATCATTCACATGACATAAACTAGCAATAACTATAGACAAACAAAATAACAAGTATATGAAGTAAAGGAGTTTAAAAATGTTACACTTTAACACTGCTCAAAATTTCAGCGTTCGATCTTTGCACAACAAAAGAAAAAAAACTTTACTTTGTCAATACATATATTTCAGCAAAAAATCCCTTTCTTATCAAATGACTTAGGTATGTTAATCTTAAATGTAATACTTATGTATTTTTTTCTTCTCTCCCTTTCTTTCTTTCTACTTTTTTTTCACACATTTTTATTATAATCACTATTTAAAATCTATTCAACACTCAAGAGCAAACAGGTAATCACTGCTCCAAGACTAATAAAAGTCAAATCAACAAACATTGTTCTACATATATCCTTCAACTTATCTAGCATTGATTCTATAATATCTAGATACTTACCGTCATCCTGGCTGTTTTCTGTCTTTTCAGTAACTTTACCACATCCAGATAGTTTCTACTCTCTGCTAGTGCTAGAGCATCGTTACCATCCTGTAAGAAGAGGATTAACTGTTAATTAATTGTTAACTGCCATGAAGTAAATCCTGTCTCTGACAATGCAAACAATTACATGTAATATATTAAATGTTTATGGACCAAAAAATATTCTCAGACTTTTTTAAATTCAATCATGGCGTTAATTTTAGAGACAAAAATTTTATGGGCATTGATTTCTTTTCTATTTATTTTGCATATTTTCCAGATATAATGATGAAAAGGTTACATGTATTTTAAATATATAATTTCAAACCAGATCTCTGTGAGTTGGATCCGCTCCCCATTTTAGTAATTGATCCACTACGTTGTACATTTGATTATCTTGTCGTAGACTAGGTTTCTTTATTGCCAGATTTAGGGCCGTATCCCCTTCCTTGAAAAGGTGTATGAAATGATATCTTAATAGAATCTTATTAATAAACATTACAGAAAATGCAAAATTGAATAAATATTTCTTGTGTCATACAGAAGAGGAAGAAATCAAAATATTTTGTAGCTTATATCCTTTATCCTCTAGAGAAATATGCATGATAAATTTATTCTTAAATTTACATTAAAAATCCGGTGAGATTTCTACTAGAATATTTTTCATACGTAAAAAATTGGATAAAAAGAAAAACATCTATATGTGTCAAAAGAAATAACATACACAATACTAGTAAAACTAACTTTCATTTTAACAAAATAGTTTTGGGAAAAAAATGTCATCTTACGTAATCCCTGAGATTGACATCTGCCTTGGCATCCACCATTCGACCGAGCAGGTTTAACGGGGGATGTTGGTAAAGATTGGTAAACATGTAGTGTATAGCGCCAGCGCCATGCTACAGCAAACAAAACAATAATGGTAAATGCTAACGCATTGTCATTTCAGAATCGTTGTACTTATAAAGAAAAGAAAAAATGTTGAAATTCAGTTTTTGTTTGCATTTTCATTGTGATCTTACTTTATTTAGGCAGTTACAATCTGCTCCCTGATTAACACAATCGTAAGCCTCTTTTTCATTATTGTTCATTACAGCGTCTATAAGCCGTCCCTATATGATTGGGAAAAAATCTTCCATATCAATACTAGTCGAAATAATTCATTATTTCAATATTTTAAAAATTTGATTCAACAATTTAAAAAACACGTCGATTGCAGGAATAATACTTCATTCACCCCGTATAATTCTCCGAGGGACTTTGTGTAGTAGTCTCGGGCCTCCTCGGCAGTCATCGAACCATCTAATACATTAGCCAATTCAAAGTATTCCTGTGCCATAGCTATATCATATGGTGTTCGTAAGTTCTGTTTCAGATAGAGGAAGAATATTTGACGGTTATATTTTTTCATGTAAAGAAAGTATTAATTAATTACTGTGAGTTCATAACCCTTTCGAATTTTCTCTGTACATTTTTTTTTTTAATTTTCAATTTTTAATCTTTACTAGTTTTAATTGATATGTTTTTTAACCTTGTTTCGTATATCAAGATCTGGATTATGCTCTAGAATCATCAGGCAAGTCTGAAAGGCCAACCGAAGAACAGCGTGTTTAATGACTAAATGTAGGACCGTGTCTTCATCTGTAGTTGTCGTGGCGTTAACGTCACTTCCGATTTTAAGCAGCGCACTGATTATGGATTCCATGTCTTCTCTTCCGCTTAGTGCGACGATATGTAAAGGTTTCTGACCATCCTGTGTATATAAATACATTACAATATTTACAGGGCGACAGAAGAAAAAGGCCTGAAAAGCATGATGTTCTTTGTTCTTACATGATTCTTACATGATTAAGATGCAAGAAGAACACCAAAGATCAAACGATGCAATAAAATTGCAGACGTGATAGAGCATTGAAAGGTATGTACAAAGAAAATTTTACCATGAATTGTACGATGAAATCTGTTTGTGTAGAAATCAATACTGTTACATTTCTGTAATTTATACTTTTAGCAGGTCATAAATAGACAAGATCAATACTTAAAGTAAACCTTTTTGAAAATATGGAGTTTTTGGCTATCTTAAAAAAGTGTCACTATAGCCAAAGCATGTTCATTAATAAATGTGAATGAGTGATGTCTGCTTTGATTAAGGTATCCATTTCCAATTAAAACTACATTTTTAATTTACTTGAAAGAAATTCCTTATATTTGATTAAGTTATAAATACTAGTAATAATGTAGAACTCAGCTACAACAAATTTTACTTTTAATTCTCCTCCCAATCCAAAACAATTTTCAGAAGTGCCAAAAATGCTGTGACAGCCCTAGAATTATATACTGTATCCCTTACATACCTTGACCACCATATTAGCGTTCCCGCTCACGAGTCTGATCAGCTCCTCCACCTGGCCCTCTCTGCAAGCTCTATAGATCTCCCTCTGTAAGATAAAACAGTATCAGACATTGTAAAGCTCTATAGATCTCCCTCTGTAAGATAAAACAGTATCAGACATTGTAAAGCTCTATAGATCTCCCTCTGTAAGATAAAACAGTATCAGACATTGTAAAGCTCTATAGATCTCCCTCTGTAAGATGAAACAGTATCAGACATTGTAAATCTCTATAGATCTCTCACTGTAAAATAAAACAGTATCAGACATTGTAAATCTCTATAGATCTCCCTATGTAAAATAAAACAGTATCAGACATTGTAAATCTCTATTGATCTCTCTCTGTAAAAATAAAACAGTATCAGACACTGTAAATCTCTATAGATCTCCCTATGTAAAATAAAACAGTATCAGACATTGTAAATCTCTATAGATCTCCCTATGTAAAATAAAACAGTATCAGACATTGTAAAGCTCTATAGATCTCCCTATGTAAAATAAAACAGTATCAGACATTGTAAATCTATATAGATCTCCCTATGTAAAATAAAACAGTATCAGACATTGTAAAGCTCTATAGATCTCCCTATGTAAAATAAAAGAGTATCAGACATTGTAAATCACTATAGATCTCCCTATGTAAAATAAAACAGTATCAGACATTGTAAAGCTCTATAGATCTCCCTATGTAAAATAAAACAGTATCAGACATTGTAAAGCTCTATAGATCTCTCTCTGTAAAAATAAAACAGTATCAGACATTGTAAATCTCTATAGTTTCTCTCTGTAAAATAAAACAGTATCAGACATTGTAAATCTCTATAGATCTCCTTATGTAAAATAAAACAGTATCAGACATTGTAAAGCTCTATAGATCTCTCTCTGTAAAAATAAAACAGTATCAGACATTGTAAATCTCTATAGATCTCCCTATGTAAAATAAAACAGTATCAGACATTGTAAAGCTCTATAAATCTCCCTCTTTAAAAATAAAACAGTATCAGACATTGTAAAGCTCTATAAATCTCCCTCTGTAAAATAAAACAGTATCAGACATTGTAAATCTCTATAGTTTCTCTCTGTAAAATAAAACAGTATCAGACATTGTAAATCTCTATAGTTCTCCCTATGTAAAATAAAACAGTATCAGACATTGTAAATCTCTATAGATCTCTCTCTGTAAAAATAAAACAGTATCAGACATTGTAAAGCTCTATAGTTCTCCCTATGTAAAATAAAAGAGTATCAGACATTGTAAAGCTCTATAGATCTCCCTATGTAAAGTAAAACAGTATCAGACATTGTAAAGCTCTGTAGATCTCCCTATGTAAAATAAAACAGTATCAGACATTGTAAATCTCTATAGATCTCCCTATGTAAAATAAAACAGTATCAGACATTGTAAAGCTCTATAGATCTCCCTATATAAAATAAAACAGTATCAGACATTGTAAAGCTCTATAGATCTCCCTATGTAAAATAAAACAGTATCAGACATTGTAAAGCTCTATAGATCTCCCTCTGTAAAATAAAACAGTATCAGACATTGTAAAGCTCTATAGATCTCCCTATGTAAAATAAAACAGTATCAGACATTGTAAAGCTCTATAGATCTCCCTCTGTAAAATAAAACAGTATCAGACATTGTAAATCTCTATAGATCTCCCTCTGTAAGATAAAACAGTATCAGACATTGTAAATCTCTATAGATCTCCCTATATGAAATAAAACAGTATCAGACATTGTAAAGCTCTATAGATCTCCCTATGTAAAATAAAACAGTATCAGACATTGTAAAGCTCTATAGATCTCCCTCTGTAAAATAAAACAGTATCAGACATTGTAAATCTCTATAGATCTCCCTATGTAAAATAAAACAGTATCAGACATTGTAAAGCTCTATAGATCTCCCTCTGTAAAATAAAACAGTATCAGACATTGTAAATCTCTATAGATCTCCCTCTGTAAGATAAAACAGTATCAGACATTGTAAAGCTCTATAGATCTCTCACTGTAAAATAAAACAGTATCAGACATTGTAAAGCTCTATAGATCTCCCTCTGTAAGATAAAACAGTATCAGACATTGTAAATCTCTATAGATCTCCCTCTGTAAGATAAAACAGTATCAGACATTGTAAAGCTCTATAGATCTCCCTATGTAAAATAAAACAGTATCAGACATTGTAAAGCTCTATAGATCTCCCTATATAAAATAAAACAGTATCAGACATTGTAAAGCTCTATAGATCTCCCTATGTAAAATAAAACAGTATCAGACATTGTAGAGCTCTATAGATCTCTCTCTGTAAAATAAAACAGTATCAGACATTGTAGAGCTCTATAGATCTCTCTCTGTAAAATAAAACAGTATCAGACATTGTAGAGCTCTATAAATCTCTCTCTGTAAAATAAAACAGTATCAGACATTGTAAATCTCTATAAATCTCTCTCTGTAAAATAAAACAGTATCAGACATTGTAAATCTCTATAGATCTCTCTCTGTAAAATAAAACAGTATCAGACATTGTAAATCTCTATAGATCTCCCTCTGTAAAAATAAAACAGTATCAGACATTGTAGAGCTCTATAGATCTCTCTCTGTAAAAATAAAACAGTATCAGACATTGTAAATCTCTATAGATCTCTCTCTGTAAAATAAAACAGTATCAGACATTGTAAATCTCTATAGATCTCCCTATGTAAAATAAAACAGTATCAGACATTGTAAAGCTCTATAGATCTCTCTCTGTAAAAATAAAACAGTATCAGACATTGAAAATCTCTATACTTTCTCTCTGTAAAATAAAACAGTATCAGGCATTGTAAATCTCTATAGATCTCCCTCTGTAAAATAAAACAGTATCAGACATTGTAAATCTCTATAGTTTCTCTCTGTAAAATAAAACAGTATCAGACATTGTAAAGCTCTATAGTTCTCCCTATGTAAAATAAAACAGTATCAGACATTGTAAATCTCTATAGTTCTCCCTATGTAAAATAAAACAGTATCAGACATTGTAAATCTCTATAGATCTCCCTATGTAAAATAAAACAGTATCAGACATTGTAAAGCTCTATAGATCTCCCTATGTAAAATAAAACAGTATCAGACATTGTAAATCTCTATAGATCTCCCTCTGTAAGATAAAACAGTATCAGACATTGTAAATCTCTATAGATCTCCCTCTGTAAAATAAAACAGTATCAGACATTGTAAATCTCTATAGATCTCCCTCTGTAAGATAAAACAGTATCAGACATTGTAAATCTCTATAGATCTCCCTATGTAAAATAAAACAGTATCAGACATTGTAAATCTCTATAGATCTCCCTATGTAAAACAAAACAGTATCAGACATTGTAAATCTCTATTGATCTCCCTAAGTAAAATAAAACAGTATCAGACATTGTAAATCTCTATTGATCTCTCTCTGTAAAAATAAAACAGTATCAGACATTGTAAAGCTCTATAGTTTCTCTCTGTAAAATAAAACAGTATCAGACATTGTAAAGCTCTATAGATCTCCCTCTGTAAAAATAAAACAGTATCAGACATTGTAAATCTCTATAGTTTCTCTCTCTAAATTAAAACAGTATCAGACATTGTAAAGCTCTATAGATCTCCCTCTGTAAAAATAAAACAGTATCAGACATTGTAAAGCTCTATAGATCTCCCTCTGTAAAATAAAACAGTATCAGACATTGTAAATCTCTATAGTTTCTCTCTGTAAAATAAAACAGTATCAGACATTGTAAATCTCTATAGTTCTCCCTATGTAAAATAAATATCAGACATTGTAAAGCTCTATAAATCTCCCTCTGTAAAATAAAACAGTATCAGACATTGTAAAGCTCTATAGATCTCCCTCTGTAAAATAAAACAGAATCAGACATTGTAAATCTCTATAGATCTCCCTCTGTAAGATAAAACAGTATCAGACATTGTAAATCTCTATAAATCTCCCTCTCTCTATCATACATTGCAAATCTATGTAACACTGTAAAGCTTAAAAGAACCCTCTGTACAAGAAGTAAACTGTATCAATTTGATTTATAGAAGAAAGCAATATAACACATTGTAAAGCTCTTCATATAAATCACTCTCAGTAAAAAAAGCAGTTTCAGACATTGTAAAGCTTTGTAAATATTGTATATAGAGTTATAGATCTCCCTCAGAAACCAGTTTTAGACATTTAAAAAAAGTTCTATAGATATCTCTTTTAAAACAATGTCTCCAAAGTCATATTTGGTAAGGAAGGAATGAGGGTAGGGGTTGATGTTAGGTTCCAAGTTTTCCCCTACACATTACCTGATTATCATATTAAACTAGATAAAGCAAAATTGTCCCGGGGGGGGGGGGGTCACTGAATTATTTTTATCATGTTAGGAGTATCAGTGTACATCCATGTATGTTTTTTTTCACATTTGTTGGGATTTAAATACATTGAAATACTATATAAAGTATATGTACACTTCATTTACGTGTTATAATGACAATATATATATACATGTACAACTTAAAGGGGAAAGATAGAAAAGAACTAAAAAGTAGAAGAAAATAAAGAAAATCGATTTTAAAGAAGAAATTGCAGTCCCGTAAGAGGCAATGTATTACATAGGGTAGTTTAGATCTTTTTGATCTATTTTTTTATTGCTAGTGTCGATTTCAAATTAATTGACGATTTAAATTATTCATGGCGAAGAAAAGCATGCGTGCTTAACCCTTGAAGCGAACTTTTTTCCCTTCAAAATAATTGCATCTGAAATCTCTGTCGCTTTCTTTGATTTTTACTAGAAGATAATCAAATCCTAAGAAAACCTAAAGTACGGACAAAATCACGGCAGATTAAGAAAGACTTTGAAATAGAAAATAAACTAAATATACACGTGTACCCTGACTGAATTATTTACAGATATTGCGAAACAAAGAAAAAGTCTTTCTCAAATTCTCATGAAAATATTTGTTCAGGTTTTAAGTCGCATATAGGCCTGCTGATTTTCTTAACTACTTGCAAGTATTCCACACACTTCAAGATCTAAAATTTAAAGGTCTAAAGTTAAAACTTTGTTGAAACAAGGCCGGTTAAGTTTACTGCCAATTCAAAAGTTTAGAGGGTTAATCTAAAATATTAAGGCCAGTGTTTTAATTCAGGATACGGCGCGACATGAATTTCGTATACAAAACTATCATTCCAAACAACCTAAAATTAAAGAACGCTTCCGCTTCTTTCAGTAAATAACAAACTAACAATTTTTAATTAGGGGGAGAATAATTAAGCTTATTACGTAATCTTTAAGGCGCTTATTTCTGACAGTAGGATCTAGAAATAAATCTACCTGTCATTTTAAAATTACAGTGTTTATCAAAGGTAAACAAAACCCTGAACAAAATCAAATTTAACATTCATTTTACGTTAGAAGAGACAAAATATATTCAAAACTGACATGCATACCAAACTTTAAAATGCTGTCTTAAACTTTTTTCTTATTATACCCCCCGCTTGAAAAGCGGGAGGGTATATAGTAATCGTTAATTCCGTCCGTCTGTACGTCTGTCCGTCCGTCCGTCTAGCTGTCTGTCTGTCCGTCCGTCCGTCTGTTACGCTTTAGGGTACCCATCTATTATCCGCAACTCCTCTCATACCACTGAATGAAATTTTATGAAACTTTCACAGAATCTTTATTACATATTGCCATTGTGCACCTCCTATTTCACTTTTTGATCCGACACACATTTTTGGTTTTCCGGCCACAGCAAAACATGGACTTTGTCATTATAACTATATATGGAGGCGGGGGGTATCGTTTAGTGAGCTCATCGCTCACATTACCTCTAGTTTAGTTACTCACGATTTTTGTGGGTCGTTTGAGAAGGGGGGGGGGGCTTTTATATTTCTACTGTTGAATCTCAATTTATTTCTATTACAACACAGCTCGTGCGGTCATCAAAACGGTATAAATTTTATACTATAAAATAATCAATAACAACACACATTGACAAACTACAGTCATTCATGAAACACAATATATTGAGGGTTATAAATTAAATTAAGAAATTGTTCAGTGTTAATATATCATTATGTCTCTCCAAACTCTTACCCTTTCGTCGTCCAGGGTGTCCGGATTTCCTCTCAGCATCGCCATTATCCCTGGTTTTTGTTGCGGTGAGTATAAATAAACTAATTACAATATTGATTATGTTTTCCTCGCCCTAAGTTCCTTGGATTTTTCTTGGCCGTCATCTCACTTTTTCAATTGAGACACCCGGAAACGTTTACGTCATATCGCACGCGATCACGATAGCAGACGATTCCTAAACATGGAGACAGAAATTGGTCTCGAAAACAATCCAGAAATAATTACAATCACTCTAGAAAACATCCAGAATAAAAATTTCTTGACAAATTTCGATAACATATATCCCCGAACATGACAGAGTGTTTCTTAGGTTTGGACGGATTAAGTTTTAGCTGTGATAAACAGGTATTTAAATGTCTGATTTTATCGTCCCCTGTGCCTGTAGAATTTGATAAGAGCGGCCATTTAGATTGGATACATGCAGTTACATTTAAAACACAGGTTTAAGTGGTACTAGGTGGACTTTTAAATGAACTGCAGGCCAACCTAACATGTCAGGTGTCGGGTTTTTTTAATTCATTTTTTTTTTCTTGAATTCTTTTTTATAGAAAAATACAGTATTTATAATGAAAAGTCACCATTTCCTAAAACAAGGCGACTGATTTTGTGTCATGACATAAAGAATGTCAAAAGTTTCACTTTTCTTATTTAAAAATATCAGTTTCAGTAGGCATAGAAATTTAAGCAAGTAAAATAGTTCGACATTCAATATACCGACAATTAATAATAAATTGTATCAATTTAAGTTGAAGGTAAGTAAAAAGCTGAGGATGGAAAAATATCTAAATGATTTTATTTATCTCGGTGTAAAAATATTTTACGTAAACCTTTACCATTCATATCCTTTTTACAAGATTCTTGTAATAAAGACGACTGAACATTACGAAGCGCCCTCTAGCAGAGAATGCTGAAGTGCTGCAGGTTTGACAATGAAATAAACATTACGAGGAAGAACTACACTTTTAATGTAAAATTGTTATACATGACTGTATATTGTTAAAAAAAATTCTTCGTTAAAAAAATCGCTTAATGTTAATATTAAAGGTGTAACAATGTGTTCGAGTGTACAGCAATAACAGCTGTCCTGTACATGTAACAATATCTGCACTTCCAATGGAGGCTGAAAATGTGTATCTCCGAAAGGTATATAACAATACACAAGTTTATCTTTTAAAATAGATAGGTAAGCTAGAGCAGTATACATGTAGCAATTTTTAAACAAAGAAAGGAAGGTTCGTTATCAACTGTTTTAATTAACTGATTTTTTAAATGTTTAACGAGGCTGGAGTCTGATAGTTAGATTTCTATTCTTTTTATTAATTTTAAGTGTATTTTATAGAATTAAAATTATATAAGTGTGGAGCTGCATTTCATAAGTCGATTATCGTGTCTTGCCAATAAACTTTGAAAAGAAAAAAAACCCCAATTTTTTTAGGTTGACGGTATTATCCAAGAAGGTGTTATAACTCGCAAGCTAGATCGATGTCTAGAATCTTGAATTGATATTATACAGTGTATGACCTAAGTTTTTGTTGTGTAGTTATAACTTTGAAGTGTAAGTTACCATGGTTACACAATAAATTAACAAACTTCAGAATCAAAAAGAAAAGACCAATGTTATTTAATGACACAACGAAATTGTTATCGTACAGTCTATTGATTGTAGTTTTCAGAGTTTTTCCCAGAATGCCTGACCGTGAAGCCGAACATTTTAGAAATATAGACTAACTTAGTTGCTAGTGCTAGCAATTAAACAATGTAATATTCTTGATCGTTTGTGATTGTTTTGATCATATGTTTGAATTTTGTTTCTATGTACGTTTGTTTATAGAATGATGTATCAAGTCAGTACATTTATATACGATTTTCATAAACCATGAAAAAATATGATAATCTAGGCATATGTATAAAATCGTGACGTAAAATACAGCCATTAATTTATAAAAGAGTTCAAACATAAAAGATCTAAAAGAGAATTATTTATAAATATTTTCAAATAAATCTTTTTTTCCCGATAATGTTGGCTTCCCTGAACATTCGGTGTAATGTTACTTCATTAGACTGGGCCCTGTAGAAGAATAGCAGTACAGAAATAGACCAGGCGGCGGAGAAGTCTTTCTGCTGAATATGGAAAGAGACAGTACAAGCTGGAATCCTATCTAAGAAGCAGAGTGACTCACTGATCAACACTATGAACCCCGATCTCAATAATGTACCGAATAAGGAAAGAAAACAAGGAATAAGAGTAATGACCCTGGTCGAGAATATGACCAGTTAAGTATTTTCAATACTGTATGTTAGAAACCATTAAGTACTTATCTGCGCCGTGGGATGGTGGGGGGTTAGAAATATTCCAATTAAAACGAAATCAATTTGTAATATTTTTCCTCGTCATAAAAATGAGAAGCTGTGCATTTGTGAGGAAAAAAAAACTATAAGAAATACATGTAATAAACGAAACATCATTTCATTCAAACAATTCTATACAGGTTGTGCTGTAATAACTGTGTCTCTTTGTTTAGCGTCCCCGTGTATAACCTCGTCATAAGATGGCGGCTGAGCTGTGATCACTGCTGGTGGACTGTCGTCTTCATTGTCTGTTTGTTGTGGCGTGTCTGATTCCTCATCTTCAGCGGTACGTTTCTTGCGTGTAGTATTAGGTGCAGGATGCGCCGGATTTACACCATTGGCGGCACAAGGAAGGCTCCTCGAGTTTGGTTGCATTTGAACTTCAATTTGACGACTCCGATCCAGTTCGTAACTCCTCTGGGGTCTTTGATGTCTTGCACTGTAACTATCCCCAACCAAGAAACAAATACACCAGTTGCATCCTAATAAGAATTAAATATCGTTTGTCAATGTTATTTTCTGACAAGGTCAAAATTGATATGGTTGATTAACACATGCATGTATATCATATAATATGAAACTCTATTAAATTAAAATTGAAATAAAAACATACCTCTTTCCTCTGTACTGCCTTCAACACTCACATCTGAAATGGAGAATAATTTCAAAAGTATACTAGTATTTTAATTTCTTTATGCCGATGTTCAGCAGTTCCTATAATTCCTTGAGAAGGTAAGTGGTTGATCTGACCTCAACTGAAATCTTGATAGACTCAAATCTGAATTATTGCCTTAGATAAATTCAGATTAGTTATCTCGGATTCCACCAATCTGTTAAGTTATTGAACACTTATTCAGAACAATTTGTAAGATAAAAATGATAAACTCAATCAGTTAAGAATTTGTTCAATGTATAATAAAAAGTTGTTTTTTTTTAAATTAGACCTCTTTTTACCATATCGAACTGAATTGTCACCGCAGCATCGTTCATTCCCTCTGCAACATTCGCCACACGCATGTAGACAATGACAGCAAGTAAAGCAACTCTCAATACAATCAATGTCACAACATTCGCAAAAATCTTCATCACATCGGCAACAATCACAGTCACCACATTCGCAACAATACCCATCACAATCACAGTCACCAAAGTCACAGTCAGACATGGCTACTTGAAACTGAAGTGCACAGAACGCAAAGACGTTCCTGGTATTAGCACGAACTTAAAACTGTGATAAAGAGGAGCCAAAAAGAAATCTTTTCGTATTTATAAACACCCTATATATAGATATCGTTCAGAGATTGGACTTTTTATGGGTATTTCCTTCTTCCTTAGTAATCCAAGGAATTTTAGTTCCAATCTGTTTACAGGCCACGCTCAGGGAAGGGAGTGCTCAGTGACACCGATATTTGCTTTCGTTACATTCAAGTGTGCATATCTTTATCAGAAAACTGTATTTTTAAGACCGGCCATTTAGATTAGACGGCAGATTTAACCAATGAAAGAAGAAGGCACGGTTTTGGCTTGATTGTGCCCTAAAATGTTATGTTCTTAAAAAATTATGAAATTGGCTTTAATAAGTAGATGAATATAATAAATCAATAAAGAATATGGCATGAAGGATGACAAATATGAAAATATAATGTTACAATTGTTCTTCTTCCTGTATATTTGATGTAATTGAAAGTTTAATTTTTTTTAGTCTTGAAATTTTGTAAGATCAGTGTTTCCTAATCATCATTCTATGTAAGGAATTAAAATTGCTGTATGTTAAATAATCACACTTTTTTTTCTTTTGTTCAGTAGCAGTCCAATTATGAAGGATATCATTACTGAGACAGTCTGATATTACAATTAATATCAGACTGCTCACTAATATCGGACTGCCACAGGTAAAATTTTAGACTGCGAGAACAAAGGAATGACATCACAGCAATATTTTAAGAAGTCATTTAAAGAAAATGATTTGTATGGTTTTACTGCAAACAATTTCAATAATTAAGAAAGGATGCTATGAATTGTTTTAGATCGTTTCCATATTTTAGAAAAATAAAGGGCAAGATTTGTATTGAAACGTACTTTTTTCTTTATGCAAGAGGCGGTTCATACTTGTTCATCAACAGACACATACAGATACATATACTGCGCAGTTTATCACATTTACAAGGAAAATTAAATGCGTTATGAAATCATGTCATTAAAAAGGGTGAAAAGGTGTAATTATGTTAATGTTTATTCAAATCAAAAATGTCATTTGTACTATTACAGACTAATAAAATTGATATTTTCACTCTCTGATGCGAAAAAGTCAGTTTAAAATTCGGGAATGAGAGTTAGATGCATTCACCAATGCTGAAAAGTGGAGAAATTCTGCCCAACAGCATTACGGGATCTGTAGCGTAATGTATGGGCAGCGGAAAGGGCAAAAATTACCATAATGAGAAAACAAACAATTATTTTAATTTCAATGACCATAAAAACTTAATGATATACAATGCATAATCAACAGACCTTTTTGCAGAACAAATATACATTAAAGCAAAACCAACGAACACGTACGTAACAAACATACATGAATGCAAAACAAACGATCATCTTTGCAGTACAAACGTACATAAAAACACGACAAACGAAAAAAACTTAACCAACGTGCACGCGGTAAATCTAGTCTTCCCTACTCCCGGCTCCCGAGGTCTCGGATTAAAAAAAAAAATCTTTTTTGTCGGTGCACAGAAACTCTTCAAACTTCTCAGGCATATTTTCTTTATAAATGAATTCAATAATATGTAAAAAAACTTTAAACAAATTTGCGTATTTATTACTGAATCAGCAGTATCACATTCCAAAAAGCGGTAAATGTAGTACTCCATTATTAATATTAAAACCAAAAACGGACATCGAAGTGTCGTAGATAGTAAAGGTGCATAGATACAGATTTGAAGTTAATATTTTCTGTATAACATTACGACTTATATATTTTAATAGCATTTCACACTAAAAATATATTAAAAGTCTTATTTCTTCTAAAAGTTATTAAAACTTCAAATTTTTAGACGGGTTTGATTGACACATCCTTGCACTCTCACAAATTTTAATTTTATTCTTAATACCTAGGAAAAGTGGCAATATTATTTCAATAACATTAAGACGAAATAAAATTAACTTCAAATCTGCGTCCATGTATCTTTAAAGATATTAAAGGTATTAATATTGAGAAGATATTTCTTCTCAAAAAGATTGAATTAGTATTTCACTGAAAATTGGTGGTGTTAATAAAATAAATGAACGATTAAATTCTATAAAAAAAAAATTCATGACATCAAAATGATTTGATTTCAAAAAAGATTTTTTCATCATAATCTTCATAAAATAGCTAAATCTAACATTGTACTTATGGTAAAATAATGCAAAATGAAAGTACTGCATTGTTATACATTGACGTAGCATCGTTTTTGAAAGGAGGGGGCAACCAGAGAAAAAACAAGCAAACTTAACAAGCAAAAACAGAAAGGAAATTAAAATGATATAGCCCAAATACGAAAATCCCATCTGTGTGAGTGATGGTGTGTGTGTGTGGGGGGTGGGGGGGGGGGGGGGGGGGGGGGGGTGGGGTGGTGTTAGGTTCAACTTCTTTCAGTATCAATTTTTTTTCCTAATATACATGTACTACATAACCCTTTTTTGACCTAACTCTTAAAATTGGAAATTGTTGCTACGTACCTGTCATATGATATGCCACTGTAATGTAAAGTTATCATAATACATTCTTGTAATATTTAAAGAATATGTATGAATATATAAGAAAATGTAACAACTTATGTAACAAAAACAAAAAAAATTGACGAAACGGCCTTCAGGAGAATGAGATTTTTTTTTACTTTTTATGTAAATTCTGTTCTTTCTTTTTAAATTTTTAAGATAAATTACCCCCCCCCCCCCCCCCAAAAAAAAAAAATAGGAAAAAAATTAAAGGGGGATCCGAGGTAGAACCATGTCCATGTTGTATAGCCTGGGAACATAAACATAATGTGGCAAAGAGTTCTATACCAAAAAAAAAAAATGTAGGGAATTGCTGTGCATACAAATTATCTAGCATGTAAATGAGGGTTTTCATTTGATACAAAAAATAATAAACATAACCCTCAGTTTGTTGTTTTTAATCGCGATTCTACGAAAACATCGGTGTCCTTTTTGCAGTGGTTTTTCGCATTTATAGCTGAGTACTCGATTTACCGCTTTTGGCAGATGATACAACTGATTCAGTAATAAATACGCAAATTTGCTAAAGTTTTTATATATTAATGAATTTTTTTAAACCTAGAAATTTCCTGAGAAGTGTGAAAACTTTCTGTGCGCCGACAAAAAAGAAATCAAAAAAAAAAAAAAAAAAAAAAAAACCGGGACCGTAGGGAGCCGGGAGTCGGGATGAGTAGATTTACCGCGTGCACGTTGGTTAATTTTTTTCGTTTGTCGTGTTTTTATGTACGTTTGTACTGCAAAGATGATCGTTAGTTTTCCATTCATGTATGTTTGTTACGTACATGTTCGTTGGTTTTGCTTTAATGTATATATGTTCTGCGAAAAGGTCTGTTGATTATGCATTGTATATCATTTGTTAAGTTTTATGGTCATTGAAATTAAAATAATAATTATTGTTTGTTTTCTTATTATTGTAATTTTTGCCCTTTCCGCTGCCCATAGTAATGGTCAAAGACTAATACATAAAACCATAACGCTACATTTCTGCAGCTGAGCGGTTATACTGAATACATACATAAGAAAATACTAGTAGTAGAATAAACGATGCAACACTCCAATATAATACTGCCACAGATGATGTACATTCAATATATACTACACAAAATTCGACAAGGATCATAGATATTTTTTCCTTTTAAAAAATGTGCTTAGTTGGTTTATTTAATACCCAGGAGTGGAGAAAAAGATTTTCAAAGAAATAATGCATTTTAACTATATAATCTATAGAACCCCGCCGTAACACCAGAACCCCTGACCCTGGGGCCATAAAATTCACAAATCTGGAAGAGGCACTTTTGCTCATCATAACTATGTGCTTAGTTAGTTTTTTTAATACCCAGGAGCAGAGAAGAAGATTTTCAAAGAAATAATGCATTTTCACTATTTAATCTATAGAGCCCCGCCGTAACACCAGAACCCCTGACCCTGGGGCCATAAAATTCACAAATCTGGAAGAGGCACTCTTGCTCATCATAACTATGTGCTTAGTTAGTTTATTTAATACCCAGGAACAGAGAAGAAGATTTTCAAAGAAATAATGCATTTTCACTATATAATCTATAGAGCCCCGCCCTAACACCAGAACCTCTGTCCCATAAAATTCACAATTTTGGAAGAGGCACTCTTGCTCATCATAACTATGTGCTTAGTTAGTTTATTTAATACCCATGAGCAGAGAAGAAGATTTTCAAAGAAATAATGCATTTTCACTCTATAATCTATAAAGCCCCGCCCTAGCACTACAACCCTTGACCCTGGGGCCATAAATTTCACAATTTTAGTAGAGGACCCAATGTTCATTACATTCATGCCAACAGTTTGCCTGCTTGATGTCCAGGAGTAAAGAAGAAGTTTTTTTTTAAAGATTTCATTAATTTTAGTGGTTTTTGCCCCACCCCTCAGGCCCCAGGGGGGTAGGGACCATGAAATTCACAAATTTTGTTCCCCTTCACCCATAGATGCTGTGTACCAAATTTGGTTTAAATTGGTTCAGTGGTTTCAGAGAAGAAGCTGAAAATGTTCAAATGTTAACACATGACACACGACACACGACGGACGACGACGGACGAAAACGGAATGCAATAGGTCACCTGAGTTACTCAGGTGACCTAAAAATTGATAATTTATCATATATTTAGGATATTCAGCAAATCTGTAACTGTTATATTATAGCATAATTAATATATGAATATTTAGCAGTTTCAAATAATTCTAAGAAAATTGAGCCAGTTATTTTTTAATGATGCGTATTAAAATATAATTTTTTCTGTTCAGGATATTCTGCAGCTTTTTTACGTAACACAATTTCGATATGAATTTTTAGCAGTTTTAAAATTCTAATTATAGCCAATTTAAGTATAAAACTTGCCGATCCTTATGGTTAAGGTGGTGAAGATATCGAGTATGAACTTGTTAAGAAAAATAAAATATGAAAATTTCTTTCCCCTTATATTTGACTCTTCTTACAAATGGGAGTGTTGTAGTCTAATAGCCTTTTTGTAATAAATACATCGGGTTTTCTTATGAGCAGTTTAGACAATGAAGTCGTCATTTATTTGCATATTCAGTTTAATGTCTTAGTCGTAAGTTCTTTTGTAAAACGGGCCCCTGTAGTGTAACTGCCAAAGACAAATACGTAAAACCATAGACGCTACATTTCTGCAGCTAAGCGGTACTGAATACGTACATAAAACAATACTAGTAGTAGGATAAAAAATGCAACGCTCAAACATAATAATGCACCAGATGATGTACATTCAATATACTAGTATACAACACAAAATTTGACAAGGATCATAGATATTTTTCTGTTAAAAAAAAATATTAACAGCATAACTAGCAACATTGTGTCTAAGTTAAATCAAAATCGTCTTCAACAAAACTTGCACTTGCCAAGGGAAATGTGTTTCTCATCACATTTAATGCTTTTGCTTCCATTGCACGATTTTCACTCAGGCATCGGCGTCTGATTCTAAAGTTTCAAACTCACTTGAGTGTTTACACTAAGTTTATCAACAAATGCCTCCTCAACTTGTAAGGCGTCGCCTGACGACAGGACAACTGGGCAAATGCATTGGAATGCTTGACTCTGGCTAGGCTATTCACAACGTGACGTTGCACTAAACGTCGGCCAGATCGTTGTGAACAGGGCCTGGAACCGACAACAAACTTTTGGTACAGCAGCACATGGACATTAGGGTGGTCTTTAGAGGTCAACAACACAACGCCAAAACCATTTTGTGACTCTTCAGGGCACGACGCTATCCCTTCTGGACAGCAGCCAACCTACGTAATGACCCCCTGAACGCCTCGGGGGTGAATGTGACCACTCAGACGAAACGGAACCGGCTTTTCACAATGCAAATCTCAACTCGAAATGGGCACGTGTTCGAGTGCTTCTGACTGTTCGACACAGGCGGGAGCGATTGGACTGTGATGAAGATCATTTCTCTTGACGATTCTCTTCACGATTCCACGATACCAGTCGCCGATACTAGCTAATGTAGTCTTTATATGTACATTTACACGTTATATTCCTCAAGCTAGTCTGTTATTTAAAACTACAAACAAGAAAACACGTCAGTAAAAATTAAATATGCAACGCTCATGATCATCATACATGACATTGTACACTTTAACGCGTTATACCTCGTAAAACCGTAGAAACATCACCGAGCACACATCGGCTAAGATATTCCACAAAAATGGCTTGTCTGTCGCACTGAATATGAATTGGAACACATGTCAGGCATTTTTTTCTTTTCATAAAAATAGAAATTCTGAACACTTTTAGATCCGAGGAGTCCTCTTCCTCCTTAATTTCAAAAAGAAGTTTCATGGTGCATAGACCTGTTATTCAAAATATCGTGCTGAACAGGCTGTGACGTAACGATAGTGTCACATGTACAACCTCGTCATAAGATGGTGGTTGTGTTGTTATCGCTGCTGGTGGACTATTCTCAGTCCCTGATAATTGTGACGTTTCCACATTCGCGGGGTTTACGCCATCGGTTTCACTCGGAAGGTTTTGTCCTTCGACCTCCATCTGACGTCTGCGTTCCAATTCGTATCTCCTCTGATTTCTTCGTCTTCGTCGTTCTTCACTGCCACAACAGTCGTCATCTTCCGTTATTAGGAAACATATACACCAGCTGCAGTTACATCCTTAAAAGGAAAAAAAACAAAAACATATACACCAGTTACACCCTTAATAAAAGGAAAACATATACACCAGATACATCCTTAAAAGGAAAAATTGATAATTTATCATTTTTTAAAAAAGGAAAAGCATATCTGTAACATGTTATATTAAAGGAAAAATTAATATATAATATTTAGCATTTCAAATAATATCATAACATAAATTGAGATATGAATAATGTTGCATATTAAAATATAATTTTTTTATATTCAGTATATTCTGCAACTATTTTATCGTAACATAATTTCGATATGAATTATTAGAAGTTTTAAAATTGTAATTATAGCCAATGTGAGTATAAAACTCTTAGTATGCCTCAACGTACCTCCCCCATGTCTATGGCCGTCCACACTGATATTATCATGATTACCTGGAATGGAGAATATTTTGATGAGGTCTTATATTGCTTATTAGACAAATATCTATTGATTTTCAATTCCTTTTTCATTAATGAAAGATGTGGAGATAACAAAGAGTATTCGAGCTCTATTAACCATTACAAAATAGAAGTGGACCAAACACGGAGCTCCAAAACGTCAGAGGTAGGATCAGTTGCCATGAAGGAGTGAGCATCTCCTGCTAACCGTTTTCACCCTCCTTTACCGAAATAATTACCTTAATTAAGAAGTTGTTAATAAATGATTAGCCATGTACAATTTATAGTATGGGTTTTGAAAAAATCTTGAACTTTGCTTTTGATTTAACCTTATTAATACAGTAAACGGTGAATTTATATTATATTTGACTATCGAATGTACAGTCTACCCAGTCTATACTTAGGGTTCACGGCGGGTGAGACTGGTCAACGGGAGAAGTTCACTTCTTCTAGACGCCTGGCCCCGGGATCATATAAATCAGACGAGCTCATGTTTTTTTATTCCAGTATCACTTTTATAAAAGTTACTCGCATAGTGGAAAAATGAGACTGAGGTCAAGAATAAGATCATCTATAAGGTTTATTCCCCGGAGCCTGGTCCCTGCTCTGGAACTTCCCAGGCTCCGTGTTTGAGCCACTCTTTACAATTTTGTATTGTTTATATTTTTCAAGCGATCGACACTGATTGTTATTTTAATCTTTTCCATTGGTTAATGTAATGTTGAGTTTAATACAACTGTCTCAATAACTAATTTGAATGTACAACATTATTCAAGTCTTTCTTTAAGAAAATTAACTCTAAAAGTTGCACAGTCACACTATATATCGTTACCATGAACATGATCGTCCCCGCAACACCCATCGTTACCCCCGCAACACCCGTCGTCGCCGCAAATGAAGCAACCGCAATCACAGCAGTCATCGTCAAATTTACAGCAATCGTCCCCGCAATCGCAGTCGCAACCATCGCCGCAATCACAGTCGCAATCGCCCATATCCCCACAGTCAGACATCGTTACCTGAAACCAGGGTGTATAATGCATGAAAAAAGTAGGAAGGGGGTTAACGTATTAGCAGATAATATTCTTAATATTAAACTGAATATGCAAAAAAAAAAAAAAAAAAAAAACCGACGACTTCTTTGTCTAAACGGTTCATAAAAAAACCCGATGTATTTATTACAAAGAGGCTCTTCGACTTCAACACTCCCATTTATAAGAAGAGTCCAATACAAGGGGAAAGAAATTTTCAGATTTTATTTTTCTTTATTACAATTTCTAAAGTATGTATTAATCTACAGAAACAACTATCCGAAACAAAAACGACTAAAACATTTGCGTCAGCTGTTTCCCCGCAAGGTGCCTCTCGCAATACAAAGTCTACACAGACCTGCAGTAACGGTTCGTCACACTCGGGTAGTTCTTTAACTACCCGTGTTACTTCAACCGCAGACGACACGACTGATCGACCGTTTTGTGAAAAAATGATCCCCGATCAAAACAATACAATGCCGGGGAGACCAATAGAATATACCCCAAACCGTTCATCGGGTGACGTAGCGCAAATCAACATTCCAACCTCCTCCAAAGATCACGATCATAATGACCAAGCGGGCACTCTTAACAAAATCAACTTCGGGAGTTCTGTACTCAAAAGACCAACTTTCAGAGCAGGTCTCTCGTACACCAATAACAATAAAGAAAAAAATCAGGATGCAGCTTACGACAAGATTAACACATCCCGTGTCCCACAAACCTCCGAGGAGGGATCCAAATTTCCTACATCCTTCCAGGAAACTCCCGTAAAAAACAGTGATGCCATAGCTTCAGAGGAAGAAGACATCTTCGAAGGTGTAACCTACAAACGTAACGCCAGATATTACGTTTCAGGAATAGGACCCAGGTCCACACGGGCTGGCATGCTAAACTTTCTGAGAGCTAAAGGCGTGTCTGTGTCGCATTTTGTGCTCTTCAAACCTAAACACCCGGGATCTCGACGGAATGCAAAGATCAATGTAGCGTTGCGCGATGCAGAGATTATCGAATCGCCCGGATTCTGGCCAAAAGGAATTCTGTGTCGCCAGTGGCTAAGTAATAAACAATGGGAGATCAAAATTGCGAAGGAATCTGACGTCGATTCTGTGACCGACAGAGAAAAGGAAAATTGGGATCCACAAGACTGATTTATATCATAGTTACTTTCTATCTAAACAATGTTCCTTTTCAGTTTCTTGTTTGTGTTCATTATGTCTGAAAGCCTTAATATTTTGTGTTGGAATGTACGAGGTATCATGTCCTCATCATTGTGTTTGTTAGATATTCTTGATAACTCTAATTGTGATTTAGCTATAATATCTGAACATAAGCTCAAGCCAGACAATGTAAATTACCTGGATACGATCCACTCAAAATTTACCAGTTTTGCACGAACTGAATCGGGTCTTGACTGTACCCACGAATATTCCCGTTTTATAGGTAAAGGTGGTATTAGTATCATGTATAAAAAAGACTTAGCATTTTCAGTTCACGAAATACCCGATATCGACTCATATCGCATTATTGGTATTGAGCTAAAACGCTCACACCAGCGATCCTTGTTCATTTTCGGTGTTTATCTCCCTTCCGATAGTAACATCCAGTTCTACATTAATGAATTAAACATCCTTGATTCTTTAATCAATCATTTTTCGTTGCAAGGTGATGTTGTTATAGGGGTGACTTCAATGCCAGTTGTCTAAATGTTGACAATGTTCGATCAAATGTACATAAATCAAAGTCTTTGAAAGAATTTTTAAAGCGAAAAGATTTTGGATGCCCTGGCATTGACTTCTCTGGTTCGGGATCTCATTATACGTTCATCCCGACTCAAGCTTCTCTAGACTATATATTTTGTAGTAAGGTTCTATGTAAACATGTAAAACAATACCATGTGTTTGAAGAAGGGTCTTTTTGTCTTACATCGGATCATCTGCCATTATTGATGAAGCTTGATATTGATATAAAATGTCATGTATTATGTGAATCTTTAGCCTCACTCCCAGCTTGGCATAAAGCGGAGAGTAGCAAACTAAAAGATTACGAAACATCTGTTGAAAACCAAACTGTACAGTTTTTAGGAAGAGATCTTAATTGTATTGACAATGTCAATTCATTTTGTAACGATTTAAATACTGTGCTGCATAACTCTGCGTCCCTGTCCATACCTACTGCTAAATACAAACCTTATTTAAAACCTGAATGGACATCAACCGTGAAAGTACTCCATTCCCAGGAACGCCAACAACGTCAAAACTGGATTCGCGATGGTCGCCCGCGCGGAATGCACAATGAATCCTACAGAAACTACAAACGCGCTAAAAGAAACTTTCGAAATGAACTGAATAGAGAGCACGATCGGTACATGACTAAAGTTTTCAATGACATCGATGAAGCCTCTGAATGTGACGTGCGCCTATTTTGGAAACTAATCCATCGTCGACGTCCCAAAAGCTGTAAGATCTACCCTGAAATTCAACGGAATGGAGAAACGTACGATGACCCATCTGGAGTTGCGATGTGCTTTGCACAACATTTCGAAAATGTTTACAATTCCAATGACTGTGATCATTACGACTTAGCCTTTAAAAACACTATCGAAAGCTCATATGAAGAAATAAAACGTTCAGTTCTCGTCGACGGGAGACTGTCGATGCCTGGAGGCGCAGTAACTCATGAGGAAATCCTTGCTATTATTACGACCCTCAAGCGCAGGAAGGCTCCGGGCCTAGACCGCATTCAGAATGAACACCTTATTTACGGAGGCATGGGTCTAACCAAATGTATTGCTTACCTTTTTAACTCCATCGTAAAGATAGGGAAGGTGCCCACAATATGGAAGCGCGATCTCATCACTCCGATCTACAAAGGTAGCAATAAACCAAGGAAATCTCCTGACAGCTATAGGCCGATTGCCTTGCTGCCTTGTCTTTTTAAATTATTTGAAAAACTGCTGTTAACAAGAATAAAAACATTTCATCTGTCGAATATCCACTTTCCTAATTTCCAACAACAAGGATTTCAACAAAAGTTAGGTTGTATTACTGCTTCCTTCAACCTACAAGAGACAATATTTCATAATATTGAACACAGAAGTCCGGTTTTTGTTGCCTTTCTCGACACCCAGAAGGCCTTTGACACTGTCTGGAGACATGGTCTAATGTTTAAATTGCATCAGCTTGGTATATCTGGCCACTTATGGTCTCTCATCGATGACTGCCACACCGACACATCCTGCTCTGTTGCCGTAAACCAAACGAACTCCGAATGGTTTCCCGTTACCCAAGGTGTACGACAGGGAGGGGTGCTCTCCACTTTCTTGTACTTGGTGTTCAACAACGATCTACTTAATGAACTCCAACGAACAGGTCACAACACCGGGATATATAGTATCGCCAGTTCAAACCCTACTCTTGCTGACGACATTTCCTGTATAGCTCTCTCCCCTGTAGGACTACAGAATATGCTCGACACTGCGTACAGTTATTCCACGCGATGGCGATTCAAATTTAATGCCAGCAAGTCAAGTGTTCTCCTCTTTAACCGAGCCGGAAACCGCCTTAGTACCTCTCTGTCTTGGAGATTAGGTGAAGAACCTGTTCACCTATCGGAGACCTACAACCATCTTGGGATCTTCCTACACTGTAAGATGAATCCGAGCGAGAGAACCCACAATGCCTGTAGGAAAGGACGCCAAGCATATTTTGCTCTGAAGGCGTGCGAACACTTAAATCCCATTACCATTGCTAACTTGTACAAGAAGGTGGTGCTCCCTGCCGTCTTATATGGAAGTGAACTTTGGTGTGATCTCCGGCAAAAAGATATTAAACTTCTCAGCACGTTTCAGCATTTCGTTTGTAAACACACCATGTCTCTGCCTAAACAAACAAGATCCGACATGTGTGAGAGTCTTCTTGGTCTTATCCCAATATCCGCAGAAATTGACATAAAAAACTTCAATTCTTTGGCCGTCTTTGCGAACTAGACCCCAGTTTTCTCACAAAACAGTTATTCCTGAATCGCCTTTTTGACTTCCTACAAAACAACAATATCGTGTGTTATGGATTCATTCCGGATATAATCTCAATTCTGTCCAAATACAACCTCTGTCACTTCCTTAAAAAGTACTTGTGTGAAGGCTCTTTCCCTTCAAAATCCGAATGGAAAAGAACTGTCAAAACCTCTGTTCTTGCTCACGTTTCATCATCTCGACAGGAGCGGATGAATAATGACTCTATCTTTACTACCTTAACAATAATGATCGGAAAAATACTGGGAAAACACCGACCGTATAGGGACCTTAACGGTGGTCTGATTATTAATTAAACACAACGTATAATAAAACTCTGCAAGGAATCCACAGCTTGACAGTATTTTAAAATAATTATATAATAACACCAAATAAATTGATAAAGATATCAGCATATATTTTGTACAAAAACAAGAACAGGGCAATTTTGAAGGGAAAAAAAATCGATATACAGAACTCCTTCCCCATGGGGATAACATTTGTCAAAATTAATGTGTATTAAATATATTTGCTAAACAAAGATCCCGGGGTAAAAAAAAGTTGGAAGAATTCGATCACTTTTGCTATGAGTATCAATTACGGAAGAGGCTCATCAAATTATGGAATTACAAAAAAAACAAAACAAATAGTTTTAATCCAACCTTCAAATTGCTTCGTTCATTCAAAATATCACAATATCAAATTTGAGTTTGTACATAAATAGGTACATTCATATGAATGTATTTAACTTTTCATATGCAAATTTTCTGATCGAAAATAAAAATGAAACATTTATCCTGCCCTCACTTATTGCACATCTATATATTAGTGAAATATATCAATTTTAACATGTCTCGATTCTGTTAAATACACCATTGCTGGACACCTTTACATTTTGTTCGAGGCAAATTGAGATTAAATTACTTAATTATTATCCGATATGTTCACCGTAAAAATAAACCAGGTACATAGTTAAATATAAAACTAGTAAGAGAACCAGCCAGTAAAACAAATTGACCCACCGTACTGAGGATATATGATTGATACACTCTTTATTGATTATACACATATAAATCACTTACTTTTCTTCTTGTCTTCTATTAACAGGAAACGACCCGGAACAAGGCAATCCCAACACGTTAGAGTACCCGCTCAATGTAAAATGACCAAGCTTTTATTTATACCTAAGCGCACATTTGTTATTTATTTGCTATGATTCCATTTTCGTTTGTTCATTCGTTTATATATAATTTTTTTAGGTGCATTATTTGTCAGACCTTTCAAAGATTTCATTTCATAATAATCCTTTCGTACACGGTCCAGTGCTTTGTCCAGACACCTTTAGTACGGAAGCTCTGATGGACCTTTATTGTACAGTATTTGAAGAAAAGCACGTCATAGAAATATTGACGTGTTTATTCGGGTTTATGTTTTTGACTCAAATAAAGAATAAAGAAAGAGAGATAAAACACTTTAGAATTAGTGGTAATTTGAATATGATTATTTTAATAATGTTAGTTTTTGAATTCTACCTTTAAGATATCATTTGCAATAGGCTAATTGTAAATCACTTGGTATAGGCTGTTAAACTAAAATGGGTTTAAATGCAGTGGTTGGACAGTGCTGGAAGAAAATTTGAAAAAAGGAACTCGGAAAAGCATAAATATTATACGCGTTTAAATAAAAATAAAATTCACCCCGTTATCTTAGAGTCTGAACTTATGTTACACCTTGAGGTAAAGATATGTAAATCGGATCGTAAATCACTTAAGTTGAAACGTTAATCAGCGATAAACCCAATAGATATATTTTTAATTTATAGCGTATAGGTTAATTATTGTAATTATCGATTTACTGAAATTTATGAATTTATTTTTATCGTTCACTATCATCAAATTGATTATGATACATGTATGATTATCGACGACGCATTGTCAATTAACAATAGTAATTTCCATTCCAACGTACGCGTCGATAGATATATCCTGTTGAGCTTGAAAAAAAAAAGATACCACAGAGTCTGACATATCTGTTTCATACTTGGATATTTTACTTAAAAAAGGCGCTAATGGTAAATGGTATTCTAACAACTTAACCAAGCTATATGATAAACTTGACTTTAACTTTTCTATCGTCAATGATGAATGAGAAAGGACAGTTCTGCGCCACCCATCCCTCATATAAGGAAACAGAGGGCATCCCACAGGTCATCCCTCACATTGAATGATATAAGAAGGTATATCCCTCACTATAGACACAGTATTGAGGGATGCTCGATAAGTAGGTCACTGGTCATTTAAATCACCTGTGCGATCGATACGGTGGAATGTTGACCTATGGCTGTAAGGGTCACTGCAGACTTCTCGCTGACCGATGATCTTATGTATTCCCTAAAACTGTGGACTTCATTAAAGTCTACATTCTACATGTTCTATTTAAGAGCTCTATATTGACTAGTAAAGATGTTTCCAAACTAATATAATAATAACATGGATAAAGAATGAGCAACAATGTTATAATAAATATAAAAAAAAAAATGTTTATAATCTGATTGCCTTATTCAGAAGAACAATGAACTTGAAGGAACACTCAAAAAATATCTATTTTTGATCATCCTTCGCACAGTTAAACTGGCAAGCGTTTACCACACTTTGTAATTAAACAGTGAAAAACAAACAAATTGGTTTCTATATAAAAATATTTTTTGGTAAATAAAAAAAAATTCCTGGTAAAGTGAAATATACTAATTAATTTTTTTTATGGTTGACTTGCATTTTCTTTTATTTTTGATGATCGAAAAACAATAACGCAGCAATAAATCCAAAATTCAATTCATGCATGAATGTCTAGATAAATCTAATGTGTAATCAAATATTAGACAGTTTTCATATATTTCAACTTTTTATTTACAACAACAAGGAAGTATTATTTGCAACTAAAGCAATTAAAGTTTGTAAATTTTATAAGTTGCGGAAAATTAATAGATATATATTGCTTTAGAGCCTTCATTGAAATAAGTAAAGAATTAATACAATGCTTAATTATAATGGCTGGTATTTTATCTACAGGAATTGTCCTTATTTCTTTTCTTTGGTTTATCTTCCTGGAGATTCAAAAGATGTCATAAATTTATAAATCAACCTAATTCAATTTGAAATCATACCTTTTTTTTCTTCTCTAACAATTACCAGGACACTATTACAACTTTACGAAAACTGTTCCATTAAATCGCCTTAACATGTACAATTCTACTAAATGATAAAAGAAGATAAAATACAGGAAAAAATCTTTTTATAATTATATATTTCAGAATGCATATACAGACGTAGCTTAAAGTTAAAAAAAAATCGACAATCTGAAATTTAACTTTTCACAGTTCAATTAATATTCAATTCACATTTTTTAGATCGGTTTCCTGAAGACACATGTTTTCTAATTCGAAACAATATCAATAATTTCAATATCGAAGCCAGTTACTTTACATATAAAAAATAATAATTATATATACATGTATATTCTCATCAATTCATTGTTTACCTTTTTTTTTTTTTAAATTAATAGGTTTAAATTAAATTGAACTTTTTCGAGCTTCTTCTTTTACAACAGATACGAAGCTGATGTCTGAATTTTGTATCAAAATAACCGTAAATAAAAGGATTGATAATTTGATTCAAAAACACAAATCGTGAAAAATAAAGCCATGCATTAGTCTGAGCCTCGGTAAGGTTTATGAAACTAAAATCTTCAACTGTATACACAAGAATTAAAATAATAAGTGGTGGTATGTAAGAAAAGACATAAGCAAGTATTATAACAAAAAACATCCACGTCACTCGTCTCTGCACGGACGCCATTTTGGTGCTTGCCTTTTTCTTTGCTGTGCTGCTTTTACAATCATCCACATTTGTTTCAACAATATTTTCAGAGATATTATTTGATGATTGAGGAACAGTTTCTTGGCAATCATTCGTTGCATTGTGTATTGTCGTCTCACTTAATTGCGGACCTTTAGCATTGTTCGTGCTGTCTACGGAACCATTCTCTGCTTCAGTTGTTTGCGTTGCATATGACGATTCCACAACTCCTTCTCCGTTATTATAAGCTTTATTTGTCTTGGATCTTTGAAGGAAGGAACGCCTAACTCGCTTCAAAACGGGAACATACAACCCTGCTGTAATAAATAGGTTTGCCAACATAATGAGAGTCAGAAATCCGAAATACACGGTTATTGTTGGTGAGGAGTCAACGGAAAATTTACATATAGTAATTGTGACATTGTGGTCCATGAATATTTCTGTTGACTCTAGAATACCAGCGGTCCAAAGTAGAGGAGCAGAATAAGACACAGAAATTCCACAAACTACTCCAAAAGAAGCTCTTTTCCAAACAAGAGTCATTTTTGGACCGAAAGGTTTACAAACAAGAAGATATCTCTGTATAGATATAACAAGGAGTATATGAGCTGATGCTCCGGGAACACACGTCTGTAGAAACGCAAGAATTTTACAGGCTGTATCACTGGGATAATTGAAAAAGAAGGTGTTGTCCAAGATGTAGAAAGGGGGACTTGTAAAACACGCCACAAGGTCAACAATGGCCAATAACGGGATAAAGTAACGCTCTCCTCTCTCTTTGATGCGGAAGAAGTAGAAATATATAATTGCAAAGTTCCCAGTTATACCAATTAATGCACAAAGTACAATGAAAATTGAGCTGCTGAGATAACTATAGTAATATCTTTGTTGCAATAACATCTGGTAATTTGTGTCGTTATCCATTGCCGATATCCTCTATTCATCTACGTAAAGGGATGTAAGAAAACTATCATTTCTTCCTTGTGGTACACTGTAAATACGTATATATGCGATTATTGAAAACCTTTTAATTTTTTGTAATTCAAATGTGTAAGTAGTCTGTATTCAAGCTTAGGACTGAAAATTTATTCGAGGAAATTCTGATTTTGAAAAACACGAGCGAAATAAATGTTTTAATAATCAAACAATATATTACACAAATGACGTATTGTTTACTTATGATGCAAATATATCACCTATCAACTTTTGCGATGTAACCCTTGCTTGATTAGAAATGAATCTAAAATGAAGTTTTAAAATGAAGAATGATATAAGGTAGTAAAAGTCCTGCAATAGTAATTTTGTGTTATAATATTGGACTCTATGTCAAAAGTAATATCTACAGTTCTATATATACAATGAATCAAGAACATTGCGATACACTTTATAAAATAAGTTGCATTTATTTTTAGAAGTTTTTATTTTTTAAACATTGTATAAAATATAGCTGATTTCAAAAGATAAAATTCTATTTATTCATAAGTTGAAAGAAATGGATTGATTATTTTAAAATCCGACCAATTAAACGTTTTAAAAGTGTTTGTTTTTGACTCAGCCATAACTGAATAATGAAAATGTGCAATTGTGTTGGCTAGTCAAGTATACATGTATCGTCAGGTAGGATTTTGATTTGAAGGCGGTTCCCTGAAAAAATTCAATTAAAGAAGACATTGGGAATGATTGCGTTTGTTTCTTTAAAGTGAAGTTTATTCAAAGTGAAAGTATAAATATTTTCTTTATATTCATTAAAAAATATTGTTGCTGTTTCAATTCCCATCAATAAGAAAAAAATTATGATGGGTGGAACATTTTTGATCCAAGGTTCATGAAAGTAAATCAAAATATGTTAGGAATGATTATTTCAAATATCCGTAATACTTTTAGTTGATCTCATATGCTATAATCTTTTTGCAACAGTAAACCTAACCTTTGTGACGACCTGGATATAGCATCATTGTTTGTGAGGGACCAATGTTCGTGGATTTTGTGGGTCAGCTTTACCCACGAATTTACATTCCCGCGAACATTTATTTTTTTAACATATTGTTACGTTAAACATTGTATTGACTAGTAACCCACGAAATCACAGTCTGACGAACAGGAACATTGACCCCCCACGAATTAAAATTATTCCACAGTACATATATATATTCGCCAAACATGTAGGTTACATTGCATAGTATTTTTTAATGATAAAATTATCTTATATGCATGTCCAGGAAGTAAGAGGCCCTCGTAGTATGACTGCTTTAATTATTGTCTGCTGAACCGTGAACAGTAAATTGAGGAAGTATAGAATATAACCATAAATTTACCGCTCCCTATATAAATATATCGATGCAAAGGAAATAGTCCTTACACAAAGAAATAAAATGTCACTTAAAATATCTTTTAGCTCAAGCCCAAAAGGAAAAAAAAACTCGTTCCGAAACATACCTCACACAATATTAAAAGAAAAGATAGTGAGTATTTTTGCAAAAAGTATTCAAAAGAACCATGAAAAGTAGGCAAAATTCAGGTACATGATCACGATTCCTAAGCTTTAATATCACGCTACATAAACTTACTAGAATATATCAAGAAAAGGAATAGTAGCCATCGGTATGTTCAAAATCCACTTCAACGACAGATCAGTAGCAGAGCAAACACAAACTTTTAAAGCCATTAGAGGTGGGATTAGGTGTCATTGAGGAGCCAGCATCTCCTTTTGATCTGTCATACCTGCCGTGTGCTCTTCGTTCATTAGTAGAGCAAGTTCTTGTATAAGTCATAAATAAAAGACAATAAACCTCACAATCATGTGCTACTCAAATAAGTGAAGTGGACGTTAGAATAGAAACAGTCACCATTCATCATAAAGCCATGTTGTAGGTAACCATAAAGAACAGAAAATATTTTCTGATAAATTAATAAACTTGCTGTTTAATTGTTGCTTACACGTACTTTGCTAATTTTTTTTTCTTTTTCAGGGTAACTCAAATTTTCTTTTAGTTTTGGTTTATGACATAGAAAAACAAATTTCCCAGTTATACCAATTAATGTACAAAGTACAATGTAAATTGAACTGCGGAGATAACTATAGTTATATCTTTGTTGCAATAACTCCTGATAATTCGTGTCGTTATCCATTTCTGATATTCTCTGTTCACCTAAAGGGATTAATAGAATCATTCATTACTACGAGTGTGGGATAGTGAAATTACACCTCGGGGACAAAATTCACAGTCTAGAACGAGGCTTTGCCGAGTCCTAGACCATGACTCTTGGCCCCGAGGTGGAATTTCACTATCCCACACGAGTATGTAATGAATGATTATTTTTCGCGCATTATTTTATTCAAAGTAACTGTCCGTTAATGATGTCTCCATTAGGCTTAAAATATTTCTTTTTAACTTTCCATCTAATTAAAAATCTGAATGCAAATTCGGGTAAAGCCTACCTGTAAACTAAGAAAATAAATTTCGGTCCATATGATAATAAATTAATTATCAGAATACATATCTAAACGATAGCGTAAAAATTCATTTTAGTAGACTCCTTCCGCGATCTTTACATAGTCCCACTTGAAATGTGAAAATACGACAATATTGTGAATGAAAATAAGTTTATTTTGATAAGTTAAATAACAGCATCTATTAATTGAAAGAATAGATGCCTTTATTTTATGAGGAAAACTTTGTTGCTGCTATTTCAGTTGGGTTAGCTATGAATTAGATCGGGTTCAGGATATCTCAAATTCCCCCTCTTTTCCTGGATTCTTAGATGTAGCAGATAGAATTTTCAAAAAATATGCTTTCAATCACGATTATTTCTTAAATAATTTCATAAAATAGTATAGACAAATATCGGATTTGATGATTAAATGCATGGATGGAGTATTCTTTTTCGAAAAAAATGCAAGATTGGCTAGGATTGAAATTTTCTTTGCCAGCATACATGTGGCATAAGTTGTGTTAAAACTTGATTACGCTTTAGTTTACGGGCAAATATATATCAGACTAAGGAATATTTTGTAATTAAGCATTAAATATATTTATATATAAATCGGGCATTATCAATTATAAGTCGGGGGGGGGGGGGGGGGGGCTTAATAGCAGTAAAGTGATCAAAACATTAAAGGCTAGTCGGTGTTTATCAATTTTCGAAACATTTATTCAATTGAACATTCTCAAGTGATACAATTGGGGGATTTTTTAAATGCACTTTGCAATAGGAATATATAAAACAAACAAACAAAATCCAAAAGGGGCTCGGAAGCAAATATACCTTTTCCAGATCTGAGGATTAACAGGGAAAATTCAAACATTGTAAGGGTAATATTCAGAATAAATCAGGTTAAAAGTTATTATCATGCAATAGGAACTTAGTTCATATTTGGCTAAAATTATGCCCCCTATATCATGTATATTAAACAACACAATCAACCAAGAAAAAACCAATGCTTTATTTAAACTTCAAATCTGATGTACTCTTAATATTAAATTCAGAGATTCTCATGTGTGAAGTATTGCCCCATGGTTCCTTTGGCAAATGCATAAATTTTATCAAATTCATTGGCAATCAAAGGTAGCTCACTTACTCATAAGAGCCATGCTAATTATTTTTAATTGTGTAATGAGTCGTACAATAAATTTGACAATACAATCTGACACAAGGGTATTTGCTTTAGGATTTTTGGGATGGGGATTTTGATTGATGTACTTCTTGCTCATGCATTCTTCACTTTTAAGGCTATAACCATAATAGGAATAAAGGAATTGATAATTTTATTTACCTGTGGTTTGGATAAATTAGAGTTAGACTGGTAAATTAAGGAAAATGACAAATCATTGCTCAATGCATGTGAAAGAACATAATCTGCTGTATGCTGTAACCAGTTGCTTAAATTAGAAATTCTCTTCTTTTAGCTCTGGTAAGTATTTAAAATTTTTAGCTATAGGTGTGCTGTGACCCAGAAAAATAGTAACTGATCATGAATCATGTAATATCAATTATTCATTCTCATCTAGTACTGACAAGGTTAATTTAATAAGGTTTTAAATAAATGGGATATACTTCACAATTAACAAAAAATGATGGAAAAAATATTCCAGCTTTTTACTTGTGTTTACTCAAAATTTTGTCTGCTTTAAGCTTTACACATGACATACCTGAATTTTGAGTTCATCAGTGGGTTACCTTGATTTTAGCTTAAAAAATTACTTTAAGTAGTTTTACTAAAAATAATTGATATTCATAAAAGCTATTCTTGATAATTTTATTTTATTGGTTAGAGAATAAAGTTCATGGAATATTTACATCAGATGAGAATTTTAAAACATCAGGGTTAAAAATATTACTGAAATTAACTTTGGTCATTCAAATTCATAACACATATAGATAGGGGAGAGACATGCCATTCATTCAATTTTTGGGACAAAAAATATATATATTGATAGACAATTTGGGTCTTACTCTTTAGTTGAATATAATAAATTCTTTAGGAAAAATATCAATTGGATAGGGATTTCAGTAGAAGAGTGTATTATACACTTACTAGAATGAGTTGTATATGAGGCTATTGATCATGACTTAGGAGTATAACAAAATTTGGATCTATTCAGTAAGATTTATTATTTGCAAGATACAGTGTACTAAGGTTATCAAATCAAGTAGACACAAATATAAACTGATCGTACATGTAGTCTGCTTATTTAAATGACTTAAGCATATATCTTTATTCAGTAGTCAATTATTGATAAACAAGAGGGCACATATATAAAGGACTTAAATATTTGGAATTAATTTCATTACTACATTAGGTCCACCTGTTGGAATATACAAAGATTTGGCCAATTGATGCAATGTATTTCACAGTGGCATTTTTCTTTGGACTGAATAAATTTAGTATAATTGTGATCACTGATCAAACTTCTAAACTTGATAAGCATGATATATGCCTATGGATTTCATTTAAGATACATAAATCATAGAGTAAATTTAATTTTATGGCTTATACTATATTCAACAAAACAGTGGAAACCACTAATTATAAGATCCAGGGCTAGAAACATTCCAAGTCCAACCCATTGGAATTTCACAAACAGCTTCAGTCAGGGAAAATTTTAGGAAATACAAAGCTATTCAATTGTTATTAATGGATTAGAAATTATAGCATTTGTCAAAAAAAAATCCACTAACTATACTAGATTCATGCCAGGTAAACATATATATTTCATCCAGAAACCACAGCAAAATTCTATTTCTCAGCCATAGGCTCTAAGGCATGACAAAAGTTAAAATTATTCACAGTACTTTTTAGGTGGCAATACTTGTTCAGTGTATGAATTAAACCTTTACTAACAAGAAAAAGCTTCCTTCTGATCACATTTTCAATTTTGGTGAATTAAACAAATTTATTATTTTATTATTTATTTATTTTATTTTTTTAAATCCTCCATAGCTTTAGGCAAGTACTGTACACTATTGTTTGTAATTTAGGAATAATGCACTGTCAGGCAATGTCAACAGAATAATTCCTAGTATTTTTTTTTAACTAAAGGAATAATTAAAATGTAGATGTAATCTTGTATTCTTGCAAGCCAGTTTGATGTGGGAAAGGTTTTTTTCTCTGTGAGCCATTTATTAGTAATACTTGTCCTGTTCCTAGTTCTAGGTAGTGAAGTTACATTATTATTTTAATAGGCATAGATCTGTAATTTTCATTAGAAGTGAACTTTAAAAAGTTCCATATTCTTAGTACATTTAATAAAGTATCTGTTAACATCCAGTTTATGATGTATAGGCCCACAGCTCATACAGATAAGTTTGGTGAAAAGCATTAATTAGAATAAAGTTAAGAACTGATCCCAAGATCCCATTTGGAGTCATAGGTGGGAGTAAAACGTTTACTGCTGTAACACCTTGTGTTACATGTAATACATATGAGTACTAAAAGCCTGGAGAGTCAATTCTCAGATATAAAGCTAGCCTTATTATATTACAATTAAATTTATTTCCATAGATAATCTTACACGGTAAGTTAAATAGGTTTTCTAGAACTATTGTTTGAAACCAGCCAGAATAAATTCATACATGCTGCTGTTGAATTGAGAAAGGTAAATCAGAATTAGCCAATTTTATGATGGTACAATATTTTGTCTACATATAAATGTTTCTTTGAATTTTATTACATATAATTCATCATGTTTACTATAAATTATGACACAAATTGCATATTTTCAGTCTATTTCTTATACAGACGTAATCAACTTAGGAGGTATGTGGGTCTAGAGTTATTTTCAGGGGGGCTATTTCAGTTTCCCAAGTAAATAGGTGACATTAAGGGCGGTTGGTCGTGGGTCGGTTGAATGCGGCTTCCCCATTTTGTGGGGTGACCGAAACCTGTGGATTCCAAAGATTTAGGCCATGTGGCGTTTGCGCCGAGCCATTCAACTGATGCTATAATTCATTGTGATGCTGCTGCTTAAAACAAACTCATTTGCTTTGAAAATGTGTGCTGCTTTCAACAAATTCACGAATTGATCTGCTTTGATTGATTGAAACAAACTCAATTGCTGTGCAAAATGTGTACTGCTTCCAACAAATGTCATGGACAGTGCTTGCTTTGCTTGCTAAAATATCTTTAGTTACGTTCGAGGTTTGATAAGCCGGAACGATAACTACATACATATAAACTTGTAAAGTTTATTTAAAATACATGTACATAATATTTAATTGTAAGGTTAATTACCGTTTGCGGTATACCCGGAACGGCCATTATTATGCTTATTATAAGTACATGTACATGTAATATTTTGCTTTCATGTTGATTGTTGCTGCTGCTTGTTGTAATTGTTTGGGGTCGCCCTGCTTGGCACCCCCTTCCCAGCAAGCACACAACATTGAATAAACTTTGAATCAACGTTGTTTTTCTATGTTGATTCTACATTGATTTTATGTAAGATTTTGAAAATTTGTATCAACGTTGAAGTCTTAACATTGAATCAACATTGATAATCAACGTTGATTATATGTTGAAAAACAGTTGATTCAACATTTATTCAATTATTTAAATTGTTGCTTTAAAATATGCCACGACCAACAAATGCCAATATATTAAAATAAACGTGTATAAAATCATGTTTGTTTTATTTTCCTCTATATAAATAACAAAACTTTAAGTTAGTGTGATATTTTAAAACATTGTAACAATTTCTTTATGTAAAAAGGAATATTTATATTATCGTTCGCGGCGTAGTAATATATAGTGTAACAGAAAAATCTCACACTGCTGTCTCACACCAGACAAGGCAATCTAACACTGGTGATTATGCGAGAAATAATAAGAAAACATATTTCTTCGTTGTGGTAATACTTTTTTCAAAAAAATACACAGACTTAGTGTTTTTGTTGGCATTTATAAACTAGGTACAAATAAATTCAATATACTGTGAAGTTATTAGTTTTCGTGTGGGTTTAATTTTCGTGGTTTTCGAGGTATGAAGATACCCACGAATGTATGTCCCCCATGAATATTTTTTTTTCATTTATATTACTAACCATCGATTCTTTATCCAGAAAAATCCAGAACTCATATCTTTACCCCAAACCACGATAATTTGACCCCTCGCATGTATATAAATTTACAGTACATACACACATACTTTTTACCATGCTTTACGAAAATGAAACTTTAAAATTGAAAACTTGACATAACCTGAAACAAAGTGTGATAAACGAAACCATTTTTTTATTCGGAGAACTATTGTTTTTGAAATCAAAAGTTTATGAAATAAGTGTATTATTAACATATACATATATTGACCTCAAGTGACACAACATTTCCTTATGATTTACATTCTATTATTTAAAGGTTGCGATGACAACATCATCTGATTAAAAAATATTTAATGCGTTTTCATAAAATGAAAAAAAATATATGTAAGAGGAGGTCAAAGTCTTTTTGAACAATTGTATACTGTACTGTACATGTGTATGTCATAGGTAACAAGCATTCTGAGAGTATTGCATAAGTAATACAAATCCTCTTCCGGGTTCCCCTTTTCTCTTTCTGATTTTATGATATCCTATTTAAAAATAAATGCCCCAACATTTCGGTACTGACTTGTTTTAGAATGAAATGTCTTGAAAATAAGTCGATATGTCTTACAAGAGAGACGTCTTTAAATGAATTAGACATACACGCATGTTTTTGTCAATACAACTGATTTAACCTGGTTTTAAAAGCAATTGTATAAAAAATTTACTTGATCTCTGGTTTGATCTCTGAGATACAAACTTTTACTTAAAAAATATTGTTGAAATTATCTCAGATTTAACTGGCTAAGGATGGAATTCACATAATCATCACCCGTGTATGTTTTAGCGTAACACGGCAGGAAAAGAGTGATGTACTCAACCGTGCCCGTTAAATAGCCTTGCAGAATTGAGGCTCCATAAATGATAAAATAAAAGAGGTCCCCTACAGGATAACTGAATATGATGCTAAAGTAAATAGAAACATACATACAAATATACAGAGTAAATGTGACAATACCTCCCTCCTTTGAATAAGTATGAAAATACTTTTGAACACACATTTACAACATGAATAAAATCAAGTGTCTCTGTAATTCAGAAAACTATATACAAAATCAAAGTCTACTGAGATAATCAGCACCCTGGTTATCTATCCCTCTGATTGCAATCCCTATAAAACTGAAGACTAAGCGCCCATCGCATCACTCTGGAATTGATCACTTCAGTCTTGTTGAGATACATCAGGGGTTGATGGTCTGTCTCAATCAGAAATTCTTGTCCATATAGGTAACACTTGAATTTGTTGATTGCCCAAACTATGGCCAGACATTTTTTTCAATGGTTGAATACTCACATTCGCTCGGTTTCAGTTTACTGCTAGCGTATGCTACTGGAAGTTTCAACCCAATATCATCGTCAAGCTGCAAAAGAACGGCACCAATATCACCTTCTGACGCATCTGTCTGAAGAATGAATGGTTTAGCAAAGTCTGGAAGTTTCAAGATGGGTGAATGTATAAGCATTTGCTTAAGAGTATTAAAGGCGTTTTCTGTGGTTTGTCCCAAACTATTTTGTTAGGAGCGCCTTTCTTTGTGAGATCTGTAAGGGGCATGGCAATTGCAGAGAAATTTAAAACAAATTTCCTATAAAAACTTACCAAACCAAGAAAAGATTTAAGTTGGCGTTCCGTCTCTGGTCTACTTTCGTCTTGAATAGCCCTTACCTTTTCAGGATGTGGTTTTAGTCTATCCTCACCTACAATATGTCCAAGACATTCCAAACTGCTGTACCCTATCGAACATTTTGATGGCTTGGCTGTTAAATTTGCATCTCGCAATTTACTGAAGAGTTCCTCGCGTATCTTCAGATGCTGGTCAAAATCAGGTGTGAAAATGATGACATCGTCAATAAAATTGTCAATGTTCTGCATACCATAAAGTAACTTAGCATAGGTCTTGAGAATATCGCTGGAGCTGTTACTAATCCAAACGGCATAACTCGGAACTGAAGCAAACCTTTGGATGTTTGAAAGGCTGTCTTTGGCTTTGAGGATGCAGTGAGTGGAACTTGCCAGTAACCTTTGGACAAATCTAGTCTAGAAAACACTTTGTGATTAACAAACTTTTAGAAAATCTCTTCAGCGTTAGGCATTGGTTCAGCGTCAAATTTAGAATAATTAGAGTTAATTGCCCTAAAATCTACACAAAAGCGAAACGTAATTGCCATTTTTCTTAACACGTACATTTGGTGAGCAATAAGGACTGTCTGAGGGCTCAATAACCTTCAACTCAAGCATTTTCTCTACCTCTTTATCCACAGTATCTCTCATTGCAAATGGTACTGAGTATGACTTACTTCTGATTGGTTGATCTGAATTAGTTTTGATATCATGCTCAATCAAGTGAGTGTTACCTGGAACTTCAGAGAGAACATCTGAGAATTGATTCAGGAGTGAAATAAACTTCCTTCGATCGTCATCTGACAGTTCTGGGTTAACATCGACACTTTATGGTCTTTCAATATTTCCTGAACTCGGAATATCGTCTATCTCGTCTTGTTCATCTGCAGCACAATCAATAACAGCAGAGCTGACAATTGCGTTGACGTCATGATCTGAGTCTTCTTGAGCAGTGTTCTGTCAAGATATTTCTTCAACATGTTGATATGAAATGTGTATAACTTACCTCCCATGCTGATCTGGTAATCTACCTTGTTTACCTTCTTTTTGATGCTAAAGGGGCCCTTCCGCTGCTGTAATAATTGGTTAGAATCTGTCGGTAAAAGAACCAATACCTTGTCATTTACTTTCAAAAGTCTAGTTCTTGCCGATTTGTTGTAGTATTTTGTCTGTTTTTTAGATGCCTTCTCTGGGATTTCTCTCGCTAGTGCAGCTGTTGATTCTAGACATTCCCTTAAGTCCAATACATACTCGTAGGTTGTTCTTACCTGAGGATCGTCGACATCTCTGGTCGACAGTTCTTTGAGGATACTTACTGGTCCCTTGACATGCCTTCCAAAAACTAACTCAAACGGGGAAAACCCTAAACTCTCTTATGGGACTTCTCGGTAGGCAAATTAAACTGGGTTTATATATCTATCCTAATCTCGGGGACGATCTGCACAAACTCGTTTAAGCATTTGCTTGAGAGTACCATTAAATCTTTCGACCATTCCGTTTGTCATAGGATGATAAGGTGTTGTGGTTATCTGTCTGACTGAAAGCAAACGATTTACGAGGGGCGTTCAATAAATAATGTCATTGGGGCTCAGAAAGAAGCAAACGACGCTTTTCAATTATTTAGTCTTCATGATTTTACTTATTAATCTCTTTTAATTCAAACACATGTCCGAAACATTTTTTTTCCAATTTCTGATTGTTTTTAGAACTCATTTTTGGGTATGACCCTTAGGATACTGGAAAATGGCAGATCCAATGATTTCCTAGACTTGTTTTTTCCTTCTGAAAGGTGTTTTTTTTCAAGTTTGGAAATAGAAACAAGTCAAAGGGTCAAAGGTCTGGCAAATTTTGTTAATGTGAAAAAAAACATTAACTTTCTGTTTATCCCGAAAACCCCTTTACTCTTTAGGGCATGCGGTTTTGAACGATGTCATGAAGGAATTCAATGTAGTGGATTCCTGATTCTGGGTCCTTTCTCTGATAAAGCTTTCGATTTTTTTTGCAAAAAAAAAACTGCTTTCTAGACACCTCAAGATATTAAACTGTCTCCCCGAATACCAATTTGAACAACAATATCACTAATATTTAAGAAAATTGCATATAAATCTGTCTTTGTGCTTTTGCAAACCTTTGCACTTGACAGACCTTCGCCGTTTTTATTGAGTACATCTTATGTTAAATTTTGTTTTAATGGTTTTAAGCAATAGATTCATGTTCCAATATCTGTTTGAATATAAAACAAACGTGGATTACTACAATAACTGATATTTTTAAATAATTGTTAAGACTTTTGTACACGCTGTCGTTTTCACTCATTTTTTCAAAATACAGGGTGACCTTAGAGTACCAAGCTTAATAACTGTCAAACGTTTCTTAAAAACAGTGTAAACTACTCCCGATATGATATCTATCAAATTTGCTATGTGTCTTAAAGTCAATCATACACCATCAAATATTATTTGTTCAAATTTGGCATACAGTACATAAGTTGTTATAATTTTTGTTGGCAAGGAGGGTACCCATTATTGATGCCTATTATATAATTTTTTATCATTGAAATCCACCTGTTCATTTGTCTACAAAACAGGCATCGGTTGCTGTAAATGTCACATATTTCAGGGAATATTTCTTTGGGAATTTATTAAGTTTTACAGCAGCCTTAATGTACCTTTTTTTCACTCTAGTTTAATGTTTTTACCATTCATTTATAATGCAGTGTCTCGAATCGCCCTTGTTTCCCAGCTTCTCACGATAAAACTATGTGATGAAAAGTGGTCACATAAACTGTTATAAATTCATTGAAGATTCGATAATGAGAAAAAGTCAAGCTTTATGTCATATGACTACTATGTTGTATGTCATCGAGCTACTGACATTATTTATTGAACGTCCCTCGTACCTCTCTCATGAAAGCTGATGTGAACTGACTACCCATATCACTCAATATTTCGTCAGGTATACCCATCCTTGAAAAGATCTCCAAGAGTCCCTCCGCAACTCTCTCAGTTTCTATTGTTGCCAGAGGAATGGCTTCTGGATACCTAGATGCGAAATCAACTAAAGTGAGTACATACCTGTTTCCTTTATCTGTGACTGGATGGATTGGTCCAGAGATATCTACTGCGACCCCTTTAAACACTTCGTCTATGAGAGGCATCTTCTGCAAAGGATATCTAGTAACACGGCCTTTGTGCACTGTTCTCTGACAAATATCGCATGAGCGACAGAAACGCTTTATCTTAGACTGTATTCCAGGCCAACAAAATTCTGTAAGAATCCTAGAAGTTGTACAACAAGTGGCTAAATGTCTTGATATAATGAATTGGTGCGCCAAATTCATTACAACCTCTCTAAATTTTTGTGGTTCCACAAGTTGAATAAAAATCTTACCGTTCTCATCTGTTGATTGATACTTACGGTAGATTAATCCGCTTTTCAGAAACCAACTTATTTTTCCTCTCCGTTTCAGTACCTCCTGGTCTGCTGCTGCCCATTGACGAATCTTTCCAAGGGTTTCGTCTCTCTCCTGTGCAATCTTAATATCTTCTGGTCTTATAGTGTCTTTTAAAATCTCTGGGACATGAAGTTGAGGACACGGTTTCTGTTTTTTCTTGACTTGTTGGCGAGTCTCCACAGCATGTACTTCAGTCCACAGCGGATCTGGGTCATCAGGTGATCTTACCTTATCGAATTTGCCGATGATGAGATCATAAATAGGGTTATCCATGCACCAACCATCAAAAGTTCCTGTAATATATGGTGTATCGATAGAAATAGTAGCTACAGATACCTTGACTGAAGATCCATCTGCTAGAATGCAGGTTTGAAACTTGTTTCTAATGAACTTATCCTCATCAACCTTGCTTTTTCTCACAACTATACCAGTACACTCCGTGTCTCTCAAAACTGTCACAGGTTACCTTCGGCATATCCAGCTGAAATAGGCAAGTTATTTTGCTTCTGATAGCAAGATGAAGAGATCTGAATTGAAAAGTCACCTGCGTTAAAATTTGTTACATTAATTTGGCTGTTGGTAAAGAAGTACCGAAACGTACCTTGGCGACGGTTTCACCTTTTTTTAGTTTCCTCATTTACAGAATACTCCGATTGCTTATGAGTAACTGAACTAACCTTTGGCTTGTTTCTGCTTATGACATACATAGCATCGTCTTTCTGATTTTGGAATAAACGAAGGCTTAGCTTGATATTTTCTCTCACCTTTACCATTTCTGTGACTATCATGATCGTGTCGATCCTTCTTTTTTGGGCGGTAATCATTGCTTTTGTCGCCAGTGAATGTTACAGCATTAGCCAACCTTGCTTCACGGTATTGATCTGCTAAATTAGCCATGTCTTGAATGGATTTTGGTATTCGCTCTTTTAGGAAAAGAGTTAAATCCCTATTATAAACATGCAAAAACTGATCTCTTAGAACCAAATCAAAGAAAGCTTCAGTTTCAGCAATGTTTACCATTCTCAACCATCTTTGCATATAACTACTAAGTCTCACAGAAAACTGAATGAAAGTTTCACCTTCTACTGGCCTGGAAGATCTAAATTTTCGCTTAAACCCATCCTCAGTAAGATCATAGCGCTTAAGTAAGTACACAAATTTTACACTGAAACCACTTACTACTTACACAACACAGACACACAACTTACTGAAGTGACTTCTTATCAGTTTGGAAATTTTGGAGTTTCAGCAGTGATTCAACCTGAAGACGGACATTTCTGTTATTTCCTGACCATGACACGCAGCTAATGGCAGGTATGACCGGTCGGCAGGGGATGCTCACTCCTCCATTGCACCTGATCCTACTTTTGTTTGTTATCGCCATATGTTTCATAATCAATATCACACGCCCTTATTAAAAAGACATTGGACCCAGAGGCTCAGCACAGCGCTCTTTGCAAAAAATAAACAATATATATTTAATGTGTAAAAATTAAAGAACCTTATTAATACCTATTGATGTTGTCCTTTGACTTGATTACAACTAAACTTTGACGGGGAATGGACTCGTACAGAGATCTTATATAGTTTTCATCAAAGGTTTCAAGATGATCGATGAGTTAAATTGTATCAAATAATGCTTCAGGAGTCTAAATATTTTGAGCTTGATGTTTAGCCATAAATTCTTCATAATTTCAATTAATACACGGGATATAGTTGATGGTACAATTTTAGTTATTTCATTATATTTACATTTGCAAATGTTTTCCTTTATATAACACTACTGAAAGCAATGCGTATCTATAACTGTATACAGTAAAACTCGTTTAGTACGAACACGGATATAGCGAATTCACGGATATAGCGAAGTTTTTCTGGGTCCCCGGCAAAATTCGTAACAAATCTTTGTAAAATTTTACGGTTGTAACGAACTCTGATAAAACGAATTTACGGATATAGCGAACTGATTTTGAGTCCCATTGAGGTTGAATATAATTAAATTCACATCGTTTATAACGAACTTTCAAAGATTATTTAAAAAATTGATAAATTGAACTGACTTTATTTCCTTTTAGCATTTATATATAAAATCCAATTCATAATAATACCCTAGTTATCGAAGATAATAAATTATGTTTTGTAATATTTACTTCCCTAACATACTTGGTAGTAATACTTGAAGGAAATATGCATATTGCGAATTCGCTATAATGGCTATATGAATTCGTTTTAATGATATAACGAATTACGGATATAGCGAATTAAATTCACAGGTCCCAAGGACTTCGCTATAACCGAGTTTTACTGTAAATACAGGTATGGGGTCAAGAGGTCATAGATTTGCGTATAGATAATCGTTCGACGTAATTTCTCAGTGACGTCATAAAAGGGCTACGTGAGTTCAGTGGATAAAATACATGCCGTTGGGTTTGAAAAATAATGCATTTCACACATTAAAAGTCACAATCAGACAAGTATAAAGTATGAATAAGTCACAAATGTAAATATAAGTAATAAGGTATTTTTTTGAAACATCTTTCGGGCTATAAATACGGGTTTGTACGAAATTTAATTCATCATTAAGCCCTTTTGATAAAAATACGTTTTGTTCAAGAGGTATTGAGCCAAGGTTGGTCTTCTATAATGAATTATGTATTTTAATGGCTTGAGTTTCCATCGATCAAAAATTGGAAACTGGTCCTCTTAGAGATCAGCTCAAGTTTATTAGCGTTTTTTTTTTAAATAAAGCCAAATGTTTTGTATCATTTTAAGCTTTATCAAGGGATTTCAGCTTATTTAATTACATGATGACTGCAAGCTTAGCATTTTAACTTGATAGTTGTGTACAGTTAATCAATAAGTTCGATCTGAAGGCCATAAAAAATGTATGAGTTTACGATCTTTCTCAACGTACACTTATAAGTAATTATACAGAATTACAACGTTATAAGTAGCATAGTAGTACTATGTGAACATGAAATATCACACATTTTAAAAATCTCATTGTATTTCCTTTTGAGACTGAGAAAAATAAAGAAAGAACTATCTTAACACCTTGTAGATATGAAATGCAACTAATTATAAATCAACAAGAGAGGATTTCAAGTTGACGTGTATACGTTTCAACGAATTTTTGCCAACCGTGTCTTCGATGGGATTTAAAAACCGAAATATGAAACTGCTCTTTATCTACTAGAGGACATTTTAAAAAAACCTTTAAAAACTTTAAAACAACGCAAACATGTTTATACCTTTTTAATGCAGTTACGACTGGAAATTCCAAAATGGCAATTCGAAAGTAGGAAAAATTACCAAATCAAACATTTTCAAATGGTATGTATTAAAACAAATCATTAATTGTTTTAGGGGCATCAATTGAAAACATATAATCAATGCAATATAAATAAGATTCTGATTAAAGAAATGAATTTCGTTTACATAGCACCCAAAATTTCAGAAATATATGAGCTTCAGGAATCTTAATTTCATCATATTCTTGGTTTGGTATTTAATATTATCTATTTTTGGATTTATACCACGTTTTTCTATAGTAAAAAGTAGGGATGTCAGCGAATATTCTAAAATCTATTCGATGAGTTGATATTCGAATATAAATATATGATTTGAGTATTCGGTATTTAAGACTACAATCATTCATTAGAGTGAAAATTCTGTCAAGCATCATTTGGTATTTATCAAGTTCGTACTATTAACTAGGAATAAGATTTGATTAAAAAAAATAAAAGGAAGGATATGGAGATAACGAACAGTATTCAATCTCAAAGTCCATAAAACAAATAAAATAAGAGCAGAGCAAACACTGACCCCCGAAACAACAGAGGTGGGATCAGGTGCCATGGAGATGTAGGCATCCCCTGCCGACCGTCCTGATGGAATTCTTTAAACATGTGAAGAGTGTAACTATTGCAATAAATAATTCTTTGATCATTTAATTAGTGGTATAACAGTTCCAAATACTTACAATCAGTTTGTGTTGTTGTAAGGACACAGGTGTACAGAAAGCACATGGATCACTTGTTTATGTATTAGTATATATCATTAAAAATAATTATCAGGAATTTAATTAGCTTAAATTAACTGGTTTTAATTTCTCTTCAGTAGATAATTGTTTAGCGTGGTATAAATTGGTAGGAGTAATTAGTGTAGACTTTGGTAAAAGTTAAATTAATCAAAAACAAATTTTAATTACTTTTTGGATTATACTCTTTGAACATATATTCTGTAAACTTTTAAAAAATATATATGTAATTACTTTGCATTTACGGAATTCTACGTGAAATTTTATTCCAAAATAATGACATAAAAATGCACTAATTGACAGGAGAGTGAAATATATATTTTATAAATGATTAATGTATTTATTTTATCGAATATTGGAATAAATTCGAATACTCCTATCGAATATTCGAATATCATTTATAGGCAATTTTTCACATCACTAATAAGAAGAAGTATGCGATAATTTACAAACTAATAATATCCTAATTGGTTCTGTGTTTTAAGGACAGATGGTACGAACAAAAAATGGATGTCTGGCTCGATATATATTTTTTTGGCCTGATATCAATGCAAATGAAACAAATGAACATTTTCTAGAATATAAAGAAATTGTTAACCCTCTGGATCTGTGATGTTCAAATTCTGCCCTTCGGAAAACATCCTAATTAATCTTTACAAAGAAACCCACTTCAATTCCCATTTTCGTGAAATTTTGAATCAAAAAAATAAAAACTACGCTGTGAAACTTATTCATTTACTCATTTGAACAAAACAGGAGGTGTAAATTTTCAAATTTTTTGACATAAGTTTGTTTGCATCATTTGTCCTTAAGCTGACAGTATTATTGATAAAAATTGAACTATCCGAACGATTCGTGTAAATGTATGTACCCGGTATACCAAAAAATCTACAGCATTAAACTGATTAAGTCTGTGCAGTGTTATGAATGTAACTGTAAACTGTGGAATTTACACATTCTGTGAGAAATATAATCAATATACTCGTTTATATGTAACATGCACATCTTTTTTGAACGGAAACATAATCGATCATTTTTGGATCATTTTGGACAAAGTCAAAATTAAAACTTATCGATTAAATATAGTGTATTCGCATTATCATAACTTCGATCCTGGGGGTCATGCATTGTTGTCAGTCTCTACAAAAGATACAATAGACAATAGTAATTTCTGTACAAACGAATACCAAAAAAAAAGTTATTTTAATTTAATTTGTTAAAAACTTTTTTTTTAACCTTTATGTAATTATTTTAAAAAAACTTATAGTTAAGGTCAAAAATGATAATTTCATTTTATTATTATGATAATCAACATCCAAATGCTATTCTGAAATATGTAATAATAAAATTAATTTGATCTTTGTAGGTAATTTCTGGTAGACGTTACATGTACATGTACCAGTTATTTGTTAATACCGGAAGCAACTATGTCTATCTTTCCTTCAAAAGTTGGTCATATCGGTAAATATTCATTTATATTATGTTTGTTCATTATATATGTATATTATGTTGGCGTCTGCAAATAAATACCCAAATTTTGATAACTCGAAATAGGTGATATTCTCTTTGAATAACATTGTTATTAAAATACGTGGTCATAGATCTTTCATAAGTCTTAACAAAAGTAGCATTTAGAAATAATACAGTACAATGAGTCAAATTATTCAAGACCGTCGAGTGTTCCCTCCTAAAGGGTACAGTTCCAATTAAGAGATATTTCTTTTCTTCTTGTTCTATACAAACAAAGATATTGTCAAGGCCAAAAAGAAATAAGATATACTTAACCTAGCTTATCAATTATCTTGTCAACTGATTCCCATCTATTTAAACATAATTTAAAGGGAAAAATTAGGTGTTTACTAATATATATTGAATCAATTATATGTTTACACATATTAAAGTATGTGCGCTTAAAACCAACATTTATTTAATAATTGTATCATAGTGGCATCGATCTTATCGTGATGAGTATTCTCAGAAC